TGGCCGCCGGGCGGTCCCGGGATTTGGATTGACGCATTGGGGTTTCGCGTGTGGCTCTGCACATGTCACGTTTGGTTCATCTGGCCTTGTTGGGTCTCCTCCACTTTTGCGTCTAGAGGTTCCCCCTTGAATCGTGGAAACCATGAATGGGGGGTACGTTTGAGAGAGGAGTTGAACGCGTACGTCACGCACGTAGCATGTTGCATGTTGAGCGAACGAGGTTCCCACCCGTGGTTGGATCTTGGTGGGTGAGGACACACATTTCCAGCCCTTTAACACTGGGAACTCGAGTGTCAAGGTGGCTCAGCTGACAATTCTTTGGTGCGATGTTGTGGCTTTGCTCGAGGAGAGCCCCTCTCTATTTCGAGGTCACGGGATGATTTCTGCGGCGACGGTAATGAGGTGGAAAAGCCCCACCGGCTCTGCTGAGGACGCGCGGGGGGGCGAATTCGGCCTATTTCTGTCGCATCTTGGGGCTGACGAGGCGGACGAGGAGGAGAAACCGGAGGGTGAGATGTTCGAACGAACCTGAAGCTACGGGTTAAACCCATCTTGTCCAATCGGAGACAAAGGTGCCAAGGGAGAGGCAATGCAAATGGCCCCCCGTGAAGAGGGGATACGGGCTAGGGGGATGTGACATTGCACGAGTTCTCGTAATTGCGACGGCGTCTGGCGTAGTCACAACACGAGGCGGCTGAAAAAACACGACGCCCAATTGCAACGTCTTTTCGTCCGTTGTTGGGTGGTATCGGACGAGGTTTGCTACTTGGTCGGTTTGCCCGGCCTCGCGATGGCTTCGCAACCGGTGGGCATACACAGTAGTGCAGTAGAGGAGGCATCCCAGTGCCAAAGGCCCCCCAAGAAGAGGCAAAAGTCGCGAATTGAGTGACGGGCGCCGGTCAGCTGTCGTCGGTCTGTAGGGAGGGCCCTTGCATGCGCTCCCGCTGAGAGGTTTCGGAGCGGTTGAAGGAGGGACACTGTTGCGGGTTTACGGCGGACCATGTCGGATTGCGGCGGTGTTGGATGTCCAAAGGCCCACGTCTCGCTCGGAGCGGCAAGCAAGGGGTGGGTGGGCAGAGGCATGAACAATTTCATCAATCTCGGCAAGGGGAAATTGGGGGCAAGACGTTTGACGAACGCTCTCGAATCCGTGGTACCATAATAAGATTCAATCTCGAACATCGGGAGGATCCCCATTGCTGCCTCCACTGTTTGTGTCGTGACTGTCCAATGTCTGGCCTCGTCTGGCCTGGGAAGGCGCAGACGCTGCACAGGCGCCAGGCACATACCAAGGTACCAAGGTACCAAGGTAAACTAGGTATGTATGTGTGTACGTACATAGGCACACCAACAAGCAGGCCGTGATCTGTCCTGAGATGAGCCCGAGCAGACATAAACGTAAAGTGACTCGACAAATCCATCCGTCACACGGCGGGAAATCAACGTCCAGAGGCGGCAGCAAGCCCCATCCCCTGACAGCTGGGCGTTGCGGCGTAGCGTCTTTGCATGGTCCTTTTCCCGAGCTTCGTTGCTTCCCCTCGCCATGGGATTGGACGAGGCCATCACATGAGGGGACCGCGCACGGAGGGGGAGGGAAACCATTGGATGGGATTTCGCATTGGCCATTGGAGACTTTGGTACGTATATTGTGATGTGTGATATGTATGTGTGTGTGTGAGTACTTTTAGTTCAGCATCTGGCAACTTACTCTACCGTTTCGTGAACATGCCCAAACATAAGTATGGGTTGTTGCATCGCCTTCTCACCTCAGCTACGCCGCGTCCGCCCAAAACGTGGAGCTGTAGATGACTCTGATTGGGACAAGAAGTTGACGAGAAGAAAAGAAAAAAAGGCCTAGTTAGAACAGCACACGGGAGGTGTCAGCCACGGCGAGCATCATGTCAAGTTCCTCGACCCTTCCAGGTTCCTTACCTAAGGCATCCGTCCCCTACTGTAGTGTAGGCGGTACCTAGTGTACAAAGTACCCGTTCCTGGCCCTCGAACACCCCCCATCCCGCCCCTGGGCCCCTTCTTTCGCGCCTTGCCCCTCCCCCCTTGGGTGCCCTGTGCTTCTGCTGTGCCTGCCCCCAATAGATTCCTTGCTGGCCTGGCCTGGCCTGGCCTCCTTGTCGTCCCTCCCCCAGAGGAAAGACGGGACTCGGGGCAGGGAGAACCAGAGACACAGAGAGAGAGCGAGAGAGAGTGTGGGTGTGACTCTGGACTGGAGCCAAAGAACCAGGACCTTGGGGGTAGAGATGTCGTGTCATTTTTGAAGGTGCCTTCCTCCCTCACCACCCGGCCCAGCCCAGTGTCTGCGCCTCTCTCTCTCTGCTTCTGCCACTGCACTGCACCGCACCGTGGTCTCTGGACACTTCTGACCTCCACCTCCCTTTTTCACCTCGACCTCCTCCCTCGTTACTTCCTTTATTGCACTCGCTCTTCCTCTTGCAACTTGCAACTTCCCAAGCCTGCCAATTCTCCATCACCGGATTCTTCCTCCAACAATACCTTCCGTTGTATACCCTTGGAAGGAAGGCTCGCTCTCTTTCCCCGCCTCGACAGCCTTGTAATTTTTTCTGGACCGAACAAAGAAACCTCTTTGGTCAACCTACCAACCTACCACCTGCCCTGCGAAAAAGCGAAGCTTACCCCTTGTCGCTGCCGAACATCGTCGACCAGTCGCACTACTCCCGGCCGAAAGAAGAGCTTCTTCCCCTTTCCACCCTCCATTCATACACTCGTTTGCCTGCGCACTGCACTGCACCGCACCTGCCACAGAAGCTGTCGCATCTCCCCTTCTTCACTTGACCAAACGATACCGAACCACTACATAACCCCTCAACCACAATACCATCAAGATGAAGGGTGAGCACCGCCTTCTTTCTCCCCAATGGCCTGCTGCCTGCTGCTCCAGCCAGACCTAGTCTTGTATGCTGCTCATGCACCTACACGGCTGGCAGGCGCGGCAGCAGGCAGGCAATTTTACGTCGCAGACCTGCTAACACGCGCAATAGCCATTATTCTCGTTGGCGGCTTCGGCACTCGTCTTCGCCCTCTGGTAAGTACATGCTCCTCCTCGGTTGGCGCCCGACATATGGCAACAGTGCCAGACTGCCGCCAGCTGCGCCAACCGCTCCAGACACTTGGCAGAACACACTTGCTGACGTTGCTCTCGGTGCGCAGACACTGACCCTTCCCAAGCCCCTCGTGGAGTTTGCGAACAAGCCCATGATTGAGCACCAGATCGAGGCTCTCGCTGCCGCCGGTGTCACCGATGTCGTCCTCGCTGTCAACTACCGCCCCGAGGTGATGGAGAAGCACTTGGCAGAGGTGGGTCTCCCCGAGCTCTCCCCCGAACTTGCTACGCCGACCAATACTGACGCCGAACACAACAGTACGAGAAGAAGTTCGGCCTCAACATTACCTTCTCCGTCGAGACCGAGCCCCTCGACACCGCCGGCCCCCTGAAGCTGGCCGAGAGCATTCTTGCCAAGGACGATACCCCTTTCTTCGTCCTGAACTCGGACGTCATCTGCGACTTCCCCTTCAAGGACCTCGCCGAGTTCCACAAGAACCACGGCGACGAGGGTACCATTGTTGTCACAAAGGTCGAGGAGCCCTCCAAGTACGGTGTCGTCGTCCACAAGCCCGGCCACGCCACCAAGATCGACCGTTTCGTCGAGAAGCCCGTCGAGTTCGTCGGTAACCGCATCAACGCTGGCATGTACATCCTCAACACGAGCGTCCTCAAGCGCATCGAGCTCCGCCCCACCTCGATCGAGAAGGAGACCTTCCCTGCCATCGTCCGCGACGGCCAGCTGCACAGCTTCGACCTCCAGGGCTTCTGGATGGACGTTGGTCAGCCCAAAGATTTCCTTACCGGCACCTGCCTGTACCTCACCTCTCTCACCAAGCAGGGCTCCAAGGAGCTCGCCTCCCCCTCAGAGCCGTACGTCCACGGCGGCAACGTTCTGATCGACCCCTCTGCCAAGATTGGCAAGCACTGCAAGATCGGCCCCAACGTCACCATCGGCCCCAACGTCGTTGTCGGCGATGGCTGCCGTCTTCAGCGCTGCGTCCTGCTGCCCGGCTCCAAGGTCAAGGACCACGCCTGGGTGAAGAGTACCATTGTTGGCTGGAACAGCACTGTTGGCAAGTGGGCTCGTCTGGAGAACGTCACAGTTCTTGGCGACGACGTGACGATTGGCGACGAGATTTACGTCAACGGCGGCAGCATTCTCCCTCACAAGAGCATCAAGGCCAACGTTGACATTCCCGCCATCATCATGTAAACCACCCAACCGAACTCGAACACTGTACCTGGCCCCGGACGTATACACCCGGGACCCGAGCTCTTATACTTCGTTCTGCGCGCCTGTTCTTATCAACTTTCTAATTCCAAGTTGCGATACGATTCACCACTCCACTCATGGGTCCTGAAAGCTTAAAGAAGGGGGCGGAAACCAAACATTTACATTTTTGGCTGGCGTCGGCAGGGGAATCATTTGGCGAGCGCAGAAAAGCACTTTGCTTTGCGATGTTTCTTATTTTTTTTTCTTTCTGGGAAAGATGATTGTCCCATTTGCCACGAATGCAAAGGAACGACGGTTGAGGGTTCTCCCTGTATGAAGGATACTCCCTCTCGAAATGTCGCTAGCACGGGGGACCCAGTTGTGGAGTCCTGCCCGAGACAGATGACAATAAAGACGATACCTGTGGATTCGGTGCCCAAATGCGTTAAGTGACAGTGTCGTGTTGCTGCCCATGTCTGCACACGTCAGGCGAGCATCTCATGATTTTATCTGGGGAATGACGATACGAGCATTCCCCAAGTGGGTGTGCGGGACGAGCAGGAGAAACTGACTTTATAGGTATCCTGTCTAAATCGACCAAACACTCCCGATATCGTCCCAACATCCATCCAAAAACGCTCTCCCCTTTTTTTTCTCTATATCCCATTGACTCCAGGTCCCAAACTTGGTATCGACACAGATGCTGCTCTATTCCAGGGTATCGCGCACCCAGCCCCTCGACATCTCAACGGCCTGCTCCCACTTCTTGAACATCTTGTCCGTCTTCTCCTTCTCGAGCGACGGGGTGAAGATCTTGCGGCCGCTCTGGTTGACGTGCTTGAGGTCCGCGAGCTCGTTCCAGACGCCGAGGGCGAGGCCGGCGGCGATGGCGGCGCCGAGGGCCGTGGTCTCGCGCATGCCAGGGCGGTCGACGCGGATGCCGCTGATGTCGGCCTGGCTCTGCATGCAGAGGTCCGAGTTGGAGAGGCCGCCGTCGACGGCGAGGGACTCGAGGGCGTGGCCCGAGTCCTTGGCCATGGCGTCGAGGATGGCTTTCGTCTGGTAGCACGTCGCCTCGAGGGTCGCGCGCGCAATGTGGCCCTTTTGGGTGTGCGCCGTGATGCCGACTGCGGGTGGTGTGTTAGCTGATAGTCAGGGTGGCAGATGATGAGGGATGGTTTCGAAGAGAGAGAAAAAAAAAACACTTACACAGCGTTCCCTTGGCGTCATCGATCCAGTAAGGCGCGAACAACCCGCTAAAGGCCGTGACGAAGACGACGCCGCCGTTGTCGGGGACGGTCTCGGCCAGCTCGGAGATGCGCGTCGAGTCGTCGACGAAGCCGAGGTTCTTGACGAGGAACTTAACGCCAGAGCCCGCGACCGCGATGCTGCCCTCGAGCGCGTACACGGGCTTGCGGCCCTTGCCAAAGTCGTAGGCGACGGTGGCCAGAAGCCCGGACTTTGAGATGACGGGCTCGTTGCCGACGTTGTACAGCAGGAAGCAGCCCGTGCCGTAGGTGTTCTTGGCCTGGCCGGGGGAGAAGCCGCACTGGCCGACGAGGGCGGAGGACTGGTCGCCGAGGCAGCCGGCAATGGGGACGCCCTTGAGGACGCCGCGGGCGAGGGAGCCGAAGGCGGTCGGGTCGGAGGAAGGGACGATCTTGGGGAGGCGGATCTTGGACCGGTCGACGCCGAAGAAGGCGAGGAGCTCGTCGTCGTACTGCAGCGTGCGGAGGTTCATGAACATTGTGCGGCTGGCGTTGGTCGAGTCGGTGACGTGGACGGCCTTGTCGCCGAGGGAGGCGCCGCCGTTGAGGCGGTAGATGAGCCACGAATCGACGGTGCCGAAGGCGAGGTAGCCGCCGTCGTAGGCCTCGCGGACGGCGGGGACGTTGTCGAGGAGCCAGCGGAGCTTGACGCTGGACGGGTAGGTCGAGAGGGGCAGGCCGCAGAGGTCCTGGAGCCGGTCGGCGCCGGGGCGGGCGCGGAGCTCGCGGACGATCGGGGTGGTGCGGGTGTCGGGCCAGACGAGGGCGTTGTGGAGGGGCTCGCCGGTGCGGGCGTCCCAGAGGACGGTGGTCTCGCGCTGGTTGGTGATGCCGACGCCGCGGATGGCGGAGACCGAGTTGCCCTCGGCGATGAACTTGGCCGTGGCCTTTTCGATGCACTCTTCGACGGAGGAGAGAAGCTCTAGGGGGTCGTGTTCGTGCCATCTGGGATGGTGTTAGTGGGGGAAGGGGCCTGGTTGCCGCGGCCGAGGTCCCGGAGCGCAGTTCCCGAGTGAGGCGACTGGCGCCCCGAGACGGGAGGTCGACTCACCCCGAGTGCGGGTAGTGGTTCTCGAACTCGATCTGGTGCATGGCGACGGGGTCGCCGAGGCCGTTGAAGATGAGGAAGCGCGTCGAGGTGGTGCCCTGGTCGATGCTGCCGACGAACCACTGCTCCTTGAGCTCCTCCTGGGTCTCGGTGATGCCGGCGGGAAGGTGCTCGACCGGGTCGGCGGCCACGCGCGGGCGCTTGGGGTCTCTCGTCTCGGCCATTGCGTCGTGGCTTTTGTTGTCTCGGGGAGGTCTGTAGTTGGAGGAGGTGGTGAGTAGGGAGATGGGAAGGAGATGTGTTCAAGACGGCAAAAGGGTGCAACGGAGGCAAAGCCAACGACCAGACAAGAGGGCAAGCTGGGGCTTCACTGGAGAAAGGAGGGGGTAATCACGCGGAGGAGAACGAATCGACGATGGGGGTTGGTAGGGATGATGATTGTTCGTTCGCGCGAAACGGCCCTAGGAACCGGCGAGGTGGCGGGCCAAGAGACGGGGACGGGGACAGGTCGGGATCGTGAAAGGGCATAGAAATTGCAATGGAGCACGCGGGGGGTTGAAGGGAGGGAGGGCAATGGCTGCGTTTTTTGTGGTTTTGGGTGACTGACTGCCTAGCTAAGTACGTCGACCGCCGAGGTTGGCCATTGGCGGTTCCAATAGGTTGACAAGAGGTGTTCTCGGGACGTCTGGCCCGCGTCGTCCCGCAGGTCTGGGTTGCGGGAGTATCACGAGGGCGTTTGGCTCGTGGAGCCGTGTCTGCGACTGCATCTCCAGCCGCGTTGCCCTCGTCGTCCAGGGTCTGCGTCTGCGTCTGCTTCTGCGTCCGCTGCGACAAATTTCGGACGGACATGTGCGGCGGCCCCAGCTTCAGCTTCGCGCCGGCGCTCGGGATGATGTCAGAAGCGGGCGTCGGGCGCTGATTGGAGGAACAATTGAGGGGTTTTGGAGGCGGCTGGCGAAGCTGTGTGCGACCAGCTGCGCGGCCGTGGATGCGACGCCGCCAGGTCCATGGCGCCGGTGGCTTCGGTGTGGACCACCACCTCGCACTGCAGATGCCATTGCCATTGCCATTCGCCGGCCCGCTGGTGCTTTGGACGAACGACCTCTGAAGAAAAGGGGAGATCCTGGCAAGGGATTGGGGAACAGCAGAATTGGGGACGCATGGGAGGAGGAATCGGGGGCGCATCGCGGTGGGCTCAGAAATCGACGTTCTCTCTCTCTCTCACTGCGAAATGAGGACGACGCGGTTTCTGGCGGTTGTTCTGGGAAGGGTCTTCTCGCGCTGCTGCAGCGCGACTCCGAGATGCGTTTGATGGAGACATGGGGTGCTCGGGCATGTCGGGGTTTGACTACCGAGTAGACTCCATTTCCAAAAGTTTTTCTGGGCCCTGGGCTGGGGTCGGGGGTCGACGAGAACCCGAGGGGTTTTGATACCACGGTGTGACCGGTGTATGTCATGTCACCGAGGCCCCCTTCGTTTCGTGGTGCCGCGAACTGGGGATCCAGCAGTTGTCGAGTCTGGTCCTGGGTTCTTCTTTTCCATGGACGCGATAAAGGTTAGTTCATATACTCCTGCTTGCCCGGCTTCCTCCTAAAATGGCCTGTGGTGCCTGCAGAGTCTATGAGGAATTGGGAACAAGCTGCCTGCATAGAAGAATCCCAAAGCATTTTCAGGGGAAGATGGAAGACTATGAATTCGTCTGGGCTCTGAATCCAAGAAGGCCGAATGCTTTGTGCTCCTTCATAGTGTGCAATGCCCAGCTGCCGCCTTTCGGTCAGAACTATCGCAGGACTGGAAACGACTCCACGGCAACGTCCTCACGATGTGAGGATTCCTTCCCGCAGCTTTCACTTCTCGTCTGACGACCCAAACTCTCACCCCAACGCAGTTTGATGCATAATAACGTGCACAACATCTGATCACTCAGCGAGAACGTCTTGAAACCACCACGGATTTTCAGGTCAAAAATAGGAAGTTGGATGACTTGGTGAAGGCGGAACAGGCCGATGACCAAGTGAAAAAGGAAGAGGAGGATGTCTACAGGAAACCGGAGGAAATAGAGATTCCCTCTCTTCTCTTTTCATCATCCTGCCACTTGCGCTTGACTCCTTCGGCGGTAGCCTTAAGAACATCTCTCCACAAACCCAGACTCTGGATCTGTCAAAGCAGCAAGCCAGCACTTGCCTAGCCAACAAGGCCGTTCGTAAAAACGCTTCTACCATTGCTCTTTCGACCGCTCCATCTGCTTTTACGAGTTGTCATGGTGACCCCCTACCCCGTCGTTGACCGCCAAATCGAATGCAACAACCACTGGACCTCATCCGAGAGGGTCCAGAGTTCGTCAGTCCGCCATCACGAAGCCTGTGGCCAGAAAACCATTGACTCCACGGAAGTATCGATACTCAAGACTGACCTGACCGATAATGAAGTCATCATGGATTTCAGTAACAAGCCTTGAACTTCGGTCAACGACAAGCTCTACGAGGATTGGACCTATGAACCTGAGCTGGCTAGCAGTGGCTCGTGGAAAAAATCTCTCTGCCTTCCAAGGTGGACGCCAGTATCTGTGTGATCTTTACATCCGTCGGCTGAGAGATCTCCTACATGTCCAGATCGAGCCAACAAAGTTTCCCCCGGATCAACGTCAAGTTCTCCGAGTATTTCTCGCCGAGCAGGCGAAACGCGTGCTTGCGTGAAATACACATGGCTTCGAGTGGAGGGCTGGGTGCTTCTAAGTTCTTGGGTGGATCGCTTGGGCAGACGTGGCACTCCGCCAGCCACCCCTCCCATTAGCGTGGTCAGCTTGTAAGAAATAGTCTTCTGGCAGAGGGCCATCACAGCAAGACAAACGCAACGAGCCTGCTACAGGAGCGCTAAGGTGTAGCATTGCTCCCGATCCAGGCCCGAAGATTTATATGGAGCGTCTTTGTCGTAATCCTAATCTTCAGTCGGAGCCATCGGCTGTTGTGGGTTGGCCAATGAATATCAAGACAAGGCTAATGATTATAAGAACCAAGAGAGGTTGATGAATCAAGGAGATAGAATACTCAAGGCATAATCCGTTGTTTGGGTAGGCTGATATGATAGATGCTCCGCAAACATAACTGAAGTCTTACAAAGTTGAAACCGGATCTGCCCTACACGTTATGGTCACTAATTCCTCATTCACAACTGTCGAGCACCTCTTCTACTCCAGAGAGACAGAAAAGATGTAAAATATATAAATACAAAAAGATGTTAGGGCTCAGACCACATGACGTAAGTCATTCGAAGCATTCTGGCGAGGATTGAGAAACATGTCGAGATTATTTCGTTCAGCATAATCAACTTTTGTGGCATTGAACTCTAGACACAGTAGGCTAGATATTGATAAGATACTTAGTTACGATTCTAAACTGTAACCACACGTGCTTTGACTAAAGAAATACGGAGCTTTGGTCATATTCGCTGTTCGAGGTGACGGCCTTGAAATCGGAATTTCATCAACCAGGATGAATACGTTGACTAGCAATGGCGGGAAATGCCATGAACCATCATTCAAGGTTGGTATCCATTCTTTGACCTATCCATAATACGTGAAACTTTCAATGTCGATATAAGAATATTCTGATTGCTATTATCTGGTGGAAATGTTGATGGTTGACGTGATAGAGACATGGACGTGAAGCATCCCCGACTCCACTTCTAGAGGCAGTTCCGGCGAGCTCTGGCCATCACATCCGAGCCCAGGCCCACCACTGCACCCAGTGCCCCACCAACCCCTCGGGTGCCTGCGCTCCCCCGCGATGAGTGACGTTCCATTTCCAGAAGCTCCAGCTACAACTCCCTCAATCCCACACCACAACCACCACGACGCATGATGGCGACGGCATCTTCCTTCCCCTTCCCGCGGGAATACTCCTTCCCGCCCTTCTTCACCCGCCAAACGAACCTCACAACTCACCACGCCCAGCTCGTCAAATGGTCCGACCTGATCCTCGCCTACTGCCGCCACCACCGCATCTTCAAGCTCTCCCTCGGCGCCGCCATCCCCTCCGCCTCCTCGGCCCTCCCGCACGCCCTGCCGAACCACAACGCCACGTCATCCCCGCTCAACGAGCCGACGACCTTTTCCCCGCGACCGCGACGTCCTCCGCCGCCGCCGCGCCCGAGGAGCTCTTCCACAACAAGACGCTGAACAAGCGGCTGTCGCTGGCCGACGCGCGCGAGGTGCTCGAGTTCATGCGTAAGGACGGCCGCGCCGAGGCGCTGCCCGCGAGTACGGACGTGTTCTGGGTGTACTGGCGCACGCCGGACGAGTGGGCCGCCGTGATTGAGGGGTGGATCGACGACACGGCGCAAAAGGGCGTCGTGTTGACGCTGTACGAGCTGACGGAGGGCGAGGGCACGAGAGGGACGGGTGAGGGTGACTCGAACCCGCGACGTGACGACTATGAGCTGACGGTGTTGCCATACAGAGTTCCACGGCCTCGACCCCGACTTGCTCGCGAAAGCGCTACAGATCCTGGTCAAGCGTGGCAAGGCCCAGATCTTTGGACAAGAGGACTCGCAGGGTGTCAAGTTCTTTTGATTGCTCTTCTTGCTTGATGATGACGAGCCATGATCTCTTTTGCCGCAATCTCTAACTAGACGTGCCACGTTCACACATTATTTCTCCGAGCGGTCGTAATGAACACCAAAGCCCCAGGCGGTGGCTCCCTTCCAATGAACCTTCCAACTCCAAGCCAGCGCGCAATATATTTACAACCAAAGTCGCCGAAGCGTGAAGCCCCAGGCGTTCTGTTCATCACCCTGCATCTACGCGCTCTTCTCGAAGAAGTTCTTGGCGAGGTATTTCTCGTCAAATGACACCTGCTGCGTCATGGCCACGTCCAAGAGCCAGTCGGCAGCGACAATGCGTGGCTCCATGTGGCCCTTGCGGGCCATTTCCTCAAACTTGGGCCAGAGGGACCTCTCATCGGCGCTGTTAGAGCTGAGAAGGTAGACGGGCTCGGGCGGGGCGCCGCCGTCTTCTTCCTCCGTCGTCGGTTTGATGGTCGTACCGCTGCGCGCGCGGTACAGCTTGAACATGGCCCCGTTGGCCTCGGCAATGGCCTTGTAGCTATCGGGACCGTTGCAGATGTTGGCCGTGCAATAGATAGGGACGGTCCACAGGAGCTTGCCCAGGTTGGCCCTTGCCCTGGACACCGCCGTCTCGATTGTGACGCCAAACTTCTTCTCGTTCTCCTTGTCATTCAAGAGGAATTCGTCAGGATCCGGGACCTCGCCCGTGTCAAGGGCCGCGTCGATAAAGTTGGATGAGAGAATGGTTGGTCCCTTGGCCAACGTCTTGAGGAACTTGACCGTCCGCACCATGTGAGGTGCAGCGAGATAGTCGCATGGTTGATTGTCCTGCACAATAAGAATTCCCATGTCGCGGAGTTTCCTCTGCGAGTGGTTAGCACATAAAACGAACGTCAAGGAGCCGACTCGACTTACCCTTTCCGAGTCTTCTTTGGATTTGCCGTTGACCCATCTCGTGAAGCCAGTCAAGACAACTCTCATCTCAATATCTGGACGCGAGGATCTGCTCTTTTTGGCGGGCCGTTTGTCTTCCTCGTCGACATCCATGGCTTGCGCTGGGCTAGATGTGCGTCCGCGTTCCTTGTCAATTTGATCGGCAGCACGCTTGCCACCCCACGGGCCGTGGCCGTCCTTGGCTCGCTTCTTTTCCTTCTCGTACAGGGCGATATCCGGGGCAATGCGCTGAAGGTTGGTGAGGGCCTTGCTCTTTGCGCTTCGGCTGCCGGTTGAAACAACCGAGGGAGTATCATTCTCCTTGCCACGGCCACCTCTCTTGGGACGGACTGGCGTCATGAAGCTGTCGTCAATGACCTCCTCTGCACTCTTCTCCTCCTGCCTGCCGATGACGACGCCCTCAGCTGGTCCGTGGTTGTAGGAGTTCTCCTGTGCAGCCTCGAGGATTTTGCGCTTCCTTTGCGCTCGCGGCGACATCTGCTCCTCGCCACCAGGGTAGTATGTCTCTCGCAAACAGTACTCGTCGAAGAAGGTCTGGCCAATAACCTCGCCCAGATTTGTGCGAACCGGGAAGTGGGAGTATTTGGGCACAGTGACCCTCTGCATCTCGCATTTAGCGTAACTCTCTTCGATCCACAGGTGGTTGACTGTCTCGATGTTCCAGTCCTTGGCTGCCTCATACTTCTCACTGCTGCTTCGCGCCGTGATGAGATGGGTGTTTTCCGCCTTCATAGTCTTGGTATACGTGGCGCCAGTCGCTCTGATCAGGTTCTCTAGGTATATGCGAGCATCGCCGCCGTAGTTGGAGAGGCAGATCTTGAGATCCTTGAAGCCCGGGATGCCGTCTCTGGGTACTGGGTAGTGGAGGAGCCGACGGAGAGGGGATGTCCATTCGTTGTGGGTGATAAGGTGGTAGAGCCACGACAGGTTTCCGACGTCTTTCCCTGACTGGGCAGCCTTCACATACTGTTCTCCGTCACGGTATTGGCAGACAAAGTAGTCGCATGCCTCCACATCGTCCACAGTTTTACCGCCGCCATTCGTAATTAGCTGCTTAACAACTTCCAGCGATCGTGGGGTGATATTAAGGTCCCATGAGAGCATGACTTTCTTGTCTCGGAATATGGTAGCCGCCCTCCGGGGGCCGTCGGCGAGGTGATTAGGGGTCGTGGAGGTCGCTCCTTGAAGGTGGTCATATTGAGGAATCTGAACCTCGCCCTGGTTTTCAGGTCTGCGCAGGATCTCGGGGTCGGGTAGCGTGTAGGGGCCTTCGTCGATTCGCTTGCCGAGCTTGAAGCAGTCTTCGAACCTAGGACGCGTCAGGGATGATCCGACGCTTCATCTCACCAAACCTACCAATGAGGCAGAACAATCTTGCATTTGAGCCCCTTTTCCTTAGCGGTGACACACTTGGGATTGTCCATGGATAAGGCGCAAATGTGGGTGGTCTGTCGCGTGACGTCGGCGCTTTCCATACCGCCCATAGCCAAGGTGGCACCGATGATGGTTTCCTTGTCGATTTCAGGAAGACCGGCGCAAGTGAGGGTGACTTTGGAGAAGAACATGCGCGGGTCAGGGGAGTAGGGCCGCACCTGGGCCTGCTTGTTCCTCTGGATCGATGCTTTGATCCAACCGGGATTGACGACGGGGATCATGTAGGCTTGGGTTTCGGTGAACTGGGGGAAGTCGATGGTGTTGGAAATAATGTGAGAAACCGCTTCAAGTCTGATAGAACCATCGCGTCTCGGATCCAGGACTGTGCCGCCGCGGCCCTTCACGATTTCTGCTAGTTCGCTGATCTCCTTGGGAGCCAAGTAGGCGCTCGGTACGAAGGCGAAGGCGCATTCTGTAAATAAGCCCTTTAGGTCAGACATGACTGACGTTTGAATAAGGCATGCAACTGGGATTTATAGAGCCAGTGGGCTGCGAGTTCGAGGTTTAGGCATACGCAAGGCGAGATTCTGGAGTGAGCTGTCGAAGTGTTAATTGTGGAAAGTGACAAGGTGTGAGTGTAGACAATCGGGTACGGAGGCGATTTTGACGCGAAAATGTTAGCGACGCGGCCGGGAGAAGGACGCGAAGTGAGCTCGCAGTCACGTGTGACTTGAAGATACCTGTGATTTGGTGGACCGGGCTCGCAAGCTGAAGTACTGGTACATTGCCTATTAAAACCGCGATGGGACGCGTCCAAACAGCCACCAAACAGGTGGCACAGGCGCTTGCTAGCGCTGTCAGCGGAGCTATGGTGACATCCATGCAGGCGAAAACACTGAAATTTGGAAGCTTAATACAACTACGATTTCCCCGGGAGTTGGAGTTTCTTCTTGTCTAAATAGATTATCATTTCTTTTACATCCAACTAGCAGACTGCTTTTGCCAACAATTAAGTCAACTGCCGACTCCAAACATCGTCATACCTGTATTCGGGACCCTCGCATTGATGAAAATCACATACAGTTTCATCCAGATTCTGGCCATTCTATTGATTCGTTATCTACAGCTACCACCTTTCTTCCTCACGACCCTGGTGTTTCCATTGGTCCTGAAGACATCTCATCTTATACCGAATTTTTTTCAAAGACTCGACTTGATCAGATCGCCAGCACGCTCGCCAATGGCATATACGGTCGCCTGCGGGTTGGCACGCACCGTAATGGGAACAATGGAAGCATCAGCCACCCGCAACCCACGGATACCATGCACACGCAGCTTCTCGTCGACCACTCCACCTAGTTCACGAGGCATCATGGAGCAAGTGCCCGTGAAGTGATGAGCGCCAATTGCAGTCTGGCGCACAAAATCCTTGGCTTGCTCGAGATCAGTCAAAGCATTGTTCGGATTACGCTTTCCTCCCGTCTTCAGCTGACTGCGAAGCGGCTCACTAGCTGCAATCTTCTCCAGTAGCCGGACATGCCTGGCCAAGACTTCGACGTCAAAAGGATGAGAAAGATAGGCGGGGTCGATGGCAAGGGCGGATGACTCCAAGGATGCCGACGTAATGTGACTCGAACCTCGCGAGAGTGGGTGAGCGAGGAGTATGGCTATTGTGAAGTATTTCTCGTCGCCAGGAGGTGGAGGTGCCATGGTTCCATCTCCGCTGAACAAGGCATACCCAGGAAACGACAGATAGTATCCCGAAGGCTCAGAGGACGACGTCAGGACGGACCGTACATACGTTTCAAGGGCCTTTGTGAAGGCCGGAGTTGCAGATGTCTTGGGTCCACCCAACTTGTCGAGAAGCTGGCACAGGTCCTCACCAGCCGGCAGAGGGAGCTGCGCCGTCGCCGAAGTACCGCTTCGGGCAAAGGGTCCGGTGCCCTTGCCATACGCCTCCATAGCAGCTCCAACGGCCGCCGGATCCTGCCGGACAATACTATCCATGGTGTCGTGTTCTGGAAGGGCCTCGAAGCTTGCGCCAACCATGACGTGGTTCTGAAGGTTCTCGCCAACGTGGGGGTTATCAAGCACAACGTCGATGCCGAGTCCACGAAGAAGCTCTGCATTTCCGACACCAGAGAGCTCGAGGAGTCGTGACGAGTTAAGCGTGCCAGCAGTCAACACAACTTCCTTTCGTGCCGTCACTGTTTTCGTTTCGCCATCCTTGGTGTACTGGACAGCTTCAGCGACAATCTCGCCAGCATCTGCCTTGAAGACGATCTTGTTCACGAGTGCTCCCGTCACAACAGTAAGGTTAGACCGGGACTTTGCAGACTGGAGGTATGTGCTAGCGGCATAGCTTCTCTGCTTTGTCTCCGGGTCTACAGTGTCGGGTGTGATGCTGCTGCCGACTCCCTGGCCACTCAAGGGATCGCAAGAGTCCGCGAAGCCCAGCCCGCGGATGGTGTCTTGCCAGACCTTTGGCCAGAAAGACTCCGCGTTGTCTGGAAGAGACAACTTGAGAGGACCTTTCCCCTCACCAGATGCGATGGAGTAGGTCTTTTCAGAAGCCTCTTTGAAAGTAGGCCAGTTCCAACTGGGGTTGCCTAAACTGGCCCACGCTTCAACGTTGGACTTTGTGGTGACAGTGAAAGAGAGGCCGTTGAGCGCACCCGAGCCACCAAGGAGGCGGCCCTGAGGCACGACAATCTCTCGGCCACCAAGGCCTTCCTGCAGATGACTTTCTATCAGCAAACCTAGCCTGCTAAGAGTACATGTTCTTGGGCAGAACTCACTTGTGGCACCGTCCGGAACTGCCAGTCAGAAGGCGTCTTCACCAAACTGGGGCCTAATGCGGGAATATTGACCCGAGGATCCGCCGTTTGGTCTTCTCCCGCCTCGAGCACCAGGACTTGGAGATCTGGGATCTCGGACAGGCGTGCCGCTACTACCAAGCCGGCAACGCCGCCGCCCACAATGACAAAGTCGTACGTCGCAGTCATTTTGAAAGAAAGGTGTGATGTCAAGTAATGCACGCAAATGAACCTGCAGAAGCAGAGGAGAGCATTGGACTTCCCGCCACTGTTAAATCATGGCAAATCCCCTATCCCGAGACATGTACAATTGCGGCAAAGCATCTTGTTGCCATAGCGCCGAGAACACTCCCGGCATCTCCCCCGCGCAGCGGCCGTATTGCACCAACATACGACAATGCGCCAACCAGCCATTTCTGGTACCGTTGGGAGGACGTTCCACTGCAGAGTCGCATCCGTACGACAGTGTAAATGCAATAGGGGCTTGACGTTTTAGGGCGAAGACCCTCCCACCTCCCGGGGCCCCCCGGTCAGTGACTGACTAGGGGAGGCCTGGCGGATATCTGTATATCAAGGTTATCGGGGTGACCCATGGTGACCACGTCGCGATATGGCATGTACTTCACATCAAGCAGTACAAACTCTGAGATAGAATCTCGGGCACTGCAGACCGTGCTGGTTTACATCACAGTTATTGGACACTAGTCAGTGTGCGTGGGATTCTGGTTTGCTCAACATGCTGTCTGGCGGTGAGACCAGGCCGGACCCAATCATGGAAATGAGAGCCATGCCAGCTTCGACGACGGCTCAGCTGGCGTACGTAAACCAACTCCAAGCTCATGCCAGCTTTGGAACTAAAAGATAGACTCACAGACCGTCAGTCCATGGGTTTTGAGCTTCTTCAGACTTCCCGAGAACACAGCACGAATTTCATCATGGATTCGCTTTTCGACTCCGACTACCGGAGCGTATTTGTCTATGGTCTTGGGCTTCTTTGTGGCTTTGCCGTTCACTGGGGAATCTTCATCCGTGGTGAATGGCACGTACAGGCACCTCAGATCCTGCTGGGTCACTTGTGGCTCTTCTCTTGCTTCGCAGGCCTGAGCATATACTACAGTGGCACTGCCATTGGGGAGTTCTCCCATTGTTTGCTGATTCTGTCTGCTGGATATCTTCCTGGACTTTTTACCAGCATTACTTTATACAGAGTCTTTTTTCATCAGCTCAGCACCGCTGGCTTCAAAGGTCCATGGTACGCCCGTGTCACGAAGCTCTGGCACATCTGGGCCTGCAGAGACTGCAAAAACCACTTGGTCTTGGAGAAGTTGCACGAGCAATATGGAGATTTCGTAAGGACAGGTGAGTAGCCTCATACTCTGGTCTTTTTGGAACACTTTCTTATTGATTGTTAAGGTCCCAGTGAGATCACCGTCTTCCATCCTGGAGTCTTTATGGCTGTGGATGGACCCCGATCCGAATGCATCAAGGCTGAGTGGTACGATATCCTGCACCCCGACAGAGCACTTGTCACGACACGCATCAAGCCAATTCACGCTGCGAGACGCCGTGAATGGAACCGTGGATTCTCGGCACAAGGTATGCAGCCCATAGATCTCCGGTGCCGTGAGCTTATTTCTGACGAGCCGTGCCGTTTGATAGCCCTTGTCCAGCACGAGTCAAAAATTCTCAAGTATATTGAGCAGCTGGATCTGTGCATCGAGGCGGATGCCAAGGCACACGTTCCTTCCGAAGTTCGCAATCTATTCTTCTGGTTCGGTTTTGATGTCATGGGCGACTTTGTCTTTAGCAAGTCGTTTGATATGCTGCATCAGCAGCAGTGGCATCACATCATTGTCCGGCTGCAGCGCGCCCTATCTCTTTTGGGCCCGTTCAGCCCGGCTCCATGGCTCATTCAGGTTGGCTTCAAACTTGGACCACGGGTAAACGTCCTCAAGGACTGGTTTGACATGGTCGCCTGGTGCGAGCGGCAGATGCGCGTTCGACTGGATGATGCCACCCCGAAGCCGGCCATGCCAGATCTCGCTCACTACTTGATGGAGCTGGACGACGGCCAGACCGAGAAAAAGGACCGCTTGACATGGCTTTATGGCGACAGCTTGCTCGCCATTGTTGCAGGAAGGTAAACTTGCCTCTCTTCCCCTTTGGAAATCCAGCAACTAAAGGACACAGCGAACCTACGGCTGCCGCTCTCATTGGGATCTTCTGCGAGATAGCCAAACACCCAGAGCACGCCGACAAAATCTACGAGGAGTTGAAAGACGTCGACGCGACCAACCTGAAGACCCTCACAAGCCTTCCCCATCTCAACGCAGTCATCAACGAGGGCCTCCGTCTGTACCCAGCACTTCTCACAGGCGGGGCCAGGAAGACGACGGAGAACGGGGCAACGATCGGCGGGACTTTCATCCCACCTCACACGACAATCATTGCCCCGCGTCACGTTATATCTCGAAGTAAGCAGCGGTGGAGGTGGTTTTTAGACTTCAACTAACTTTTCATTTGCAGGAGAGGACTGTTTTGAGCGGGCCAATGACTTCATTCCTGAGAGATGGACCACTCGTCCGGAGATGATCCGCAATGTAGCAGCCTTTGCACCATTTGGAACAGGTATGGTGAACTTTCTTTGGCTACCTCCCTGGATCGACAGCTAATCTTTTTCCAGGCCATCACAGCTGTCTTGGTCGCTTCCTTGCCATGGACACCATGAGGTTCGTTGTTGCTAGGCTGGTCAAGAAGTACCACTTCCGCCTCGCACCAGGGGAGACGGGACACCGCGTGTTTGACGACATCAAGGACCAGTTCACATCTAACCCGGGACCCTTGTCCCTGTGTTTCGAGCTGAGATGATCAGACTACCACGTGCAAACAAATAGTCGACCAAAGTTTTAGTCAGGCCAATCGTAGTAATGCAAGTTCAAGTCACATGGACGGTCTTTGTTCTCCATTCTGCATACTTCAAACACTAACTCATTGAGTATCTGCAACCTGGGCCACGGTGATGGGCCTCCTTTACAGTCACGGTGTCATCGATATCACGCAAGACTAGTGTAAGGCCAACCGTTGATGCCGCTTGTCAGCAGCTGACCGGACTGAATGGCCTCGGCACCCTTCTTGAGCTCGTCAACATCCCAGTTCGCCCAAACAGTACGACCGTTCAGGAACGCCGCCTCGGGGCTGGTCAACCAGACCGTGAAGTGGGCAGGGAGTTGTACTGCAGTACGGCAAGTCAGCACCCTGTTGGCCCACAGAAGCTGCAATAGGAAGGAGACCAGGCACAACCTGGGAAATGATGGCAGGGCAAAGAAGGCAAAATGACGACGCACCTTTATCCATTGGGAGGGCCTCGGCCTTGGCGCCACTCTTTTTGAATATGTCCGTCTCGACCATGCCCGGATGAAGGGTGGCCGCGAAGATGTTCGGGTTTTCCGCCGCCAGGAACTCGATAATTTTGGTTTGGGCTAGCTTGGATGCCATGTATGCGGACAAGCCCGGCAACGCAACCGCCGGCAGTGCCGTCGTACCAGTCGTAAGGGCCACAAGGGAAGCGTGCGTTGGGTTAGCCGTTGGGAGGAATGCCTTGGTAACGAGGTATGTCCCCTTGGTGTTCGTCTACCATGTTGTAAGTGCTTGGGCTCTCTTCATTGTGGAGTTTCGTCCAAGCGTAAACGGTTCACTCACCTCGAAGCTTTGCCACCACTCGTCACTGGTCGACTCTGCGACAGCCGACGGGCTGGACACGTATCCAGCGTTCAGAATTAGGACGTCCCACTTTCCAATCGCCGCTGCGACCTTGATCAACGCCTCCTCGTTGGTGATATCCACAGCGTGCACATCACTCTGTACCGAAGACGGCAGGGACGCGGCCGTCTCGGCTATGGCGGCCACAGTGCGACCAAGGAGAATGACTCGGGCCGCCCCGGCGGAAGCAAAGGCTAAAGCGGTCTCTCGGCCGATTCCACTCCCCTTCAGGAAAGGTTCAGTTAGACACAACATTGCGCGTGGTACGACATGAAGCTGCGAGGGGCAAAGAACTCCGGACTCCAATATCGGAGTGGGAATCCGCGGGTACGACGGAGGAGTTGGGTGGGACTACGGGGGGGGGGGTTGAGAAATGGAACCTACTGCGCCTGCCACGATGACAGTCTTCCCCGCTGCGCTCAACTCTGGACGCGAGGGCGAGATGGCATCGTAGGTGTCGTTGCGCCAAGTCGGCGTGATGGAGGGTAGAGGGGGTTGCATCTTTGGTATATTGAGGTCGCCCGAGATAGGAATCTGGATTTCAACCTTGGAGGTGTCGAACACAGAGATTGAATGAAGCAGGAGCGATGGATAGACTGAGAAGAAGCGCACGGGGTTGAACGAATACAGTCGACTATCGCGAACGGGGCCCGTCTTTTATCCCCAGGGCGAACCACCATGTACTATGTTGTGATGGGTAACTCGTATACGCACACCAGGTAGTTTGTTGCTTTGGTTCCACAGTCAGCGTGGGATCACAACCCAACTGGCTGGACAGTCACCTATGTGTGTGAAGTAATATTGCTAAGATAAGCCTGATTGCAAACCACAAGATACTCGCGAGAGAGAGAGAGGGGTAAAAGGACTTCGGCCTGGCACGGTAGTAACCAGAGAGCTCGAACGTGCTCACAAGGCCTTGGGTTGCGACTAGTGCGGCGCAGTTGGTCTGGACATGATGTGACTGGTCGGCGGCGGCGTTCCTTCATTGACCCTATGCAAGCTTGTCAACGACAACGTCTCCACCACGGACAGCCGAGCCGGGACTCAGGTGAAACTGAAGGAAAGTGATAACTGTGCCTTGCATGACCACCGGTGAGGCACAGCAATCTTTACTGCAACATCACCATGGCCGGACAAGTAAGGCGGGGTCCCATTTTAGAAGGACGTCTGCAGGCACGACGATTTGGGATATGGAGCCAGGTCCAGCTGAGTATGCGGCATGTAGTGCTGCGGTGCCGTCGGAGGCATTCACATGTTTGCCGTGGTTGTGTGGGACTTTGCTCTGTGTAGTGTGTGTACTATGTATGGCCGTTTGCAAGGATACCAGGAAGTTTGTTATATCAATTTGCAGAAACTCCACTCTGGATCTACCCCCTTTGAGACTGTACGTACTCGACTACACTAGCATAGTACTCGTAAAGACTCCGAGACTCAAACTGGATAGACTGGAGAATAGTAATTAGACCCCTGCAACATGTAAATGGTAGAGCGGGGACACCGTTTTCAAAGAGACATGGGCAGCAAAGTTGGCAAGCACCCTTGCGGGTTGCGACTTGTGGGGTCTATCACGCACATCATGGTTTCCGATCACAGCTGAGAAAGAGAACAGTCATGTGGGAAATGTCATGCTTCCATATTGACATGGTCCACACGTGCGGGAACGTCGAGCAGATGGTTGGCCTCCAGGGACGAATGACGGACCCATCGCAGTCGGTTGTCCGATTGTCTCCGGATGCTGAAGGCCTGTGTGCGTGTGTGGAGTGCGCAGAATGCAGTGTCGGGCAAACGCGCGACCCTAGACTGATTCATGCCATCTCATCTTTCTCTACCACCACCTTCTATCAGATAGCAGCCTTGCATGCTTGGTGATGCGGGAATACAATACAATGCACGGCCCGGTAACGCAACCACTAGTTAATGTACTTGGCTCAACCAAGCCACCAATGGCTAGCGTCCCATACACACACCAAAGCTGGGAACAACCGCAAATAGGGTCGCATCGACTTGTGTCTCATCGTCCACTGCTATTGGGAAGGCCCCTTGCTGTGACTGATAGTCGCGGGGAACCAAGTTTCGTCTCAATGAGTGTGCCTGGACGGGCTAGACGCCGCGGCTTTCGATGCCATGAGCATCGGTTCCGCACCCCCCATAAGAGTTGAAGGCATCCCACGCGCCTGGCTGTGCCGCTAATGCGTGTTAGTTGTCTGGCATCCGAACTTACATCTTCAGCTTTGGGGTTCGAACCAACCGCATTGCAAGCGCGCTTTGTTTGTCACATAGTCTCAATCCTTCCGCAACAATTTGCCCGATATGCCTGGCGCTGGCGCAAGGGGCATCAGCCTCCTGGTATGGACTGTTGTCTTTACCGTTCTCGACGCCTCCGTACTGTGTCTGCGGGCATGGTCTGCCAAGGTAATGAGAAGGTCATTCTATTGGGATGACGGAATGATCCTGTTTGCGTTTGTAAGTCCTGGCTCTTTTCTTTCTCGTTATCAACTGGGTTAACTCGGACAGGCCAACTTGATAGCGCTGGAAGGCGTGGTGGTCTGGGCTATCTACAACGGTCTGGGCAAACACACGAACGAATTGACTCTGGAAGAGTATGCTGTGCAGTTCAAGGCAAGTATTCTGCAGCTTCCTCTCGATATCATCCTCTAACAGCTTGCTGCATAGCTTATCCTCGCCAGCGGCGTGACATGGCTCCTGGGCACCATCTTTATCAAGATGGCCATCCTGTGGTTATACACGAGAATCTTCGCCACAGCCCAGTTCAAGCGCTGGTCACGTATTCTGATGGGCATCACTGGCGCCTACGGCGTCGCGTTCCTCATCCTATTCATGAGCAGGTGTTCGCCAATGTCTCAGCAGTGGGCGCCGGTCCCTGATGGTCACTGCCGCGACATCACCATCGACCAGATCGTTTCGGTAACAATCAACATCGTCATCGACGTCGCCATGACCGCACTTCCTATGCCGGCGCTTTGGGGGCTTCAGATGCCCCTGAGAAACAAGGTTGCCGTCAGCGCCATGTTTGGCATGGGCTTTGCGTAAGTTGTTCCCCACGCACCGTCCTCCCTCAGGTTAGCTAACACAAACAGAACCATTGGAATCATGATCTGGCGCCTTATCAACACAGTCACCACGATTGGGGACCTCGACTTCGTCTATAACCTCCGCGACATCGGCCTCATCAGTCTCCTCGAGCTGTGGATTGGCATCATCATTGCTTGCTTGCCCACTCTTGGCCCCTTGTTCAAGACATACGTAAAACCCGCCGTCTCCAAGCTGACGAACCCCTCGACCGAGAGGGGAGCTGTTCATCTCAAGGAGATTTCTACCAGTGGCCATAGCAGCCGTCAGCCCCGTCGGATATACGACAAGCTCGGTGACAGCGGTTCCTATATGGACCTCGAACGCGCCGAGCTGGTCAAAGAGGGTGCTGTTACAACCAGGTGCCAATTCTCCCCAGAATTTGAGGCACCGCGTGCCAACAGGCCGGTCATCTATGTCCACCAGAACATTGCGTCAGAGACGTCTCAACGAGAGTCGCATAATTGAGTCGGTGGTCGCGGTTAGGGTCGGCGTTATCGGAATATGAGTTACATAGCTTTTTTTTAATTGCCTTTCCTTTATAATCACATGGTATCCATCTGAGTTTCTGTCCTCAACGATCGAGATAAATATAGTGTTCAACTTTCCTATCAAATGATCCGCGGCTAGGATCTTCCAATGCCTGTGGCTACTAACGTTGTAAAACTTCCGGGAGAATTTCCAACAGACCGGTTTCGCGATCACTTGCGGCAGGACTGTCCAGGCAGGCTTGGCGAAAGGCACGTAGAATCATTTGCCCAGAAAGGTTCTCTCGTCTCCAAGCAAAGACAAGACTCTGGAGTCTCAGGTGGAGCAGCAAAGTGAAGGCAACCCGGTGCCGTGGCTGGGGATACCCTGCTATCGTGTCTAGGAGGTATCACTTCAGCGATGGGAAGCAGTCTAACCAAGCGAGACCAATTTTTTGAGTCTGAACTGGCAGAAGCTATGGTCACATCTTAATCATACGTGGACCTTGAGGTGGATAATGTGTGAGAATCATGGAAGAGTGTCGCCACCCGAGACCGAGGGTAATGCTGCGAGAGATCAATCAACCCCGGTATATCTCCACAGTTGAGTGTATCGCGCTTCCATCTTTAATGATTTAAACCCATTTCCCGCTCAGCCGAAAGATGTATCAATACAACGCTAGAATATGGGTCAATACCACTTTATATCGCTGCTCCATACGACACTGTGTAGTATCACATGCCTGATCTCCACGATCACAAACTCTAGTTGATTACAAGCTCCCATCTTCGTCGTGGGAGTCAGGAGTTGGTTTTAGACTTTGATCTTGCATTCGTGGGATACCGACCATTACTATAGTCCTCACAAGTGTGGTCATGCTTAAACGGAAACTGCTTTGAGGAACGTTTCCCAAAGGGATCCCGTGTACCTTGATTTGCCGTGAGAGCTGCATATCGCACCAAGCCGACTCATTCGACCCTCGGCGTATGATCGTTCAGGGGTTCAACGCATCTCGCATATGTGTGCATTGCCTGCTGCATAAGTCACGGGCGCGCCATGGTTGCGAAGACCTCGGAAGCGTCATGTTGACGAGCCTGGGGTTGATGTACCGTCTAACAATTAGACATCTGGTGATGGAGGCATCCACAGCCGCTTGGGCATGTGCTAACGACGACGACGGCCAAAGCGGTGTCGTATTTGCCCGCAAGACCCTCGAGGCCGACGATGTGTTGTCCCTCAGCGGGCCTTTATCTATGGGCCATGAGCACCCTTCGAAAGATGAAAGATCAAAGAGGGTCCTCCTTGTGCTCAAACGAAGTGTCGACCCAAGTTGTCTGATCATTCTCCAGAATCATTATCTCTTTGAACGTCAAGGAACCTAATTGCAGGACGGGACACCATGCAGAGCCCAGCCATCGGGGAGCGTTCCCCCCTAACGCTCAAACACTCCTCGTTTGAAGGCGAGATTGCCTCGAGCAGCGAGCCGTCCACCATCATGAACATCCTCCGCGTCCCTCGTCTGATCTGGGACTTTACCGAGAGCAACTTCGCCACTTTCGTCGTCCCCAACACGGCTTTCGGCATCCTGGGCGGGCTTACGGGACTGCCGCTGACTTCAGGCCACGCAACAACGCTCTCGGTCCTCCAGCGTCTTCCTCTGGTCGTTGCCTTCAACTGGTACAGCGTTCTCATATTCGACCTGGCTAACCAGCGCGGTCCCGAATCTGTGGCCGAGGACCAAGCGAATAAGCCCTGGCGTCCGATACCCGCCGGTAAGGTTACACCTGAGCAAACGCGCAAGGCCATGCTGGTCGCTATCCCTACCGTCTTGGCGCTGAACTACGTCCTGGACGTCTGGAAGGAGGGGTCTTCATCCTCATCCTCACATGGCTGTACAACGACCTTCGAGGAGGCGACGAGCTGGTCCGGGACCTCATCATCGCCGTGGCGTACGGCCTCTTCAACACGGCCTCACTCAAGATCGCAATCGGCGGAGACGCCGAGGCAACCATCACCAACGAGGGATATGCGTGGGCTTCCATCATTAGCGCCGTGATCCTGACAACAATGCAGGTTCAGGACCTGAAAGACCAGGCCGGCGACCGCGGCCGCGGCCGTGCCACCGTACCCCTTTTCTTTGGCGATAAGGCCTCGCGTCTGTCGCTCGCGGTGCTCGTCCCATTCTGGTCGTGCGTCTGTGTCCACGTGTGGCACATCCGCTCATGGGCAGTCTTGCTGCCCACGTTATCCGGCGTCATGGTTGTCGTTGGGGTCCTTCGGAGACGAACTCCCGAAACAGATTCCTGGGCTTGGAAGTTATGGTGCCTGTGGACCATCTGTCTGTATTCCCTGCCGCTCGTCGGTAACGGTTTCGTGTCGTTCACGGCGCATGTCTAAGAGGCGCTGGGGGGCGTTAGGACATTACCTGTTTTCTACAAGTCTGCAGTGTATGCAGCGCGCCGTTTACAGTCGGTTTTCCAAGGACCCTTGAAGCTGTGCGAGTCATGAGCGATGAAAGTAGGTGAGACCGTCTGGGAGTCGGAGGTCAGTTTGGAACCCGGAGAGGTTGTTGTCGAGTCGTTGACGTGCGTGATCTGGAGTCGACTAGGGTCACGAGTCAAGCGCAGGCAGGGAGCGGGCCGCGGGGGTCAGGATGTGCAAGAATATGGCGCGGCGCCGGAGGATACCTTAGCTCTGTTCGTAAATATTGGTTGGCAAATTGAAACGTTAGAAAGATGCCAACTAGGCGCAAGATTGACTCGTCTGGTGTTAATGATAAGCCGCACACGCGGAAGGATCATTTGGCTCCCTCCTTGCTGGTGGTGTATTTCGTCAAGACAGTGGTATGGCACGGGGTTCCATTCGGCTGACTCATTGGTTTCCGTCCTACTCCGGGTATCGTCCGCCCACCCGAGCCACCTGGGGTAGATCATCTTGCAACGACACCTTGCGGGTTCCACGTAACTGCAGATTTTGATTGCATCGTTGACAGGCATCGGAACGGTTGTGGGTGCGGACGGGCTGACCTTGACAGTGCCAGTCTGCACACTACAGGGTGTCCTACGAGTCCCCTGCCCCGAGATGCTAGTCCTGCATACTATCAACTTGACAGAGAACGACTGACATCCTTGAGTATAGTACAAGTGCTAGTGACAATCCCTCAGGGGAACACCGTGATGGTACCTACCTGTACCAGGTCACTAGAGTAATTGGACCATCCAACTGTTTAACAAGCCCCCTCATCTGAATGAAAGAGATCCGAGTCCCGCGGAGGCCGATGTTTATCCGGAAGGTTGACGGTCCTCTCATCCGCAACGTGCGTTGACTTGGTCTCTTGACCGGGAGTTACATACGGCAAACAGTCCTATTTCTTCCAGTTCCTCCGCTCGGGCTCGCAGGGTTAAAGAGTCAGGAGCGTGCCGCTTCAGACGTACTCTTGCCAATAGTCCAAAAGTTTCTTCCCTCACCCTTCAGGTGGACGAATGGACAAGTGGACACATAGCAATCGGGGCCAAAGGGACCAATATTGGCATGGGTGCTAATCAAACCATCGTCAGTCTCTTGGCTGTGCTCGGTGTCATTCATTTTTCGTGTTTTTGGTGCTCTTGTTCATGACTTAGATCTTAAATATATAGGACAGGCAGCTTAGAATTCAATCGTTTACTCCTCACCTCCATTCTCTCAGCTCCAGTTCTCCCTCCCCTCTCCTCTCCCGCAAGCCATCGTGACGATCTTCTGTTCGCTCAAGATGGTGTCTTTCCTCAACTTGCTCGCAATCGCGCCTGCAGTGGCCTCGGCCATTTCCATCGGCCGAATTGGTCTGGGCGAGAGACCAGGAAAGCCTTTGGCTCACGGCATCGCCCAAAGGGACTCGACATGCCGCTGCTACCCTGGAGAGGATTGCTGGCCGACAACAGCAAAGTGGGATGCCTTCAACGAGACCGTCGGTGGACGTCTCATCGCAACGGTCCCCATCGGTGCCGTCTGCCACGATAGCTCGTTCGGCGCCTACGACGAGGCCAAGTGCACAGCTCTTCAGAACAGCTGGGCCAACTCCGAGACGCACATTCAGACCTCCTCCTCGGTGATGGCGGCCTTCTTCGCCAACGACAGCTGCGATCCCTTTCTCGACCGCACCGCGCGCTGCATCGTCGGCACCTACGTCCAATACGCCGTCAAGGCCGCCAGCTCTGATGACTACGTCAAGACTATCAAGTTCGCCCAGGATAACAACATCCGCTTCGTCATCCGCAACACCGGCCACGACTACCTCGGAAAGTCCACTGGCGCCGGTGCCTTGGCGCTCTGGACACACTCCCTGAAGGATACCAGCGTTCTGGACTACGAGTCCACTGGCTACACCGGCAAGGCGCTCAAGGTCGGCGCTGGTGTTCAAGCCGGCGAGGCCCAGGCCGCCGCGCACGCACAGGGCCTTGTCGTTGTGGGAGGTAACAGCCCGACTGTTGGTTTCGCGGGAGGCTATACCCAGGGTGGCGGCCACGGACCTCTTGTTTCCAAGTACGGTCTCGCCGCCGACCAGGTTCTCGAGTGGGAGGTTGTCACTGCTGAAGGCCAGACGGTTGTCGCGACCCCCACCGAGTCGTCTGATCTCTACTGGGCCCTGTCTGGAGGTGGCGGCGGTGTGTACGCTGCTGTGCTGTCCATGACCGTCAAGGCCTACCCTGACACGATTGTCTCCTCTGCCAACTTGACGATGACCAACTCGGGTGTCACGGATGACGTCTTTTATGGCGCTGTCACCACCTACCTGAAGAGTCTGCCCGCCATCGTCGATGCCGGAGCGGTCAGCATCTGGTTGTTGAGCGCCGGCGTGTTCCTTATGCAGCCGACCACCCTGCCCAACAAGACCAAAGAGGAGCTTCAAGCTCTGCTCCAGCCGACCCTCGATGCGCTTGATGCTGCTGGCATCACCTATGGTGAGTCGATCGATGAGCCCCTATATCACAATTCGACTAATAAACTCCAGATTTCAACATTGGCCAGTACAACACCTACTTGGACAGCTACAACGACATGAACCCGGAGCCTGCCGTCACCGAGTACAACATTGGCGGCCGTCTCATGCCTCGCTCCCTTGTCGCCGATGACGCCTCCGCCACAGAACTCACAAACACGCTGCGCTCCATCTTGAACGAAGGTGGCATCGTTTCTGGTCTCAGCATCAACGTGGCCCGGCCCGCCAACGTTGTGCCCAACGCCGTGAACCCGGCCTGGCGCACCGCCCTTTTCTCCGCCACCGTCGGAACGTGAGTGTTCCACTGTTTTTGCCTCCGTCACGAGCGAATTAGCTAACAAGAACTGCAGTCCCTACAGCCGCACCGACTTCTCGACCCTCGTCTCCGGCCAAAACACGGTTACGAACACTATCCTCCCCAAGCTCAAGGCGCTGACGCCCGGCGGCGGCGCTTACCTTAACGAGGCAGACCGCAACGAGGTTGACTTCCAGTCCACGTTTTACGGCGACAACTACGCCAAGCTCAAGGCGATCAAGAGCCTCTATGACCCAAAGAGCACGTTTTACGCCCTGACGGGTGTTGGCAGTGACGACTGGGAGGTGCGGAGCGACGGCCGTCTTTGCATGGTTGCGTGAGAGGGCAACGACGATACTGTATCAAATTGCAAGCATACATAATCATAATATAATATAGCTTTATTTAATGCCTCAATCTCGAGTTGCATGCTCCGTTGTTGGGTTGAAGTGAAGTTGGGAACGTTCCAAAGTAATCAAATCGACTGGGTAACCTGCCGGCCAATCAGATACAGCGTTGGTGACAGATTGAGCAATAAGGCGGAGGTCCGTGATTTGTTTGGTTTGTTTGACTGAGATCAAAGCTTGGCAACCAGCCGAATCCGGTATCGTAAGCGAGTCAGATTTGTCAAATCAAATCTCATGCAGGCTTGTCGTGATTGAGTAGAAACATTGGTCGGTGGACCAATTGACCTGATTGGCTTGATCAAGATCGTTCTTAACTCGAAAATCGAAAGCTCCTCTGGGCAAATAACAGCACGGCCTCATGCGTGAATGCATCATTGGCGATAATAAAGACTACATCCGTTGAGGGGGCATAGCAGCGTGTCATTACGTCAATGACATGGTTCGTGAGGCCCGTCTGGATACCTGTCTCACTGCAATAAAAACGACGGACCTTTTAGAAGGTTCAAGTCTTCCTTTAGACGGTCACAGGACGCTGCGTTCCCAGACAGCAAGTAACGATCTAAGCAGACTTGTAATTACCCAAAAACATAAGATCCGAACCTATAACCCCACAACCCTCATCGGCAGTCGACTGTAGCGCCTTGAGTGTCATCGGACCCCCACGGCACTCCAGATAGCGTCTGGTGAGCCCTCTTCCACCGTCTCCGTAGTTATATCGGCATGCACGTAATCCGAGTGCACGTCATGAAGGCGTGGACCTCAATTCGTGGCCATTCCTGTTCAGTGAGCTTGGACCAGGCTGTCCGCAACAACATCCACAAGATGTCCCCGGTTCTTTGCCGCGGCGGTTTTTAGACAATCATTGACGCCGAGTTCCTACAACGTTCTCAAGTTGGGTATCTTGAACGACCTCTCGCATCCGTATTCGGGTCTTCGGGTTGCAGCAAACAGTACGCAGTAAACACCATCAACCAATCACACCGCCCGTTGATTAACGATAGTCGGACCTACTAGTACATGTGAATCTGACAGGGACCCTAATTCCCACCCAATTCGCTTACACCCGATCTCCAAGCATCCACCCCCCCAATCATCACCTGCATGCAGCGGTGCCAGGTACGGTAACGCGCAATTTTTGATAATGGCACGATCTGGAAGAGCTCGTTCCGACGCGTACCAACGGACATTGACGTCGACTACGCCTCCCTCTGCCCCTCGGACAATGCACAGAGGTAGGGTAGGCAGTTCGACGTAAAACCGGCGCGCGGAGGTTTCCTCGGACCCGCATGAGACGCGGGCGGCCCGTTAGCATTTCCCAAAGAGGCAGCGACCTATCAAGCTTTCCCTCTCCTTCGTGCCCCAAGCCCCCCCCTCCGTCTGAAATTTGATTAAGACGAGACTCACCGCCAACCATCACGCGCTCGCTGCGACCATCCCCTTTGCTTTCTCTTCATTCATTCATTCCGCACCCCGCTTGTCAAGCTGCGACCTTCAGTATACCCTTTTTCAATTGACCACAAAAACACAATGATCGCAGCGCCCTGGGACAGGGCCTCAGCACGCGAGCAGCTATTTGTGCTGGTCACTGGCGCAAACAGGTAAACCACCTCTTGTAGCGAGCGTCTCGTGTTCCCCCCCCTTTGGACACCTCCAAAACCCTCGCTGACACCCATCAGCGGAGTCGGCCTCGGCATCTGCGAACGCCTCATCGACGATTTCCTCGCGACCCGGCCCCTGACCGCGCACCTGATCCTCATCCCGACGACCCGCTCCGTCCGCAAGTCTCGCGAGACCATCTCCTCCCTCCGCGACCACCTCCACCGCACCGCGACCACGTCCCCGGCCCTCCGCTCCCGTGCCGGATCCTCCTACTACGACCCCGCCGACACCCTCGCCCGCGTCCACCTGCTTTCCACCCAGCTCGACCTCTGCGACCTCGCCTCCGTGTATGCCTGCGCCGCGAACCTCGTGTCCGGCACGATCACCGACCCGACCGACACAACGAACCCCGCACCACAGTACAAGATTCCGCGTCTCGACTCGATAATCTTCAACGCCGGCTTCGGCGGCTGGACGGGCCTCGATTGGGCCAGCCTCTTCACCAGCCTCTTCACACAGGGCCTCCTCTCCATCGTCACCTGGCCCTCCTTCAAGCTCGCCCGCCCGGGCGCCGTCCTCAACCAGCGCCCCGTCCGCTCCGACCTGGTACCCACAGACTCCCCCGATAACCCCCTCTCCCTAGCCTCCGCTTACGATACCAAGCCCTCCTCCCCCGTGCTCGGCGAAGTCTTTTGCGCAAATGTTTTTGGCCACTACGTCTTTGCGCACGAGCTCCTCCCCCTGCTGAGTAGGGCCACCCCCGAAGAGACCCCTGGCCGCGTCATCTGGACGAGCAGTATCGAGCCCCAGGCCCGGCACTTCCGCCTAGACGACTTCCAGGGCGTCGAGACCGAAGGGCCCTACGAGTCCTCCAAGCGTCTCACCGACGTCCTCTGCCTGACCTCGCACCTCCCCGCAACCCAGAAAGTCTCGGCGTCCTTCTTCAAGCCCGAAGACCCCAAGGCGGCGCAGGCCCTACCAGTTCGTCCTTCCTTTTACCTCACGCACCCGGGCGTAGTCGCCTCCAACCTGTTCCCCGTCCCCTTCCCCTTCATCCTCTTTTGGGCTTACAAGTTTGCGCTCTACCTCGCGCGGTGGCTGGGCTCGCCGTGGCATCCCGTCACGGGGTACAACGGCGCCGCGGCGCCCGTCTGGATCGCGCTGCAGGACGACGAGACGCTCGTGGAGCTGGACGCCAAGAAGATCAAGTGGGGCTCCGCGACGTCCTTCTCCGGGCGGCAGGATGTCAAGAAGACGGAGGTCGAGGGGTGGGGGTGGGAGGGCGCCGTCGAAGACCGCGACTCCCTGTCCAGGGATCCGGCGACGGGCGTGCTGAGGAAGGTCGTCGGGAGGAACCCCAACGCCAAGGACCTGAGCAAGGAGCAGCTGGCCGAGTTTGAGGTGCTGGGGACCAAGATCTGGGCCGAGATGGAGAGGCTGCGACACCAGTGGGAAGAGTTTCTTGACATCCGCGGGCAGGGTATCAACGGACACAGCAACGGCAAATCCGGATGAGACGGGCCCACGAACGGTCGCGGGTCATTTGCTTGGCAAAAAAAACAAAACATAGAGGGTATCCAAAATTAAAACTAACATAATGCCTAATCACATTCCATTCACTCGTAAGACGCCCCTCCCTCTGGCCTTATCAATTCGTGCACACGTTACCGGCAGAGACGTGACTACGGGTTCTCCTGCCGGACCCCTTGCGTGTCGGACCTGACGCGCCGCAGGCTGACCTTGTCGCGCCGGCCAAACAGGCCCAAGCACAGCGGCAGCGGCACGATGGCCATGGCGATGACGGCCTGGAAGATGAGCACGTTCTTCATGTTCTTGGGCGGGTCCGCCTTGCTGTCCGCCTGCAGGGCGTCCGAGATGATGATGAAGAGGGCGCCGAGCAGCTGGCCGCCGGCCCAGGCGATGGTGCTCGTGATCTCGGGGCTGACGGGGTGGCTCAGCTCGATGAGCAGCTCGAGAGCGACGGGCACGAGCGAGAAGGACGACGCGCCGAGGACGGCGAGGACGACGTACGGCCCCGCGATGTTGCGGGTCTCGGGCATCCAGATGAAGACAAGGTAGCACAGCCCGATGATGGGGACGGCCGTCTTGATGGCCAGCAGGAACTTCTTTGTGCGGTCCAGGATCGGGGACGTGATGGCCGACGCGACGAGGCCGACGACGATGAGCAGGGCGCCCGCGATGCCGGCCTCCTCGTCGGAGAAGCCGTAGGGAACCATCATCTGGTTCAGCAGCGAGGAGATGGAGTTGAAGAAGCCGACGTAGAAGGCGTAGGGGATGAAGACGAGCCACAGCTCCAGGGAACGCGAGACGATGCCGACGGACTCGCGGATGCCAAGCTTGATCGTCTCCGACGAAGGCGCCACGGGGGTCGGCGGGCGCGCGGGGATAAAGAAAGCCGGGAGGGCCGCGACGGTCGAGATGACGGACACGTACAGCACGCCCGAGGACATATCGCTCGGGGAAGTCACCCAAAAGGGGACAATGAGCTGGCCGAGTGCGGCGCCGAGGGGGTTCGCGAGGGACGTCAGCGCCGTGGCGGCGACGCGGCCGCGGTTGGTGAACCAAAGGTCCGAGTACCTCGTCGGCGCCGCCAGAACGAAGGGCTGCCCGAGACCCGTGAGGATCTGGCCGAACATGACGACGCCGTAGTTTCCCCCGGAGCTGTCGTGCGAGCCGGCATACCGGACCCAGTTGCCGATGAGGATCAGCGCAGCCGCCGTCATGAAGGAGGGCTTGGGGCCCCAGTGGAGGATGCGGATCGCGACGGGGAAGATGACGACGAACGAGAAGAGGAAGGCGGTCGAGAGCCAATTGATGGTGGACTCGGAGACGCCGTAGTAGGACGCGGCGCTGGAGGCGACAGGGGCGAAGGTGAGCCACTGTGACGATCTGATGTCAGCTTCTCTGCGATCCCCGTTTTGTAGGATTGGCCCATGGGGATTGTTTCATTCGCCAGTCTCGTCGAGATCGCAGGATCCTGGCTTACGGGCTGCAGGTACCAGACCTCAATGCCGAATCGGTAAAGACATCATGTCCGGGGAAAGAGAATACGGAAGTGCACGAGTTCGTCGACTTACATCCCAGGACACAATGATGTTGAGCAGCGTCAACTGCGCTAGGCCGAACCAGCGGCGCTTATACGTGCGGTACTCGGTCGCCGTTCCCTCAAGCACGCTGTCGTTGTCGGCGCCCCCCATGGCATTCGGGTTGCGGGGCACACCGTTGCCGGAGTGGTCACGCGACGCCGACGAGTCCACATCGCGAAGCTCGTAGTCCTCGTCCCCCAGCTTGCCAAAGCCGGAGCCGGGCCGAGCGTGGTTCGGCATCGGGGCGTCCTGCTTCGCAAGGCTATCGCGCAAAGGGTTCGCGACCTTGTCTTCGGCGTTGCTTTTGTCCTCGTTGCCCGTATAGTCGTTGTGGGTTGCGATGTTGGTATTATCGGCGGTGGTGTTGTTTGCGACCGAGACGTCCTCAGTCTGGCCTTTGGGGCGGCGGAAGAAGGGCATTTTGTTAGATACACTGGGTCGTGCGCCTTTCTGAGACGCGGGTTAGAGGGGGGGGGGGGGGTTGTGGATTAGCGGGCACGGGGAATCGGTCTAGGCGTGTCTTGGCGGGGAAGTGTCCTGGCCCTTTGTGAGCTTCTCTCCTTTCGCCTCGATTTTATGTCTGCAAACGTAACAGAAAAGACGAGCCTTCCCGACGGTTGAAGTTGGCCGTAGATCCAGAGGCAGCAAGAAACAACCAACAGCCGAGCAAGGCCGCAAATGAGGGGAAACTGACTGAAGAGAAGATAAGAAGGGAAAGCGGGAGGCCGACTTGAAAAGGAAATGGGAAACCAGAAGCCATGACAGGGGACCTCAAGTCACACCTATCGCGCTGCATGGGTCAGTGGCCTTTTGCTCTTGCTCATCTCTACCTATCCAGAACAAGTGAACTGATACTGGATGTGGGATAGAACCTGTCTATTGCTGTGACTGAGGCTACGGCTAATCCGACCCACCGTACCTCAACTCGACGCCGGCTGGCTGGCATTACGCAACACGCAGTAGAGTAAAAGTCAAACCGACGGATGAATCTGGTCACCTCCCCATTTCTCACCTGCAGGAGTTCCCCCTGTCAGCGCATGTTGGTCCAGTATCCGAATTACGAGCACGGAGGAGGGAGGTGAGGGGAAGATGGCGTCAAACTTCCACCTCCCGTGCCTCGATGCCGACTTGTGGAAAGAAGCCCACTACCGGTGTTAACATGCCAGCACCGGCCGGCGAATGGTCGACTGTTAGATGTCAAAAGTAGGAACGGGCCACGGAGTCCGAGGCTGCGAAGCTGCGAGGGAGAACCATGCTTTTTACCACAGCTGAACGAACCGCTGCATGAGAAGCTTGGAACCACTACATGTAGCAAGCAAACCCAAAAAAGGTCTCGTGTCGTGCAGTGGATATTGGTCCTTACTCTTACCCCAAGTTTATCATTCAGAGACGCTCACATGCCTGAACCTGCATCATTGTGGTTCCCGTGGCCGAGGGATACTACATGGTAGATAGATAACGTACCAAAATTACAAAAGATGGTGCAGCTAGAAAGGAGGCGGTTGGCCAGAACTCACAACCTTTTTTCCCAGTTGTCCAGAACAGGCAGAACAAGCCTACTACATTAAGCGGGTTGACGGCGAAGCAACCGCAGAGATGGAAGGCGCTGTGTGGCTGGTCTCCCATTGGCCTGTCTCTCGGCCGGTTCATCGTATTGGGCCCTGTCGCCCGGCCTAGTCGCCTTGGTTTACAGGGACCGGCAGCCATCCGAAGTCCGCCAATCTCAGCATCGTCGTCCGAGAGAGATGCCGCAAACGCTCTGCTGCAGATATCATAAACTTCTACCGCTGGTCCGCTGCAGCCCTTGAGGTCGATACGCCAAGACTCGAGAAGAAGAAGAAGAAGAACAGAAAGGACTTTGAAACATCTCGCAATGATTGTGTGTCACGGTTGGAATCAGCACCTGCAACTGAGAGTCGGCGAAGGAGGGCGTTCCCTTCTTGGGCCTGAATTTTTGCCCGGAGGCCAGTTCTCACCGTATTGCCGCAGATGACCGGGTTTCTCCTTTTTTTTGGTGCTTTATAGCGCCTAGTGCTGCATTTTGAGCTTGTCCTTTTGGGTCAAGCTGGCACATCTTTGTTGTGCAGTATTGCCAGATGGTGTGTTTGTCTGTGCTGCGCTATCACCCAAGAGCTTTGGTCTTCGAATACTCAGAAGCGTAGAGAGAGCATATGTTGAAGCGTACCTAACTCCAGACATCAGCAGATTTCCACATCTTGGCACTTGAGCGACATTTCCGGTCTGGGTTCGCAGCAGGTGGCAACGAGTCTCAAGCTAGACTGCCGAGATCGTAAGTCGACTGCCATCATAATGGTACCAATTTGATAAATCATAGAGGAATCTATTGCGGGCGATGCCTATGGTACAAAGGACAAATATCTGTGCCGCAAGCCCGACAATGCTCACTGCTGAGCAGCCCGGCTTGATCGGCACCGTGGGGTACAGGGTTGGTCCCAAAGGACCGATGCTTGACGTCGTCTCGTCTCGGCATCACGTCTCTCGCGGCCACCTTCTAAGAAAATAACCTGCGCCTATGCCGCTGCGATGGTCTTGGGATCCGTCGACGCCGTCTTTTCGTGAGTCGAGTGGATGGTTTACTTGAGCTTGGCCCAGAGCTTGGGGGCAGCGCACTGGGTGGCACAGTGGGCAAGGTGGAAGACTGTACAAAGTCAGCTTTCGTCCTCGACGGCTAGACACCGTGCCAGCGGCATTGCATCACAGATTTGGCAGACTCGGGCGACTTACACTCCTCAACGCAGTCCTCCTTGGCGCCGTCCTCGCTGTCGGCGGCCGCAGTGACACGCTCGACGCACTCGTCGTAGTGGTGCTTGGCCGGTGCGCAGGCCTTGGACTCCTCGCACTCTGCACTACGTTGTCAGCGTTCTGTTCAGGTATGTTCTGATATCTTGATTTCGCATCGGGCTGAGGGGCGGTCGAAACAACGCTGGGTCGGATGATGTGCAAAATTGCACAATGTGCGTGTCATCGACCACCGCCAGCACCGGATATCGCTTGTGCATCGAAGTATCGGGATGACGGACCTTTCTCGAGCTGCTCCTTGGGATCGACGGTCTCCTCCTCGTCCTCCTCTTCCTCTTCCTCCTCCTCTTCTTCCTCCTCCTCCTCGGCCTCGGCCTCGGGCTCCTCCTTGGACTCCTCCTTGGACTCCTCGGCGGGGGTTTCCTCCTCCTGTAATGTCGTCAGCGAACGGTTCGAGCTTCGCGAGTGTCGGAAAAGTGCCGCGAGATGCACCGAGACCGTGTGAGATGCCGTCGGACATCGCGGTGAGCGGTTTCGACGTGTCTCGCCCGGCCTCAGGCCATCGCGCAACAATTTGCGCAGCTCACCTTCTCCTCGGCAGCAGGAGCCTCGGCCTCGACGGTGGCCCACGGCATGGCGGCCTCAGCGAGGTCCGTGATGGTATCCCAGAAACCCATTGTGGCGGAGGTGTGTGCTCTCAATGGCTTGACGTGATGGCGTGAATGGTGATGGAAGAAGTCGGGAGCTTTCGGCAGGTTGAAGACGAAAACTGGGTGTCTGATTCGGATGCTAAGTTATTCCCAATTGGTCGTTTTTGATTGGCTGCGGTGGAAAGGCTGGGTGACTAAGCGTCATCGAACGTGATCCGGAGCGCCAAGGATTTGCCGTCCCGGCTCACACTTCAGTCTTCAGGGCCGGGTTGGAGGCTCAAAGTTCTTCAATCGCCGTCACATGGAGACACAGCGCAGCAAAATTATGAAATGATTTCTTGTATGGTTGCGTACAGCCTCACAGCGTCATGTTGGGTCATTGTGGTAAGCGGCAATCGTCCAGCATGTTGCCGCGTGAGCCGGCATACGTACTTCATTTGTGCCCCTATCTCTTGTTCCTGGATGCACATCTCCGATTATCGTCAAGACATGCCCGTCATTTCTACACTGCAAGTTCGTCAAGTAACGCAGAATCCGCCAGCCGCTAGTGTAGATGCTATAAAAAAGTACAGGTGTAGGGAGTGAAATGCAAGGTATCGATGCAACGCGTTATTCATGAGCCGAGAAGAACCACCCACCACTATGCTCTATCAGACTCCTCGCGAACGTGGTCTTCGAGCCGCATGCTGAGTGTCTGGGCTTGCGCTTCCTCATAATCTGGTGGGGGCTCATCCGGGCGTCGGGTTTGACTCCCAGAGCTGGCCGACCGGCCGACCGATGGCTCCTGTTGCTGCTGTTGCTGCTGCTGTGGCTGTGAGGCAACGCCGCTCGAAGCGCCTCCACCTTCAGTCGCCTCGTATGCCGGTAACGGCTCGTCTGGGATGTTGACGGTCTGCCCAGTCTCTTGCTGCAGGCGCCTGACGTGCTCCAGCCGTTCCTTCAACTCTTCGAATCGCTGTCTGAACTCGCTGTGACCGCCCTCCTTAAAGCTCAGCTTCACCTCAACTCTCGGTATGTCGGCAGGCACGCCGCCTCCTGCCACCGGTACCACGGTGGCGGACCAGAACCATGCGCCAAAGAATGGCGAACCCACGTAAGAGTCGGCGCAGTTCAAGATGGGCGCATGAAACGATTTGAACTCGCTGGTTGGTTTTGCGGGAATGTATATGACCTGGAAGAGAACTGTCAATTAGAGCTCCGGCGCGCCACACCTCGGGACAGTCATGCATTGCGTACCCGTTGTGTTGTGATGTATGCTGTGCCGTTGTCACTCCTGCGCGTGAACGGCGTCCTCCCTTGCTGTAGTGACTTGGGGACCGACAGCTCGATGCTGACCTTGGCGTTGGATCTGTGTCTGATGTGCTCGTGAGGCAAAGGGTTGATTTCACCCGTCTGGGTGATCATGACCCAACTGTCGCCATGGTCAGAATCTAGGCGGGCCTGGGCAAGCTGCCGTTCTCTCTGGACGGTGCGGGCAATGGTAAGGGCATGCTGCTCTTGCAGATATTGGTCCGTCATGTTGGACGGGAAGTGTGGGGTGGGAGCCAACAGAAGATCAGGTCAAGGTTGGCGGCGGGGTACCACGGACTCTGACCGGGATGGCTCCGGTGGTGATGGGGCTCGAGCAGCGTGGGATGACGGGAAGATGAAGGGGGAAGCAGAGGCAGAGCATAGAAGGGGACCGGACATGGAGGGACGTACTTTATTGACATTTTGAACGGCGAGCAGCTGCAGCGCAGAGCTTCCTAGTTCGTCTCAGCGAGTTGAGGGTTGCGTGGGAGTGGGCGTGGTCGGTAGCGGCAGGGCTTGCAGAGAAGCTTCGGAGATCTGGATGCTTGTGGTGGGGTGGATCCCTGGCAATGGGCACAGGCACAGGGGAGGTACTTTGAGGGAAAAGGGCGTCGCGTTCTGGGCAGCGGCGGAGGCGGCGTCGGCGTCGGCGGGTGGTGGTGGTGAGGGCGGCTGCTGTCTGATACAGTTCGAGACGGGAAAGAGGAGAAAGTCGCCGGAGCGGTGGGAAAGGATGCAGAGGCTGATAGCGTTAGGGTCAGGTCAAGGTAGCTGGGCGGATAAGTAAAGGTAAGGCGAGGCACAAGGCAAGGCAAGGATCGGTATGGTATGTTATGGTAATGACAAAGTAAGGTCAAGGTAGGCCGGCAGGGTTGGGTTTAAGGTACATTGTGCTTGACCGAAGCAAGGCGCGGCAAGGCCAGGCAGTGAAGGCCGTGGAAGACAGGCGAAAGAGAGTGGGCCAGGCCGGAAGACAGAGAGAGAGAGAGAGGACGTCAGCCAAACAGATGAAGAGGATGGGCCAGGTTGCGGCAGCTACTCGGACTAGCCAGAGGACGGTGGCTGGGGAAGTTCGGATGCGTAGGTAATAGAGGTGGGGGAGGGGTTCTGTGACAAGACAATCAATGGTGTGATAGGATGGGATCGGGCGGGATGGGATGGGCCAGGCGGTACAGTACTATGTAGAGGATTCTCTCATCAACCCGAGGTGAGATGGGTGTGTGTAAAATGCGGATAAGGTCGACAAGACAAAGTGAAATGAAGCATGTACCTCCCATGTAGCCCCCGGAGGCGTGTGTGCGTGTGCCTGTATGCTTGCTTTGCCTGCTTGCTTGCCTACCTGTGAGCGGGGGATCCAATGAAGACGCCGCCGCGACTGATGGCTGAGGTGCTGAGGTCGATGGCCGGGTGTGAGAGTGAGAGTGAAAGTGAGAGTAAGAGAGCCAGCGCAAAAGAGAGAGGCAAGCTAGGTTGTCTCCAAAAAGTCTCCAACTGACTCTGAACCGTTGCGCAGGTTGCGCAGCGTTGCGTTGCGTTACGTCGCAGTCTGCGTTTAGTGGGTAGGCTCCTTGGATTCCGGTAGCTGCCAAGGTACCTTACGCAAGTCGGCCAACGTTGGTTAAGTTGATTCGCTTCGGTGCCTCATGTCCAGCTGGCTACGCGCCTGTTTCGGTGTTTGCTTATGCCGTTTGCGCAGGAACACGGACGGACTGATGCCAGTACCGTAATTGCTGCTCTTTGCTTCTTGCTCCTTGCTGCTTACCTCCGCATGAAGAACGATGAGTTCGGTCTGGAGCATCCGCGCGGGTCGCTATCTGCCTCTCTTTCTCTCTCTCTCTCTCTCTCTCTCTCTCTCTCTCTCTCTCTCTCTCTCTCTCTCTCTCTCTCTCTCTCTCTCTCTCTCTCTCTCTCTCTCTCTCTCTCTCTCTCTCTCTCTCTCTCTCTCTCTCTCTCTGTGTGTGTTGTCCTGCCTAGCCAATACCACTGATTAGTGGTTTGAGTGGTTTGGAGGTCGCAGACTCGCAGGTGTGGATGAGGTGCCAGCGACATGGGCCCTGCTGGTCAGAACTGCTGCAGCCCAGCACCTCGAGTCTGGACGAATGAGGTCAGCGCTTGGCCAGGGTTAGCTGGTCGCGCCCTGTGCGACCATTGCAGCCATGGGGGGCTCTGTGCGCCGCAGGAGCAGGCGCATTGGATCACGCAGTAGCAGCAGACCTGGGGACCCGTCCGTTCAATGCAAATTTGTGAGATTGCGGAGCTTGAGGCGACATCGTCCTGCAGTTGGCCCAATTGACGACGCCTGTGGACCGTACTTGATCTGTTCCCTCCGAGGTTTACCTACCAGGCGGCGCAGATGTGGAAAAGGTGTCCAAGATGCCCCCTACCTCTGCCTGGGGAGTCATGCCGCGGTAAGGCTTGACTAAGGACCCAGAGAAGGGGGGCCACATCCACGGCCGGAGTGAATGGTGACGGCTCCTGTAGCTGGCGTGCCGTACTTGGTGCTCATCGGTAGTGTACCTACGGCTTGCTGCTCGACTGCATCACTGTAGCAGTTGCAACTTTGGAGGTCTCTCCAAGAACGACGGATGACCAGGTTCAGGTCCAGATTGGCAAACAGAGTGTCAAAGTGCAGACTAGGGACGTCGGAATGGACGCGCCGATCCTTTTACACCCGACTCGAGCCAGGAACCCTCGTCCTTGGAACTAAAGCCTCCTCGAAGCTCTCCCGTCTGGATTGGCTCGGTGAGTACCCTTCACCTTGTGGACTGCAACTACAACCCTCAAGGCATCCAGTCAAGCTTGCCATGCCCAGGTCGTCTGGTAGGGTTCCCAGAAAGGCATTGAATCATGATTCTGAATCTAAAGCAAGGTACGCCGTGCCGTGTCTTGATGCCTGAAGATTGGCTCCGACGAGCCCAAGGACGATGTCGTTCGTACCTGAGGGCTCCAAGTCCAGTCCTAACTGCTTGGATTGTAGCAGCGCCTGGCCCACTATGAACACTGAGTCCTCCGGCTATCGACGCCCCAGGTCAGCGCAACGCGCTGCGCGGCATATGTCTCACATGGGGTACCAGACGAATAATGTACGTTGTTTTGAAAGAGAGAAGAAAAAGCAAAGAGGGCGACTCCCTCGAGTCCACAGGAATGACTCGGAATGGCTGCCGTTTAGTTCATGTCCCACTCGAAGCTGTGATGGTCTGAGCCCAGGGAGGGAACTTTGTCAATCGTCCATTGTCTTCCCGTTTCCTGTCAAGAGCGGAACGATCTTCAGCGGGCCGAGACTTGCCATGACATCGGGGCGTCGAGCAGCAGGTCCTAGTCGCTTCAGTGTTCCAACCACTGTCCAGGCCCAGTATCAAGTTGCGAGGATACGCCAGTGGTAGGCTTTCATTGACCAGAGCGCGCTCGGCAACATGCCTGCCCGAATGTCCCTGGCCAGCGTCCCGCTTGGAACCCGGCAATAAACGGAGATCTGTGGCGGGGGGTTCTGTCGGGGGCCAGGGGCGTTGGAGTGGTGACTGAGGAGGGACTGAGGGGACTGTGGACAGACCCTGACCCGATTCGCATTGGGCAGCCAGTGACGAGTGTTCCGTGTCATGTCGTTGGAGTCGTCGCCAACCCGGTATCTCTCGTGGCCCGGCGATTGGCCCCGGTGAATGAGGGGTATAGTTGATTTTTGAGGCCAATGTTACATTAGCAATGAATCAAGAGATTGGATGCGATGTCAGTGGGAGCCGAGCGGCAGGGGCGTGGATGCCGAGTAGAATGGCGGATTCGTGGAGAGGCGAGGAATCATCAGTTGCGTTATCGCGGCATCACTTCGAGATGTTAATCGACAATGCCGGAAGTTGTGTCACCTCAATGTGCCCGGTGTTTGCGAGGTTGAGGTTACTATCGTAGGACTCCAACACCAGCAAGTCTGGTATCGCCTCGAGACGTGCTGTGTTGAATGTATTCTTCTCTCCAGAGACATGCGAGAAGATACTTACCCCTCACCACCACCACCATCATCATTTCCTCCACCATCCATCCATCCGTGCCCGTATCTCTCAGTCAAAGTGGTGCTATCTTGACTGGGCCGGTACTTGTCAAAGTTCAACGATATTCGAGTCCAATGCAACTACCTCCACATCAACCGTGTCTTTGGACAGAACGAAGACCATGGGCGGGAATGGAATCTCGGGCGTCGCTAAGCTCCTTCCCTTCGAGTTGGCTGTGAAAAGTCACTTGCACCTATCGTCACGTGGGTCCCCGATAAGACATCGATGCAATGCAAGAGCGTTGGTGGTTGGACGGAAGGGTGCCTGCCAATCACGGTGTTAGGCGACTAAGGAATGTCGCCATGGTGTTCCTACCCGGGTCTAGAATCCTTCTCCCTCTTCGCTTGTCGGCTTCAAACTCTCTTGGCTAGGTGATTCAAACCCAGCTCGGCTCTTTTGGCAGCGGGCGACCGGCATTAGGTTCCTGCTGAGGCGACATATGTTTTTCCCATCTGGTTGCAGTACACGAGCTGTTCCGCCCTCACCACAATGTCCAATACCCAATGCGTCTCTTTGGCTACTGACTGCTAGCCAGGATCTCCTGCCCTTGTTTCCAGGAACACGCACGCGAGCTCCGAAGGACCACATCACATCCTAAACACTCACACCTGACCCATTTCGAGGCCTACCTTGAGCTGCAACTTGCCAGCCTCCCTGTCGGCTTATTCTCACTTCCTAGACAACTCGCGTGGCGCAGCCCAATAGCTGCGAGAGAAGTGAGCGCACGAAATGCTGTTATTGCGACGACTGAGGGGAAGTCTGCGTGAGAGAATACGGTTTTCGGTTTACCTTGCAGAGACAGCCAAAGGCCGTCTTGCTCGGGATGAGAACGACCTATACTACCATTTCCTGTCTAATCAATAATCAATGTTCCTAGGATTGCAAAATCGCCTCCCCTGATGCTTGAGGCGTATGTGAATACCTGAGTGATAAACCACCAGCAAAGTCAGCGGACCGAGTCAGCATATGAGTACCTCCAGTCTGTGGCATAGATATAGTACCTCTACAACTGATGTACCTCAACTCCACCAGTCTCACCTACAAGTTCCTGCCCATGCCTCTAAGGCACTCTTTTGCCGCACCGTTCCCTAAACCCGGTAGATGGGTCGTTCGCCTAGGCCGCTACCGTAACCTTTGAACTATCGAAACTGGGTCGTCGGCTTCTTTCCCCCTCCCGTTGTTAGAACTCGGACTTGGGAACAAAGTTGCTGCATTAACCAACGTGTCTGCAGGCGACAAAGGTTGGAAACACATGCGAGGCCACACAACGCCTTCGCAGCCGCCAAGATGGCACCGCATTCGTCCCAACGCACTGCACCACGCCCATGCACCGCGCACATGTTGTTTCCCCCACCACACAATAAGCCTTCAACCTGCATTCCACCAAAGCAGCCCACACAAGTCGATCTGGGACACCATCTGATTGGAGGGGCTCACCCTCAGCGGCTCCCGAGCATCCAACATCACCCGAACCCCAGCTGTGCCGAACGTCAACCAGAGCTAACGCCACTTGATGCTGGCATTGCGACCTGGGCCCCTCGCTCCGTCTTCGCTCCTGATTGTTTCTTGACACATTGGAGCTCTTGAAGTTGCCTTCTCGATCAAACGTTGCCTCGAGCCTGCCGCCTTCGTGCCCTCTACCCGCCAGTTCGTTGCTCTTGCGCCATCACCTATTGGTCGCTTTTCGTCACCATGGCCACTACGGACGACGCGCGAATCGCAGCTCTTCAGAAGTTCACCGCCTGTGACATATCAGATGCACTCGCGAAACTCAAGGTCCCCGGAGCTGGTTTCCTGCCCGACCTACAACTGCTGGGCCAATCGAACACGGCAGATGCTCCCGTAACCATAGCACCAGCGTCGACGATCCTGTTTGCCCGAAAGGGGGAGACGCTGGATTCGCCGCCAGCCAACATTCCCAAAGACACCCATTGGGCTGATGTCACCCAGCCCGGCACCGTCGTGATCATCAGGCAGCCCGACGGGCAGAAGAACGCCGTCTGCGGAGGCATCATGGCTGTCAGGATGAAGGTTCGCCAAGCGAAGGCGGTGGTGGTCGTGGGTCGTGCCAGGGACCTGGACGAACTTGCCAGTACGGGCCTACCCGTGAGTCGGACCAAACTTGCAAGTCCCCTTATCCTGACCGGCGGTGGCTAAACCAACCCAGATATGGGCGAGAGGGCTCTCCACCGTTGGCGCGGGGGCAGAGAGTACGCCTTGGGCAGTGCAAGTGCCTATCAACGTTGATGGCACGGTTATCAACCCCGGCGACCTCGTCTTCGCCGACCCCGTCAACGGGGTCGTCTCCATCCCCAAGGATAGAGTCGATCAGGTCTTGGAGCTTCTCCCCAAACTGACGGCCGCTGACGACAAGGTTAAGGAAGACGTGCTGAGGGGAGTGAGTGTCTATGACGCCTTCAGTGCCCATCGCAGCAATCTTTGAACCTCGGCCACTGTTCCTCTGAACATGTCTCGCCTCCCGGCAGCTCACGGACTTGGTTGGGAGACAACAGTTTCAATGACCCAACCAAACGAGTTGGCCCTTTGACACCGATCCTTGACCACTGGTGACTACGATGCCAGCAACCAAACCGAAGTATTGCCAGCCCCCCCCCCCCCCCCCCCCCCCCCCCCCCCCCCCCTGAGTTCAGCAATGCCACTGCAAAGATACTCGGCATCCAGCGTCAGCTGCCGTTTGCTCTCGGTGTATTTCCAAGGACCTGGATAGAGAGAAGGCATGCACCGGAGCAATGCAATGCACAAACCGTTGTCTCGTCACCAATCTCCGCCGAGCCCACCGGCACTCACGACCCAGGAGGACTTTGGACCATCCCCGGCATGTCTGCAAAGAACCCCTGGCCCATTCGCGAATCATGCACTGGACGAGCAACCTGTCTGCCAACCACAGGCTTGGGATCGCATCCGCCCTCCCAGGCCTGCCCTTTGGAGCCCTACGGCTTGTTCGGCATCCGTGCCCTCGGCTCGCTGACCGCCCCCCCTTTGGAACTTACACCACGACAAGTCTGTCAGATCTCAGGTTTCCTCTGTCCCCTCGAACAAACCCTCTTTTCCCCCCTTCCAAAGCGCAAAGTAGCTCCTCCAGTTGTGGGCGTTGTCTCCCGGGGTTTCGCCATCCTTTGCTGGAGAGCAACGAGTCACACACACGCAAACACACACGCACACAGATCGAGGAGGGGGGCCACGAGCAGGCCAAAAGAGGGTTTTTTCTTCTGCTTCTGGAAAAAATGAGCGGCGCGCACAAAAAATAATGCTTATTCTATGTTATGATGATCATCAATTCATAAACGTGCCCTTCATAAGAAGCATTAGGCAGCATGGATGTATAAACCAGACAATTCTCCCGTGATCCCAACCCCATGCAAGACAACAAGGAAGAGACGCAACATGGGAAGAACCAAAAAAAAAAAAAAAAAGACGAGGGAAAAAAGCCAAAAAAAAAAGACGACAACTCCTTCCCCCTTCCTAATCCAACCTAAAACCCACAAGGAAAGCAGCGCCGTTGGTTACGCGACCACCTCCCCTCCTCGTCTTGCCCCCTCCCTCGGACTGAGGGGAGGACGGTATAGGAGAGGGAGGGAGGGGGGAGCACGCTTCGCTTGCCTGCGTTGACAATTTTGAGGGATACCCTGACACTGAGGGAGCCCGGACGACATGTCGACTCCCCCATCCTGTTTTCCTTTCGCGTTCCCGTAGCAATGATGTACAATTGTGTGCCGGAGGAGGAGGGGCCCTGCCGGGAAGCCCAACCGTCCCCGAGAGTGTTTGTCGTTTTGTTCGTCCTCTTTTACTCTGTAGTGTGGCACACACACACACCCCTCTCACGACAGCCAAACATCTCTCTCCTTGACCGGCGTAACGCGGTGGTTGTCGAGTCCGAAATCGAGCTTGGGCATCTCAATCTTGGGTGCCGCCTCGGCCACCTTGGCCTTCTGGGCCGCGTTGGGCTTCTTGGCGGGGCTGTTGTTCCGCGACTCGGGCGGCGGGCCATAGCGCACGTCTCTCGAGTCCCAGCCGTCCTCTGTGGCGGCGGCGACCCAGCACCGCAGGGCCTCGTGCACGCAGCCATAGAACTTTTCTTTGCAGAGCCGGAGGCTGCCCCCGAGCACCTTCTCCCAGCCCGAGATGCGCAGGTCGTTGCGCAGGTTGTTCCGCTGCGTCGCCGTTGGCGTGCAGGCGATGATGGCGTTCATGAGGTCGAGGTGGGAGGCGAGGTAGTTGGTTGCGTCCCACTCCACCCCGCCGACGTAGGGTGCCGCCGGAACGGGTGGCCGCTCCGAGGGGAAGTGCCTGTGCATGTAGGCGTACGGGTCTTGGGAACCGTTCATGATGGTGCTGAGCGGCGCGCCGCCCTTGGTAGACATCTCGGAGGGCAGGGCGATGACGTTGAGATGGTGCAGGAAGATCCAAAAGACCTCCTTGGTGACGCTGACCACCTCCTTGTTCCAAACGGTATAGGGGCGTTCCTTTCGCATTTCCAGCACGAAGCCGACGGGCCTCTCTTCCTCCTTGGGCTGGGGGTTCCGCAGGAACGAAAGCACCTTCTGAGCGCGAGCGACTCGCTCCGCGGGAGCGGCCGTTTCGATATATGTGAATAGCACTGATGTGATAATGTTGCGTGTAGTAAACTCGCTTGGACCCTTCTTTTCGGGGTCAAACAGCATGTGGAGGAGCTTGGGGAAAAGGTCGTCGTGGATGGAGTGGAGATATTGCAGAGCCAATGCCGTCGTGCAGAGGGCCTTCAGACATAGTAGGTTCTCGTGGAGAAGGGCGTCGTCGTGTTCCTCCCTATTGTTTGTTAGCACTGTTCCCCTTGTGTAATTCAGACAACGACATACCTCCACTCAATTGCGAGAATTCGGTTCAACAATCCGACAATCTCTTGCATGCCGCCTTGGCGAATGAAGTCCTCTGTCCACGAAACCGTCTCGTTGCGCAGAAGCAACCGGAGCTTATGCAGCTTTCCGACCTCGACCAGTTCCGGCTTCTGTGCCTTGCGCAGATACGAGACGTAGTCGCCCGGCCCCTGGCCGAACTTGATCTTAGAAAGAATGCCGTTGCTCGCCGTGGAGCCTGCCGACGTCGGCCGCTCGCTCACTATGCTCTCGGAGGACTTGCTTCTGAAGTGGCGGCCAATCGAGCTACCATCGCCCTTTGACTTCTTTGTAGGAGAAGCAGGATCCTTCTTGCGCGAGAGCGTGAAGCTTCGGCCTCTTGAGCGCTTGGACTGGGTCTCTTCGCGGTCCGAACCTCCAGCCACCGCGGAGGAAGGCTCGCTGCTTTCAGCGGCACCCGCCTGCTCCTTGGCAGCCATTTCCGCCCAATCTTGTCGGATAAACTCCATCTTGATCGTGTCGGCCAAGCAACGCATCTTGTAGCGCTGGTTCTCGGGGATGTTGCGCCGGTCAAGCATGGCCTCTAGATGGGTGTCGATCTCCTTTGGGTCGATGGCCTTGCCAGAAGAGGTATCCGAAGCCTTGGATTTTGTGCTGTGGCCCATGGCGGAAAAGGCTGTGAAGAGCTTCGGCCGCTGCACCTTGCTTTTGATTCTTTCGGAAGCAGAGGGCTCGCGGCCGTCCGCCTTCGGTCTGTTGCGGAGGTCTGACGTCGATTTGTGCTCGGATATCGCGGTGGACGGATGGTATGACTTTGGCCTCTGCTTCTTCAATTCGCTCGAGGCATCGCTTCCGTATCGTCCACTACCCGCGTCGAACGACGTCTTGCCGCGCAGCCTATTGCTTCCTAAATCCTGGCTGCAGAACTGTGCGTAAATGGGTGGCGCCGGCCCCGTCATGTCGGCGCTCGACGTCGAGCTCGGGGGCGTGCGGTTCTCCTTGTCCTTAGCTTGGCGACGCTCCTCCTCCTCCTTCGACAAGGTCTTGTTGAGGGATATGGTCGATCGGGGCCGCGACAGGAAGCCTGTCAGGTTCGTGCTCGATTTCGTCTTCTTGGGCTTCTCGGGGGACACGTCGCGTGATTTCCGTGCCTCCTTGGCCAGGGACTTGAAGGACATGTTGCTGAAGGCGGATTTTGTCGGCGAGCGCGATCGGTCGCGGATGTCGTCTTCCTTGCGGGGCGAACGAGGCACGGGGTCCTTCTGGGAGTTGTTGTTCAGCTCTCCGAGGGCCCCCAAGCCTTCGGTGCGGATGGGAGGGGGCGGCATCCTGCCTTCGAGTTGAGCGTAGGTAGTCTGGATATGGTGTGCGGGCGTGGTGGTGACCTGGACGGAGGGCGGCGAGGTGAGAAGTGCAGACCCCTCGGACTGGTTACGACGGTGCATGAAGCTCTTCAGGACCGAGGACCTGGGGCGGCCTCCTCCATTGTTATCTCCTTCGGCGGCGGAGCCCATTGTCGAGTGAAAATGGGGGCGGGAATGTTCGAGACAGGGTTCTGCTGGTTTCGTTGGACGAAAAGAATGTCCCGGGCGGAATGTGCTTCCAGTCGATGTTGCTCGAAGAAAACAAAAAAAAACGTAATTCCAATGCTTTTGTGATGAATGAAGACGAGAGAGCCCCGGCAGCTTTGTTGGATATTTCTCTCTTCCTAGTCACACCATGTTTGGGGATAGACGAGAGGAGAAAAAAAGAAGAGAATCAGTAGAGCAAGCTGGGGGAGACGGCTCAGAGCCAGACTACGTCCCGTTTGCGAATGTTTTTCTGTCGTAGCAATAAGAAAGATTGGGGTCTCTGGGATGGGTTGGGATATGGTCGTGTCGGTGAGCTGAAAGTGGTGGTACTGGCTCGAGGCGGCGGCCGTGGGGATTGTTTATGCTAGCTTCGTTGTCTGAGCGACCACGGTGGGACCTGTCCCCGTTGTGCCGTCACTGCAGTGAGGTACCTGCCTATCTTATCGGCCAACGCGCTTGTAGCTTTCGCAGTTGGGGTTTTTGGCGTGTGTTTTTTTTTTCTGGAGGGTGCGGGGCGGGCCGGTACCAAGCGGGGCCTGTCCTCCGGTCGACTCGATTCTTGTGCGGAGACTGGGTTTGCAGTGCACATGTTGTTTCGTTTGAAAGACATTTAAACTTATAACTGTCCGCCTTTTGCTTTTTGGATCTACTGTTTCCGTCATACGATTGCTATCCCAATCTCTACGAGTAGATGTTTTCGCCCTTTGAGTGGAGGAACACAACGATCGTAGTACTTCGACTTGTGTTCATTGATGCCCAGGACCGGCCTCGAATAAGCCGTGGCCCGTATTGGCCCTGTAAGCATTGAATTTTTCTTTTCTTTTTGGCCTCCTGATGCCTCAACTCTAATCTCCTGTTTGTTTGCCCCCGTCAGTTCCATTCGGTCGACGTCCCAACCATGTATCTCTTCTACATAGAACCGCGGGTCGTGCCTCCATGTATATCCGCCCAAACGCCCAAACGAGCAGTCCGTAGCTCTATATCCCCGTTTCCGAATGCGCTCGATGTCTTCCTCCAACGCGTCCATCCAAAACCCTCCTCTTACCAACTCATCATCCCCTTTGCACGGTCAAACCCGCCACGCAGCTGCGTCTCAGGCTTGACCACCTTACCCTGCAGAATCGTGTAGCGCACCAGGTTCTCGCAGTCCTCGGGCTTGATCCTCGCCAGCCAGATACACTGTGCGGCGCCTACGTCTTCCGTCTCCGGGAGAGCTGCCACCCTCGGCTTTGGCTTCAGCTCGCCCCCTTCCTTCGCCCGCTCCACGTTATCCAGACCGAAGGGGTCCGGCCGGCGATACACCATGACGTTGGCGCTGTACTTGTGTCCTCCAACGTGCGAGATGAAGTAGATGCCCACACCACCGGGTCGCTCGTCATCCATGTCGCGGAAGAGGCCTAGGGGCCGCAGGTGACGTTCCAGCTCCTTGCGCAGCAGCGGCGCGGACTGTCCGCAGCGTGCGTCGCGCGTCTTTTGCGAGCAGAGGAGGATCAGTGCGCTGTGCGGGCATGGGCGGCGGGAGATTTCGGGAGGTATGCTGGGTGCGCCGGCAGCGTCTGTTGCGGTGCCATTGGATGCGGTCACGGCAACGGATGTGGGAAGAGTGAGGGGCGCGAGAGGGGAGTCGTTCGTCGGCGCCTTGTCAACGAACTCAGTGATCAGCTCGGGGACGCGCTTCGGGGTAACGTGGTCAATTATGACGAACGCGGGAAGCAGGAGGACGGTCGTGGGTTCAGAGTAGTTGCTCGAGTGTGTCGGGGTAGGAATGTTGGAAGCGGACAGCATCAGCTTCTGTTTCCTGGTCAGCGCGGGCTCTCGCAAACATCCAGAGGGATACGTACTCCATTGCTAGGTGACGCGGCCTTGCCAATGGCCTCCATCACACTGCCCTTCTCGTCCGCAACGTCCCTTACCCAATCGCTCTTACCCGTCGCAACGAGGGCGTGGGTGCTCCATCCTTTGACGTGGCCGTACAGCTCGTCGCTCTCGTCAATCTTGAAGCCTTTCGGGTACTTGACATGACAGCTTTCACAGTCATGGTCGCAATCATCGCCATCGACGGCGGGGTCCGTCTTGGGAAACAGTTCGAGCGCCGGCACGCCGTGGGTGGTGCCAAGTGCGAGTTTCTTGGCGCTGGAAACGAATGATTTGAATGCAGACGCCATGATGCCGTTATGCTTTATAAAATTCAAGAAGAAAAATTTAAAATTCGAGCGACTGACTTCCGAATAACAATGCGCCGAACCCTCTGCAGAAAAGGGATACGGGAACAAAGAAACGAGGGGCAGTCTAAAGGCTGATGAACAGCAGTCCGGGGAGCGCGCGGCGTCGTTCGGCCCAACCTGTCGGAAAGGTAGCGGGATGTGGGGTAAGGGGATTGGTTTTGGTCGAGCCAGGATGACGCTCACGTCGGAGTAGGTAGTTTGGGGGGATTCGTGGAAAAGCGGGATGGAACCAGAACGGCGCAGAAAGAGCTCCTTGGACCGAACCAATACAGTCTCTTGCTTTTCTATCCTTGGGTCAACAAATCCATCGAGGTCGATGATTGCTTCCTACTAGTCAGTCCCGCGCGCTTCCTTATTAAGGGCTCCTCCAGTGTGGCTCGTATCACCGAGAGCTCGGCGATTTCAATACGCCGTGAATGAGACGGTCTATGGATCCACGGCTTGTCCGGCATGGATTGCCAGCCGGGCCACGCGTGCACATCGTCTCAAATAGCGTGACCGCCAGCCCGAAAACCAACTAACAATTGGTGCGCAGGAGACTTTTGAGTTATCAGATCTTGCCACAGCGCCCTGACGGCGGAGTTACTCGGCGCTCACTTTGTAATCGCCGCTATTGGCTGCGCATTTGCCCCATCATTTCGCATTTCCTCCACAGCTTTAGCTCTGCCTAATCAACGGGCGATGACATGCATACAAAATGGGAATCCACGTTTAAGTATTAATCGCTGTCTATACGTACTCATGGCAATAAGGATTGCCTTCACCTTAGTCTCCACATGGGTAGACTGCCTCTTCTCACAATCATGCAACCGGTGTGACCTCATGTGTTCTTCTTGCGCGCCTCGTTGTACTCCTCGTCCTCACTGTCGTCGGCGCCCAGCTCCATGCGATGCTCACCACTCTTTTTCCGGCGCAGCTTCATAGCCTCACGAATCTTCTTGCTTGCCTCGTCAAACCCACCGGCAGAGTCCAGGGTCGTGAAACCGCTGATGGGGAATCCGCCGGACCCAAGACCGCCTCCGCTGCTGCTGCTCCTACTCCTCGAGCGTGAAGGAGGTCGGGTGGAGAAGATACCGACACCGCCAATGTTGCTGTACGACTCGTTACGAGGCAGGCCACGGCTCGACTGGTGAGTTGTTCTCCGGGAGATGGACGGCGGCGTGGCCGCTTCGTAAGCACTAGATGCGTCGCTATCCCTCCGAGTTGGCGGAGTACGAGGTCGAGAATATCCATCGGCCTTGTACGGATCCGCAACCAAGCGAGTCTTCTCAAAGTCGGGGAACATCTCGGGGCCGAGTGTGTTGATAAGATCCGTGACCTGGGCGCTGAGGTCGGCCCGTTTCGCTCGCAGTTGCTGAATGTTGTAGCTGGAGGCGGGGTTCAAACACAGGACCAGCGGCCTCAGAGACTTGAAGATGTCCATGCCAACCTCGCCGAATCGAAGGGCAGCGAATGTGACGCCCACCATCAACGGCCACATGACCAGATAGGTTGACCACCATGGCACCCATTCAGGAATGTAGCCCCATAGATGGTCCTGCCAAACCTTGTACGTAACAATGGCCGAGTAGAAGTGGTACAGTGTCGGAGCCAAGAAGATGGCCACCAGGAGCTTCCAGGTAGCCATGACGTCGCGCCCCTGGATCTTGACTGTCGAACCCGCCAATGCCTGCTTCGCCTTACGAACGCTGATGGCTTTGGACGCGGCGAAGACGGGGGCAAACAAAATAAGGCCAGGCAAGACTCCAATCAGAAGAACAAGAAGCTTCGCAACCCGGTAGAGCAACAGGAAGATGACTTTGGGAATTGACATTTTGGCGTACTGGACCTGATGGTCGCGAAGGTTGACGTAGCGAAGCTCCTTGTTGTACTGCTTGACTGCCTTGATCACGTTGACGACCCGAGCATCATCCTTGTACTTCTCGTAACCCATGGCCAGTCTGCGGTTCAGCTCGATAACGACAGGGAGAGGCAGCTTCTTCCCGGTAGGGTTATAGAGGCGGCGAGCAGCCTGAAGCATCATCAGGGTGTCGTAGTCCGGGGTAGACACGGTGACGGCGCTCAATGCTTGATATACGCTGTCCAGAAGCTGACCAATGGCCTCGCGTCTCTGGTTGTTCTTATACATTTCGACCAAGTGCGGGGGGACATCGAAGGGGGGCCGAACTCAACAACGGCGCGACTGCGGAACTTGTGGGCGTGGAAGTAGTTCATGCCAACGGGCACAATCTTCAGACCGCAGTCGGGAGATTCAGCGAGAGCGCCGAGAGCCATGATAGCGACACCGGCCTTGAGGGGCAGCAGCTCAGTGCGGTCGTGGCTACCACCCTCAGGGAAGATACCGACGCAGCCTCCAGACCTCAGACGGTCGAAGACGGCCTCGTACACCTTGGTCTGGTCGATGTGGGGAGCGAGTTTGTACTTGGTGCCCTGGAAGCCAGGCTTGCATCCCTTGAGGTCCTTGTTCGTGAAGTTTCCCTTCTCGTCAATGTCGTCGCGGCCGGTGAGCTGCTCCAGAGGAAGCTTGCCCTTGAAAGGGCGCTTGATGCGGATTTCCTCGGGGCCCAGGATCTGTGCGATGTCGACGCTGGCGCCGGTCTGCTTCTTGGCAGAGGGCAGGAACAACATACCATGAACCTCGCCTTCACCCTCACCAAACTTGGTGCCCACGCCGCGGATAAGCGTAGGGTCGTTGATGGGGTCGGGCAGATAAATCACGCCAGAGCCGGGTTTGGCGGCGTCTTGGGCGCGTCCGACGGGCACGGAGCCGACCTGGCGCGAACCCCATCCGATAAAACCATGTACAGACTTTTGCGCGATGAGAAGAGAGACTCGCCGGCCGGCCTCGTGTCGGAGGGTGCGTTGGAGGATCAGAGCATCGACGAACTGCAGAGATTGCGGTTAGCATGTGATAATGACAGGGGGGTTTAGCAAGGGGATAAACCGACCTGGTTCGCGTGAGGAGCAGCGACGAAAAGGACAGGTCCCGATTTGGGGACTTTCCACGAGCCTCGAGGATGAACCTCGCGGAAGAAAAGGTCGACCAGCACGCCCAAGACCCAGAGGAAGAGGTCGTACTTCCAGTTGACCATGGGGTAGAGTTCCTTGGGAGGGGTCGGATTAGACTCGCTCTGCGGCGGCGCGGCGGCCGCCGTCCCAGCGTGGTCAGGCATATCGGCTCAATGGAGGATGTCGAAGGATGATCTGGGTGGTTTCGAACAAGTAAGATGGTATAGGGAGCTGTGTGAAAATCTCGCCAACTGTTGCGCCACTCCCTTAGACTTTCATCCTCGGTGGTGTGGTGTGGAACCTTCGGGTGCAGTAGGGCGGCAGCGATAAAGAGTCCAAGGCTGACGGGTATTGCTTCTTCTGCGATTGTGAAAAGAGGAAACGAACGGCAGGGCAGCAGACGGCGACGGCAAAGTGTAGCGCCTCTTTCTGTCTATTCTGGCGATGCGACTGGAGACGCAGATGGTGGAGGAAGGGCAGCTGAGACTGGCTGTCCAAAAAATGGGAGGGATGTGTCCTATGGAGAGTCCGGGCGAAGGATGGAGAGAGAGAGAAAGGCAGGGGAATGCGCCAACCAAAGGGGGGGGGGGGGGGCCCACAATGTCAGCCAAGCCCGCGATGTCATCCAGTCTTCTCCCCAGACGCCCCTCTTCTTTTTCTTTCCCTAAACGTGATGCGAACCTTCGAATGGATTCCCACGTGCGGCTCTTCCGGTCTGTTCTGTTTTCTTCGGTGTGCTTCTTCAGGGCAACCCGCCGCACAACAATGTCGCAGGCGGTTGCAATCGAAAAACAAAATATAGCGGGCAGCAGCTTTAGCCAAGTCTTGGGTGAGCCTTTCAGGTCCTTGCAGGAAAGATTAGGTCATCTCTCGCTCAATGCTCAAACAATGCGGGGGAGCTGAACTAACGAAGGAAAAAAAAATAAAGAATTACGGAGAAGCAGGAAGCTCGGGGCGCGAGGTAGCAGTAAGGTTGCACAGTACCGGGCGAAAGGCAGCGAAGTGGCATTTTAGAGGTTGAAGCTCCTGCGCTACGTCAGGTTTAGCCAGCTTTCTGTACCTTACCTTACCTTACCTTACCTTAACCCCTCACCTCAACCAGCCAGATTCCTTGCATTTTGTTGGGACGTCAGAGCTCTCCGATGATTGTCACGTTCAACAAGTTCCGCCGGCCGTTCCCGAACAGGTAAAAACGTCCATGTTGTGTTTCCGCCTGCCGCCCGACCAGCTTCCGTACGCCCGTTCCAGACGCCGATGCGGTTGCAGTCGACCTCGGGGACCTGAAGACGACCCCGTTTGAATAATCGTCTACCGTGCCTCCGGGAATGTCAACGGCGCCGCAGCTGATTGGGTGGCGCCCGGCGTTCTGCATCAGTCTGTGCTGTCTGGTCTCGGTCGCTGCAGTTCGCCTGCATCAGTGCTGAAGACCCCGCGCAGGTCATGAATACGTCAGAAACGTGCATAACGTGCCTAAAGTAGATGGCGCCCGACTAAGAGCCAAGCGTGGCGGCGTATGGCCGGATCGCAAGACCAGCCCTGAAGTACAAGGCTGGAGCTGTTGCAGGCCTCTCAGTTGGAAACGAAGTCTTTATGCTGCCATAGACGTTGTCCGTCACTCAACTTCAGCCAGTCAGGTGCCATACACTTACAGAAAAGGATGCTGTTTTAGACTGATAAGGTTCCCAAGGGCAACAAGTCCAGTAAGAGACCACCTGACTTTTGACTGTACATTTTCGACGCCGAGATTTCTTGAGCGTTCTGGTCTCATAATGGCTTTATATCCCTTTGTTCTAACGGCACCGCCGGATGACATCAATTTGAACATTGATCTGCCTGGAGCGCTACAGTACGATGACAAAGATGACATCTTATTCCATCGAGTTGGGTCTATACAATTCAAGATTGGCAGATCTTCTTTGAGCACATGCGCTGGAAGGGGCTTATTTCCTCTAGAGTTGTCTATAAAGTGCGAGGTTGAATCGGTGGTTTAGCGCGACGTAGGCGTCATAACCACGATAAAGTACCACAGCGTGATATCAAGAGTTGGAAGGAGCCAAAAATAAGTCTGTTTTCATGCCAGTAAGCCCATTCGAACCCGCGTCACCTATCGAAGGGTATTTCGTAAGGATTCAACGACATCGCCAGACCATTTGGCTGACGGTCGGTGGAATCTTAAGACCGGATTTTGAGATAAGTTTCATCCCTTCCTAGATTGCGATGTTGCCTCGTGTGCCTGCAAGTTAGAAACGGGAGTAAGTCACAAGACAAAAAGCATCATGACTTTTGTATTGGACAACCATATAAAGTTAAAGTCTTTGAATAGCCTGATGTGAGCGCTTAAGATTCAGTCTAGAGTGGCCGGCTCTGATAAACAACTTTACAGTCCATGTATTCCAACATTATGATCAAAAACAAGCGCGAGGATATGGAACACGTGGTTGACATATGAGGCGTGCTGGCGGGATTTTGCTACTATGCGGATTCCATAGTGAATATAAAAACGTAGGAATATCACTGAACTAATTAAAGTTGCCAAATTTTGGCTCAACCAGAACAGCACACTAGGAAATGTTTGAACAGGTCTTACTTTATGATAGGTGAAGCAACTGAGGACATGGCAGGGAGTCCGAAGACTCGCCGCCGGCGCCGGGTGGGCTGGTGGGGCTCCACGGCCATGCCAGTCCGGCAACGTATTACATCGCCGGTTGAGCAATCATACAGTAACAGTACAAAAGATTGTGCCTTCTGCGAAAATTCCTTTTCAAAGAAATACAATTGTTTAGATGCGTATGAGAAAGTCTGCCAGTACCCAGCCTTCCCCTACGGAAACATCGTGCGATAGTAAAAGTTCTTCATAGGCAGCGTGGCCTGTTGGATCAAGTGTTTGTTGTGGTATTATTAATTTTGATTGTATCTCATCCTCCTCAAAGCAATTCAGTATTCTGGAATTATCTTTAGAAAAGCCACATTGACTGACGCAAGTCGCTTGAAAATTCACCAAGGCAGGCTACAGCGAGATGTTGACAACGCAGCGACTATGACTGACAGTCGGGAATATGTTCCCGACCACACGATCGAGTACAAGACGCCGAAGTCTAGATAACACCCGGAACCTAAGCTTCCATCGTCAGGCCAGGTTCTCGGTCTTCACATGCACTGCCACCATCAGAGCCTGCAGTCGCACCTTTTCATGCATCCTGTCTCCTCCCCCACCGCCCGTGCCACCGAAGCATCGATAACAACGAGAACGGGCTGTTGCATGATCAAGCTGCAGTGGTCGGGCGGTCCAGGTTACGTCCGATATCTCGGGACGTATAAGCAAGAACCTACAGGTACCGTTCCAACACCTACTGGCGGGGTGGGAGATGAACCTAATCCGTCCCGAACCAGTTCCAAAAAATGCTTATTTTGCGTTGAACATGCGTTCACCCTCCAGAGAGCGTCCGTCCGTCTTGGGCTTGGCAAATGGAGCGTCCACATTGGAGGAATAAGGTGCTTGGACTCCTGCGACTTTACCCGCCGGTTGAAGCGCCTCGGCCAGGAAGGTTTGCTCCGGCTTGTCTGGTTCACCGAGGTCGTCAACATGTTTCCTTTCCGGAGCTGTCACCCTGCCCGCTTGGGCCCTTTCCCCGGGTTTAACTCGCATTGATCCACGCATGGGGGGATGAGTAGGCGCTTGCGAGCTTATCGATAGACGATCTCCAATTGCTTCTCCATTGCTGTCGATGGGGGGGTATCCCTGCCTCAGATCAATGGCGACGAATCAACCCTGTGACAATCTTGGCCTCCTCAAACCTGTGGAGATGGCATGTTGTCATTGTGGCTCGAGAGTCACTTAGTCTCAGAAGGCATGAAGATGGTGGATTCTTGTTTGATTTTGACAAGGTTGCTCCTGCTCGCTAGTTTTGGATCTTTCCCGCTGCTGTGGATATCGTCTCTAAATGTCTATCAAGCTGTCCTCCCCGGTCTTTGCCATGTCATCCTTGGCCCGCTGAATGACGTCAACCCAGGTTGGCGGCCTGCAACGCTCCTTTGCGAACAGCTCTTCAGCGTCGAGCCCGAACTCGAGGAGGCTGTGCTCATCCGTCCACTCGCCCATGCCCATAAGCCCAATGGGAACCTTGCCCAATGTCTCGGGACCAGCCTCGCCACCGGCACCTGGCTGATCGTGTGGCACGACGTAGCCCGCTGGAACCGTGACGCCCGGGAGTCCGCAGAAGTTGCCCATCCATACGTACTCCATCGACCTGATGGTGCGGTCGCCGTCGCTCAAGCCGTAGGCCAACTCACCCTTGCTCATGATAGGCCAGCCTGCGCAGGCAGTCGTGGGGGTGACGATGATCATGCCGGGGTACATGCGCCAGAGGTGCGCAAGGTGTGACATGAGCAGACCGCGGAGCTTCTGCGCGAGAAGGTAGTCCATGGCGGATGTAACACGTCCAATCGCGAGCAGGATACGATTCGCGGGTGTGAGGTTCTTGGTCTCCGGGAGGAGGGCGGCACCGTCGGTGAGAACGGTCATGGCGTGCGCAAACTGGCCTTCAACCAAGAACGGGATATCAATAGGGACGGTGGTGTATCCATGCTGCGTGACTAGTTTCGTGATCATGGCTCTGCACATGCGCTGAATAGCCGGGTCCGCCTGACCGAACCAGGCCTCGGGGATACCGAGAATCTTGCCGCGCTTCTCGCTAGGGGAGGAGATGAAGGGGGACGCCTGGATGAAGTTGGAATCGGGGTGCGGCGCACCGATTGTTTCGAAGTAGGTTGCGAGGGACTCGATGTCTGCGGCGATGGGGCCATTCACTGCGCAGCTATTGCTGTGATTTGGGCAGGGGTGAAACGAAACGCGGCCGTGGGTAGGCTTGAGGCCGTAAACACCGCACATGGACGAGGGAATGCGGATGCTGCCACCGCCGTCGCTACCGAGGGCTACGGGAACCAAGCCAGTCGCAACAACATATCCGGCTCCTGACGAGCTTCCACCAGTGTAGTAGCCGCGGTTGTAAGGGTTTCGCGGCGTTCCGTAAATTGGGTTGTTTCCGGTTGTGTCTGGTGGTTGTCAGCGGAAGGCCTCCCGTTTGTTTCATAGTTCTAGACTCACCAAGTCCGAATTCGTGCATAGACAGCTTCCCAAGAACGACAGCGCCTGCATCTTCCAACTTTCTAACGCACCAGCTTGTGATGGACTGGCCAGGTTCGGCCTGCGTAGTGTAATCGTTCCTTGAGCCGAGACAGGTCCGGTATCCGTCAATCTCGTACTCATCTTTCACAGCCGTAGGAACACCATCAAGAGGCCCCAGTGGGCGCCCCTCTTTGTATCGCTTCGTAGAAGCCTCAGCAGCGGCCAAAACTTGCGCGACCTTGGTGTCGAACCACGCGATTGAGTGCTCACCCGGCGGGTTTGTGTCGCGACGTATCAACGGCAAAATGGCTCGGGCAACGGCAAGTGGTGTGACTGCGCCTGACAAATACATCTCATGATAGTCGTTGACGGAGTAGTATTTGAAGGGGTGCGGCTTCGACTTCACGGCACTTTCGCGGTGGAGGACAGCCGGGTCCTTGGCCTCTTCTGTCGGCACGGGTATAACAGTAGGGTCGTAACGAGGCTCAGCATCTTCGATGTGCTTGCGGATCTTCCTAATACTTCCGAAGCCTGCGTTTTCCCAGATATATGACCGCACGAACCACACGCATTCCATACTGCATCCTGTCAGAATGTTTGGGCACTTCAATCCAGTCAGAGTACAACTTACGCCCACGCTGCTAGGACCAAAATCCAGCCTCTAAGAGGTGGGTTGCTTTTCCTGCCATTGTTGTATGGAAACGTTGGTCTGAAAAATCAGTGAGCAAGTCATTTCGACATATACAAAACTGAGACGAACAAAGTCGACAATAGAACACGCCGCGCGAGACGAACGTGCGTCCATCACCGAGAAATTGAGATGGAACAACTCACCCAGGAATCGGCAGAGGGTAGTTGATGAACTTCTTCCGGGTCTCGGTACTCATGATGGGCCGCCTAAGGACGGTATGGGGATGTAGGTTAGATCCAAGTCTAAATTGTGGTTCAAGTCTCAATTGTACATCGGTTTCAGGTCTAAGAACAGAATTGGTAAATGCCGTTGAGTGTGACATATTCAACCAGAGCCGCGCCGGAGGAGGGGTCCGGCACAAGCTTATATAGGCCTGTGCCGAGTTTGTGTCGGAAACAAAAAGTAAAGGCTGATGCGCTGGGATGCAGCCGCCAGGACCTCCCTCGTATGAGAACACTGGGCATGACCATGCGGCAGGTTTGCGCCTAGGCCCTTTGAGCTCGCGAACGAACGAACCACCACGCCGTGGCCAAGTGGGTAGAAAAGCTGCCTGTCACTGGGAACTGCTGTCCCTGATGACAGTCCAGTCATTGTAATGTGACCTTTTATCAGTGACCTAGTCTTAAGTCATTCTGTAATCGTTTGCGTTCATCCAAGGTGATTCACCTGTGTTCTGGCTTCCTCATTTACTCCCGGGGGACGACGCGAGGCTGGCCGTGTTTGCCTCCAGATGGTCGTGGTCGGGATCCTCGGTCGACCGAAGCAGTTGATCCCTGTCTTTGCCCGTGCAGCCCTGCTTTGCTTGCCGAATCTAGACAAGGTGAGGAGTTGAGTGTTTATAGGTGGTGCTCATGCAGGTGAGTTCCTTTGAGCTAAGGGGATGAAAATGTCCGGACGGAACAAGAAAGCTGAGCCTGTTCCTGTTCATGTATTTGACTGACGAATCCACGCCAGTGCAGTCTCCCCATCGGGTGGCTAGAAGGACAAAAGGCACACAGCTGATGCATCTCAGCAGATTCCCATATGGTAACGTGAGATACTCTTTTGGCCTACAAGGGCGGTGGAACAAGCTTAGAGGGCCGCTTCCCGCTTCCCTCCTAATAGCGGAAGGAGACCCAACGAATAGATTAAAGCACTAACCTGTTTCTTGCAGAAATGGGGTCTCTGCCATTCCGCGGATTGCCGCCCCTGGAAACCTGGAAAGCAGCCGGACTTTCTTGATGCATTTAGAGCGCTTGAAGTCGCAGCGAACCGGCCTCGGGAAGGAAACCGGTAGCTGGTGCTTACCCACTAGGCGGGCCACTAATGTCGTGCCACGGTTCAAAGGGGGCGGATGTACCGGTACCATGTACGTGTGTGAAGTCATCTGTGGAGATGAGTCTCACCCAAAGTCCGAAACCTCAGCCACAAACTTTACCCCACCGGTTTCTTTAGCGCTCAACAGCCACGAGCTAGCCACACTTCGAAACTGCACGTGCCAATGATGACTTCAGCCATAATCAAAGATAAGCCACAGTCAAGCTCTGAATACCAATATTCTTTCCTAACAATGAGGCGGCGGTCTGACCCAACCAACAGCCTGACTCCAATGACACACTGAATCAGAGTCATTGACTTTGCCCTTTTTTTTCTTCTTTTTCTCTTCATAAACCTGCACTGGCGAACAGGCACACCCTATGAATCATCAAGCACTTACTAGATCGCGTGTTTAAGCACTTTAGCGCCACGGACCCTCCTTTCAGACGTCGGCAGAAATCGACAAGTATTGCTGCTAAACAGCCCCGCTTCCGCGTCATTAATTTTGTCGCATCGACTACTTCTCGATAACGGTATCCCATTGTTTGCAGTGCGCTCAGCTGGCGTTACCCGTCCATTCCGTGCTTGCGTTGTCGTCGATCATCTAACATCTCGACTTTGCCTGGCCCAACCTATCGGTGGTTTCCACGACCAACCTCGAGCGAAACCTTCGTGCTACCTTTCCCTCATTATGACTAGCGAGCCTATCTGGATTATCCCACGACGATACCTCGAACCCTGAAGTAAACTTGTTCAATGGCTACAACAAAACTCGACGACTTGGTGGTGAGTGATGCCTTTCGGCTCAATAAGACCTCTGTCCTTCTCTTTACCCAGTCTCATGCGCAGATGACATCATGGGCGATGTCATACCAGACGACTTGTAACACGACTCGCGCTTGAATGAGCCCTGGGAGTTGCATTTTGTGCACCATGCTAACGACACAGTAGGCGGAGTTTCCTCTCCTTGACCCAACAGTTGTTATCGCGATTGCAAGTGAGGTGGATCTTAACGATGACAGTCAGCTTAGCGAAGTGCGAGGCATGCTGCAGAGTCTCGCCCAGAATGTCTTAGATGAGGAAGCAAGCGGCTTCAATGCGAGCGGCGTCCCTGACACCATCAGCTCCATGGATGTAGCAGTCTATGCTCCGGATAGCTCTACCAGCACTTCTGAAGGGCCGCAACCTAAGGATTCAGACTCTTCAGGGACTACTCTGACGAGCCCGCCCCCCTCTGAGCCTGATTACGATGTCCCGCGCATCAAAACGTTTGACGGGGACTCGGACCAGGAGAAGATTTCGCAGCTTCAAGAGATGTTTTCGGACCTGAAGCCGCATGACGTAAACTTTGCCCTCAAAAAAGCCCAGGGTGATTTCCAGACAGCTCTGGAGACCTTGTTGAACATACAGTTCCTTGAGTCCATTGGCGAGAGGCCCAAGGGAATTGACGGTTTTATTCAATCAGAAAACACTCAAAAGGCTTCTGGGAAAAGAAAAGGCAAGGGAAAGAAACGAAAAGACATGCGTACAGATCTGTCGTCAAGTTCTAGCAGCATCAAGGATACTCCGCCAATCAACGACGACAATGAGAGTATGTCTAACAACCGAATTCATAAAGCACCGTGACTGACCATTTGCAGGAGTCGAAAAGATACTGTTCGTTGTGGAAAAGCTCGACTTGCCATTCGAAGAGGTATCAGACGTTTTCGATGCACGTAAAGGTTCCTTAGAACTTACCATTGTTGAGTTTCTGGATCAATATATTAAACAAGGTGTTGGCGCATGGAGCCGCGAAGACAATCACCAGAAGCAACATATCCAGGAGCTAAAGAAGCAATTTCGACATGTTCCCGAGCATTACCTACCCCCCCTTAACGAAGTTACGCAAAGTAATCACCAATGGACTGAGGAGGTTGCTGCATTGTTGAATCGCTACTTTGGCAAGTTGCCGGCCAAGCGACTAGATATTAGCTACAAGCTTGCACCTCTGACCAACGCGGAATTGGAAGGCTCGTCAGAAGGCTGGCAAAAGACGGCCTCACCCAAGCTAGCAGTCATGTCACCAACTGGACGTACGCTCAGCACGCCTGCTTTCTCCGCTCCTTCGTCCGCACCCAACTCCTATCGGCAAGCAATGGAAACAGCTAGCGTATATCGTGATGCTAGCAACCACTCGTACAGCACCGCTGGGCAAGTGTACAAGAAAGGACATTTGTACCGACAGGCAGCAGGGTACTATGCTGAGCGCGGACGCGAGGAAGCCCGCAGTTTTGCCAAGGCCAAGAGTGTTGCCGCCGACATACATGTTGCAAGTACCAGTTCGACCAATGAGATCGATCTCCACGGTGTCGAGGTCGCTGACGGTGTGAGAATCGCGCGGGAACGCGTTTGGGACTGGTGGAACAACCTGGGAGAGTACAGAGCCAGGAAGGCCCAGGAGGGCTTCACAATTGTTACGGGCCGGGGTCTTCACAGCGCTGGGGGTGTGTCGCGACTGAGACAGGGCGTTATTGCTGCCCTCGTCAATGATGGATGGAAAGTGTCGATCGGAACTGGGAGCTATCGGGTGACGGGCCGCCGGTGATTTGGCTGGCGGAAGACGCATGCCTTGCCACGGAGAGCGTCGCTTGGTTGCGTCAGCCATCCGTGTCTGGACTCGGCATTGAAACATTCGGAGACTTTGCCCGCCAGGCAACAGCGTTAAATGCTCTAAAACTTACGTGCTCCTGACGCCCGGGGGTGGACTATTTGGACTGAGGAGACGAGCTATCGTGGAGGGGGAGCCAACTTCTGCATGATGTTTGTATGATTTGCGGTCATGAGCAAGATACCATTGGGAGGATTTGACTTGCTTACCATTGAGGCGTTCGACTTGCGGTATAGGTGGATGGATATCTCCATGATACAGAACTCTTCAATGAAGCACAAGTGTTCTATCTTTTAGTCATGATACTCGCATCACGGCGACGGCACTTAGAAACCAGCACCCTGTTCTGACAGCGTACTTTCTGGGCGAAATAGCACAGAAGTAACACCTACATTTCCAAAGGGATAAAAAAATACAGCCCCTGCGATCTGCCAATATCTCAGGTTGGTAACTGTTCCCAAACTCCCCAGGCATATCCACCAGCCCCAAATGACCTCTGATAGTATACAAACAACGTTCCTACAGACAGCGAGCGACGCGTAATGCAGTACCAATCCACGTTGACCAAACAGCACTTTGACGTCGATCATCACACTGCTCTATCACGCGAAGCTTAAGCCGTTGACCAACCCCGACAATTAAATCGAGACTCGTCTATCCTTTCCTCCCCCCGGCCTAAACTCAAGCGACCCAGCACCGCCGCAGCCTCCGCACAAACCATCACTGGCCAATCATGTATCGGACCAACTCCAAGCAGGGTTCGGGTGTCGTGTGTCTATTTGACAAGCACCAACGTGTATCCAAGTGGATCTCCAGGCACCCGAATTCCGGACAACGTCAGTGGACGAGCCAGCAGCTAGCGATGCCGCATAGCGGAGCCGGGCGCATCTGCGGCTCTCCTTAGCTTTCCTTAGCTCTGTTTCCAATGGGGAGGGAGAATGTTTTAGGAAAGGGGCACCTAGACAACCAAGAGATAGGAGTGGGCAGGTTGATGGCGTGTCGTCCAAGGTAAACCTGTTGGTTCCTCCTGGACCCAAGCGACAAGTCTGGTAATTCCTCCTCCTTTGGGGGGGGAAAAAAACACGAACCCCTCCCGATTCCAGAAGCTCTCACTCGGCTCCCGCCTTTGCTTTGCCTCTTTCGTGTCATGTCTTGAAATGGAACGTGCCCGGCTCTCATATATAACCATCTCCCGTTCACCACAGCCCACCGTCGGATGACTCTCGATGCCCTCCGACTCGCTCAAGTCAGACATCCACCAATACCCGGTCCCGTCTTTCCCGGTCAACACAGACCCGCTGCACTACGACATCACATACGACCTCCCTTCAACAAAGTGCCTTGGTACCTTCCGTACCATGGCAACTGCCTCCTCATCCCCGGCCGAGAACAGGCCGCTCAATCCCAACGTCGTGTTCCGGCCCATGACGCCTCCGTCTCATGCCTCTGGTTTCTCCCATCCCGGCGGTGACGATGGCGGCTCACCCAAAGTGTGTGCGACGTTCATCTTCAGCGTCGTTGACGCGCTACGCGTCTTTACCATTGCGTTGAGCATCGTCCTTGTCGTCCTCGAGTTCATAGGCCATTATGAGGGTGTGGCCAAGCTCTACATCTCCCTCGCCATCCTGCAGCTCATTTGGCTCATCTTGGCCCTCGTGCTGCGGTGTCATCACCGGCGTAGCGGACGTAGAAAGGGCTTCACTATTGACCTCGGCTTTGTCCAGTGCATTTTTGGCCGACGGGGTCGCAAAAATGATTCTTATGAGGAGGGCGGTGTGCTGGCTTGGATGGAGGACGATGGTAGTAAGCGGAGCATGGTGGTGGGACTGGTGTATACCGCCATCGACATCACCTTTGCGGTCATCACCTTCACTGCTGGTGTTGTTGCTGCCGGCGCCCCGGATTTTTGGGGTTTTGGGAAGCATGTCGGTATTGCCATTGTTGCCATTTTCGTTGGGTGAGTTCCCTGCCAGGCTTCGGTAGAGCGTCTTCTCTGGATTGGTAACTGACAAGCACAAAGTGTCTTCGAAGGCGTCATCGCGATTGCCGCACAATTCGCAATCTTGAAGCGTGCCAAGGTACAGATCATGTGGGACACTAATAAAGAGGATGACATCGGTTCGCACAAGTACCGCATCCAGCTCCCTCAGAGCCCCGAACAGAGGCATGCTACCATGTCTGTTGCAGCCTGATTAAGATGAGCAGCGCCCTGTTCAAAATGATGCAGTTTCTGGCTTGCAGGCGCTGCCTGTACTACGACGATGTTAGCTCACTAAACGAGACGAGCGTGTCCTCAGAAAACAAAATGAGCGGAGTACAAGAAACCATGACAGATGTGAAGGAATGCTTTATCCGGAGTTTGTGCGAAGAAACTCGAGTACGAAATTGGCATTATGCAGAGCGTTATGCCATGCCAATCTTTTCTATCAATCCGGTATTCCAAGGCTCCAGAGCAGCCAACCCAATCGTTTTATCCCGTCTATATGTTGTATCGTATGCAGAGCGTTCGCCAACCACACTATGTACTGTTTTGAGAAGCCCTCTTCATCGTGACTGTAGCACCGCACCTCTCCCAGATGTCTCTGCTCGTCAGGACAGTCGTGATGAGCATGGCAACTCCTACGGTACCCGGCTGCAAATTCACCCAACCCAAAATGACACCGGGAATGAGACAATCCAACGAGTCCGAGAAGACTTTACGTCCCAGAGACTTGACCTGGACGGCCACATTCCTTCTCCACCTCTTCCTCTCCTCCCGTCTCTTGGCCACGATAGCCCTGAGACGAGCACGCTCAGCTTGCCAATCAAGCTTCTCCTCGCCATCGTCGTCCTTCTTCTCTTCACCGGTGCTTTCTTTGTCTCCAGCCTTCTGCTGAGTCTGTTCGCCAGTTCCATACCCATGACCATGCTGCGGCACAGGCGCATATGCAAACGCTTTCAACATCCTTGTCAAGTTGGCAACCACTCCCAACACCAACGCGAGCAGCCAGAATCGTTGCGCCTCGATATTAAGCGTCCTCGTGCGCTCCGCGCCAAAGATCTCGATCTGCGGAACGCCCAAGAGGTCTGGCAGCGTCAGGGACTCGAGGCCGCCGTAGATGCCAAGGAGCGTGAACCTCAGAATGTCAAGCCAGGTTTCCAGACCGACGCCTTTCTTTTTCTGAGAGCCATGTGTGGTTTGCGACAATGATATGGAAGAGTAGAGGTTGTACGATGTGCCGAAAGAGTTGAGGAACCAGAAGAAGCGGATGAAGCGGCGGGTTAGGTTCAGGTGGCCTTTCAACGGGCCGAGGGCCTCGAGGAGGGGCGAGTCTGAGGCCAGGAGAACGAGGGAGACGAGGGATGGGTATGCGCCAAAGATTAAAGTGAGGGATTGGAGGCCGCGAAGGATGCGCTCGAGTCCGGCTATAGTCTCATGAGTATTATGAGGTGAGGGAGGCAGTGAGGGATGAGCAAGAAAAGCGCCCTCGCTAAAAGCCAATTCTCAACGAACCAGAAACCACGCAAGGAAAGCAGTGACTAGATGTCGTTCCCGGCGAAACTAGAATAGCCCGTAGATGGAAGACAAGACCAAGGGGATCTACTTACCACTGTCGGACCCGAAGGCCACAAACTGGTCGTATTTGAAAGAAGTCATTTCCGAAGATATCCCACCGACAAACCCAGATAAGAAATGCTCGCGAATAGGCTAGAAAAACGAAGGGGGGGGATGGACTGGAGTGTGGCCTATTGATGTTCTGACTGGCCGGGCATTATTGTAGGAGGACGGCTGTCAAAGGTCGGTGTCGGTGGTCGTGGTGAAGAAATCCCGCCGTCGTCGGAGGTTCTTTGACCGGGCCCAGCCGAAGTCCCAGTGTGAGCGGCTGTCCGGATGTGTGGGCCGAGAAGATCCTAGCTACAGCATGGGGACGCGAGCAAGCTGAGAAATCCAACGGCCTCATTGGATGAGCTCTTTGCGGCTTAACGCCGAAATTCAGGCTTTGAGGAATGGACGTGAATGATTCATAGACTGCCGCCCACCCCTAGATTATAGTAAATTATGGGGATTGAATACCCGACATATCCCTGTGGCTCTTCTATCCATGTCCCGTGTTAGCACACTGGCGATTGGTCACCAATGCCCGAGTTGCATGCGAGAGTATCGTGAACAAATGAACTCCAGCACATTTAGGGCTCTGCTAATGTACGATACTAATATATACAAGCCCTCAGGCGCCAGTCTACAAGCATGCAAAACATCAGCCTTCTACTGTCCTGGCGAAACCAGCTTGCCCTGAGCCCGGGCATCATGCGCCCAACCGCCACCCAAGGCGTGGGCACCGCCGTTCTGAGCGGCGTACTCCTCCATTCTCTTCTCAAGCTCGGGACGGAAATGTCTGATGAGACCCTGAAGAGGCCAGGCGAAAGCCTCACCAAGAGCTAGAAAAAGACCTGTTAGTGTTTGAAATAGTTTACGTCATGACAAGTACATACCGCAAATGGTGTGACCCTCAACTTGCTTGGTAAGCTCCTGAAGCATGTCGATCTCACGTGGCCGGCCCTGGCCCTTCTCGAAGCGCTTCATGATCTGGTCGGTCCACTTGCTACCCTCTCTGCAGGGCGTGCACTGACCGCAGGACTCATGGGCGTAGAAGTGGGAAAGACGGCTGATGGCGCGGACAACGTCGGTGCTCTTGTCCATGACAATGACGGCGGCGGTACCGAGACCGGACTGGCTGTCCTTCAGAGCGTCGAAGTCCATGAGCTGGTTGTCACAGACGCTCTTAGGGAGGATAGGGGTGGAAGAACCACCAGGGATGACGGCCAGCAGGTTGTCCCAGCCGCCACGAACGCCACCGCAGTGCTTGTCGATCAGTTCGCGCAGAGGTATCGACATCTCCTCCTCGACGGTGACGGGGTTGTTGACATGACCGGAGATGCAGTAGAGCTTGGTACCCTGGTTACGCTCGCGGCCAAAGCCCGCGAACCAGTTGCCACCACGTCTGCAAATGGTAGGGGCAACGGCGATGGTCTCAACGTTGGCAACGGTCGAAGGGCAGCCGAAGAGACCGACGGCAGCGGGGAAGGGCGGCTTGAGACGAGGCTTTCCGGGCTTGCCCTCGAGGGACTCGATGAGGGAGGTCTCCTCACCGCAGACGTAGGCACCGGCACCGCGGTGGATAAAGACGTCGAAGTCGTATCCGGAGTTGCAAGCGTTCTTGCCAATCAAACCGTCCTTGTATGCCTCGTTAATGGCGTTTTGGAGGATGGCAGCCTCGTGCACGAACTCGCCACGGATGTAAATGTAGGCGGCGGTGGCGTTCATGGCTCGGCCGGCGACAAGGCATCCCTCGATGAGCTTGTGGGGGTCCTTTCGCATAATCTCGCGGTCCTTGCAGGTTCCAGGCTCACCCTCATCGGCGTTGACGACGAGGTATCTCGGCTTATCGTCCTTGTCCCAGTCCTTGAAGTTCATGAACGACTGCGCGGTGCCATCTGCGTTAGCCCGTTGTCCCGTTCCTTCCCTTGATTGCCGCGGCAATAATTCAGCAACTCGCAAGGTGTCAACCTACCCATTTCAATCCTGAGGGGAAACCGGCACCTCCGCGGCCACGAAGACCGGAAGCCTTGACCTCACTAATGATCCAGTCGTGTCCCTTGAGAATGATCTCCTTCGTCTTGTGCCAATCGCCCATCTTCTTCGCCGAAGCCAGCGTCGGGGGCAACCGGCCGTAGAGATTCTGGAAAATGCGGTCCTGGTCCTTCAGGCCGCCGTATGTTCGTACCGTTGCGAAGTTTCGCGCAGCCTGCGCGGCCTGCGCGGGCAACCGCCGTGGAGTGGCCATCGTGGGCGTTGGGGGGTCTGGTGGTGGATGGGGGTTGTCGGTCGGATGAATTCGTCGTCGTGGAACGAAGCTCTGCTGCACCAAGTCGATGATGCTTATTTCCAATTGGCGTTGATTGGCCAATGCGGGCCGGTTAGTCAGCGATTCAATCACGTGACAGACTCTGATGTATCAACCGGGGTTATGTGCTGGGGCAGCTTTGGAGAATGAGCGTTGACGGCCGGTGCGATGCCCCACGTCAAGCTCACTGATCGCTAACATCGCTGCGCGTCGTACGCCCGGCAGGTTAAAGAGACCCGAACCCGTGTTGCGATCTTCACCAAGAATGTACCATTCACTTTCTGGATAGCAAATCTTTTGCGGTGGAGCAACCCAGAACACACACCACAATGTCGTCTAGCAAGCGGCATTCTATGCTGCCCGCCGTCTCCAACACCGGCCCGCGACCGCCAGTCAACTTCTCTTCCTCCCTCACCATCGCTGACAGCGCCATTCTTGTCGGAACGCACTCGGTCACGATCCAATCGGAAAGTGTGTTACATCCACGATCGAAGCTGGAATCTACCGACGGCAGCATCCTCATAGGCCGACGGTGCATCATCCACGAGCGAACTCATATTGGTGCGGTCGGCAATGATGATGCTAATGGAGGCATTGTGCTTGGAGACTATGTGACCGTAGAGGTCGGCTCGGTCATACAAGCTGGAGGCACGGAGATTGGGGCGGATACCGTGGTTGGGGTCCGATCTCGGATAGGGAGTGGTGCTGTCATTGGGAAGGTTGGTGTGACATTCTCGATACCGAGTTGAGATGCTGACTGCCATAGAATTGCACGATATCACCTTTGACCGTCATCAAACCTGGCGAGAAGATACCAGACTACACAGTTGTGTACTCGAATGGCCAGCGACGGATCGACAGACGAGGAGTTACGGACTTGAAGCATAAGGCGCAGGCGCGGCAGATTGATGTGCTCAGGAGATTGATACCCAACAAGGCCGAGAAATGGCTGAGTTAATAACTGTACCACAATGATACCCCATGATTCATGTTACCAGAAGATTCCGTTTCCAGCACAAGACTAGAGACCGTCAACGAGACCCTGTTGTCTGGCTGTACCCGGTGCCCCTCGACCTTCAGTTTTTCTCCGCCTAGAAATGGGTCTGAAGCTAGGTACATGTGCCCCTTTCAACAGGAACTTTCCAGTATGATAGGCCGCGGTAGTCGAGTTGTTCAGCAAAACCATTGTCTCGAAACCGATCTCGAAACGATAGGGCAGAGCCATTTTTGGCAAGGCTTAGGTTCCAAGCATTCAAACCTTACAACTTCGAGTGCTAAGCTTTTACACGGTTTGGAGTGAGAAAGAGGTGTCGTTAAACCTAACGGACATAGACGGCACTTGAAGTATGCTCGATTATTCAACCAGGGCGCCAGTCGCAGTCTAAGCCATTTGAGCTTAGTTCGTGCCTCATGGGACCGTATCTTAGCGCGGCGTTCAAGGCATTGACGGTTCTCCCACGAGTCTGCAGTGCTCCCATTTTCACCCATACTCACCGAGCAGGCACATAACGCTCGAAGTACCGGTTGAAATTATGTAAAATAAGACACCAGAGCTGGACACTCTCTCACAGAGCTTGTCGTTGCTCTTCCGACTTGAGACGTACACTCCGCGTTAACATCCGCCGTAGAGAAGGGGCTGGATGCTCCAGCATAGCAAACCCCCACCGAGTAGTACCATTTTATACAAGGAGCAACACTTTCTTGATCTGTCTGTCGTATCCTTCTCTTGCACCTTTTCTGTGTGCTGCTCTGTTTAGATGCTGATAATCCTAATGGTTGCCGGCCCCCAGTTGTTACGGTGGCCATATGAAACCCCTTGACCGGCCGATGCCTTTGATATGTTCGTCTATTTGCTGCTGATCTGTTCGACTGTGGTACCTGGAATGCTGGTATAAGGTTCGGTAACAGGTTGAATACACAACCTCACGCAACCACTGTTGTGGCATGTCAGGTGTCATAACTGGTTCACAGCAGGAGGCTTTTTGAGCCAAAAAGAAGACATAATGAATGACCAAGACTAAACATGGCATACCGCAATAGACAAGCGACACAAACATAATTGGCAGACGCTGTGTCGTCCTCAAGTACTGCAAGTCAAGGATAGCATCCCTACATCTCGATCCTCAAGCTCGTTCCGCTACAGAGCGTCCTACGAGGTATAGTCAAGCACAACGCCTTTTTGGAGTACTTAAGACCTGGCTTAGCTGAATGAAGCATCTAAGCCCTTCAGAATGCAAAGCATAGACTGCCAATAACTATAACAAGGTATATGTCTCTATCTGGCTGGCACCAACAGGCCGTGATGCGTTCTACTCTGCCCGTCTTCACCCTGGTTGGGATGCACAAAACACAATTTTTTTTTAATTACTTTGTCGTGAATTTATTTGGATTATTCACGAAGAATTCCTTCTGTTAACGCATACTAGAGGCCGGAATGCTCCAGCGTCGACCACCTGAAACTCTCCTTCGTCTTGGCTGGCGCGATAACAGGCGAATAACTGTAGGAGATTGTGCAAACAAACAAGAAACTTCCGACTTTAACATTTCTAAGAAAAGCCATTAACAGCACGGCCGGCGGCCGTCGGTGTGCTGTATTCCCCACTTTTCTACCTGCCGGCCCCGGATCCCCTTACCGCCGGGTGCCGATTGCCCACACTAGGCACCGAATTAGGCTGAACGCCTAATGAGCCTTCGATATTACGAACAGGGGATTAAGAGCACAAGGTTGCTATTGACTCCCGCTGTTCTCGGGCAATTCACAAGTAACAAAAACTGCGAGACGACAGAAGTGAACAACCGGGCGGGTGAAAATCTGGGGCGGATGACTTATCCCTTGCACGACATGCCCTGAGTTTTCAACCTCTCATTGGCATCCCCACTTCACTCATCAACCTCATCGCCGCCATCGTCACTCATACTTCGCCATCTCATCCACCCGTACATTCAACGAAATCTGAACTGGCATATCACTTCAAAACAATCAAGATTCACCAGTGCACATACCATTCTCACTAAAGACTCCATCGCGCCCATCTTTCTGTTGCCAAAATGAATCGCACAAAGCATGACCCCCATACCCACCACCGTATCGGCCAGCTCGTCGAGCCGGACTCAGACGGCTACGTCGTCCGCCGCTTCCCGACTGACCACGTCGAAGTTTACGGCGAAAATCCCACCAACCTAGAGATCGCCGGCGGGACCGGCCACTTCAACCTCTTCCACGTCCGTTGCCACGCCGCGCCCTCCGCGGCGGATCAGAAACCTTCGTGCCACACCGACTCCCTCGTCATTGCTATCCATGGCATCTGCCCGCCTCAAAACAGTCCGGACCAGCCACCGACGAAATCCGCCGTCGGCGTCTACCTTGGTCCCAACAACGTCGCAAACCGCGCCTGCCGCGTCCCAGACGCCGCCGACCGCGGTCATGTCATGCGCGACACGGACGGCAGTGACAGTCGTGACCGTCCGCAACACACGCAACAGCGCGCCGATCTATATGCAGCGATCGCAGGGCTGATGGAGGGAGCACGGATCGCGCAGCAAGGGTTGCCGCATTCGCGTGGTGCGGGCAGGGCTCCGGCGCCGTTCAAGCTACACCATATTGTGGTAAAGAGCGATTCGGCGTACCTTGTGGAGGGTGTGTCGGGCGGAAGGAATGGAGAGCCACCGCATATGAAAAAGTGGTTGGCCAACGGGTGGAAGAATACCAAGGGAGAAAAGGTCAAGAACGAGGACTTGTGGGACAATCTGATGCTTACGATGATGTCGCTCGGCAAGCTGAGCGTGGCGGTAGAGTTCTGGCAGGTTCCGAAGAAGGAGAACAAGGAGGCGGACAGGTTGGCAAAATACGCGCTCGAGCAGGACGTGAACTGGTTTGACGAGAAGGGCATTTTTGGCAAAGATGAGCACAAGGGCGATAAAAAGAAACCTGAGACGGCCAAGGATGAGCTGGTAGAAATGGAATGATTCTGTTGGATCCCAGGCACACATGTTGCAGAGAAAAAGGGTTTAGATTACTATTGGTCTACGGAGTGGAACGACAATATCTTTACAGCGTTCGGTGACGGAGAGTGGCCGTGGAGTTGCTTCCAGTGAGCGACAGGACCTCGATCTCGGGAGTCTCGTAAATGTCCCAATTGTCCGACGCCTTGGGATTGCCAAACGGCTTTAAAGCGGCGATGCGCCACCTGGCCACGAGAGTTAGCATTATAAACAGATCCAAGACCGCGTCTGGGGCCCACTAACTTGTACTTTCCAGGTTTGATCTGGCTTCCGTCCGCCAGCTTTCCGAGCCACCACGACTCATAGGGAGAGTCACGGGACTGGTCCTGCAATGGGTAAGAGAAGGTATTGTTGACGCTGTCGGTGGCGGGGTCGAAGACGGGGTAGTTAACGCTGTTGTAGACGTCGAAACTGGCAACAGAGCCAATGTACTTGTTCTGGCCGACGACGGGCGGGTAAACCCATTCGCGCTCTTGGTAATTAGACTGGAAGATCTGAGGGTTCCCGTTAGCAACTTTGACTATAAGGTTGGCACGAGGGGCAATTGCTTACATCCCAGCGCAGCTCACGAGTTCCCCAGGTCAAAGCGACTTGAAGCTTGACAAAATCTTGTTTATCGAGGGAGAGGTCGAAGTTGAAGCTGATGATCTCGCGTCAGTTACGTCGGTTCTCTAGCACAGAAGTAGGGAGCCTACCTCGATTTCTCAGACAGCAACGTCCGGTTGACACCAGAGATGACACGAGGGTATCCAAAGGACGTGTAAAACATGTCAGCAATGTCGTGCTTGATGCTTCCGCCGACGCCTACGGACAATGGTTAGCAATAAACAAGTCAAAAAGGGATCAAGCCGCACCATAGTAAGGCACAGAGAGGACATCGCCAGCGCTGGAGCTGATAAGGATCTTGCCGCTGAAGATAGGCAGTCTCGTGGCGTTGAGACCCTGGGGGATATTGAAAGAGAATCTGAAACCACATCAGCTTGCGTCATACACAGACAGTCTTCGGGGTGACCTACTTCGCAGTCTTGGTCTGGCCAGGTCCAATCTTGAACGTGCCCGAAGGCAGGCTGACAGGGGTGCCAATCTTGAAGGGCTCGATCTCGACCAGATCTTTGATGCGAGGGACGGCGTTGATCCCAGCACCAGCAGCCTCCGCGGTCCAGTACGATTCGAAGCCGGCGGCATCTTGAACCTTGAATACGTACTCGAGCTCCGTGGTGCCGGTGTTGGTGATGTCGACTTGGTGATACCGCGAAAAGTGGTGCGTGTCGTTAAGCGCGAACTTGGTCTCACCGGACAGCTGCGAAATCGCGTTCAGGACAGAGACAGCATCAATGAGACCGCTTCCGACCTGGATTGGAGGAGCCCAGAAGCCAAAATCCTTGGTCGTGCCGTCGGACCAAGGGATTGCGCGACCCGAAGCGACGATACGTGCGTGCAGGGCTTTGGCGAAGCCAGCACCGTGCGTGGAGCGGCCGCCGTGGGCGCTGATGTATAGAGCGGCAACACCGGCGACATAGGGGCATGCCATGGACGTGCCTGAAAGTTCGCGATAGCGCTTTCCAATGTAGGGGGCGAAGATCCTGCCTCCAGGTGCAGTGATGTCAGGCTTCACCTCGAGATCGAAAGTGCCGCCCCAGCTCGTGAACTGAGAGGGTTTTCCGCCGCCGGCGTTGTACATGGCAACATAGTTGCTGTTCTGATCCAGAGAGAAGTCTGCAGTGACATTTCCACCGGCAATGATGGTCTTGACAATGGCCTCGCCGGCATCCTTGGAAAGGAGACCCCATTTGCTCTGCACCCAGCCTAAACCAGAGAAACTGACAACAGGTCTGTCGGTTAGGTAGAAGAGCATAAACCTGGCGCCGCGCTCCTGGACCCATCTCTGCCTGACGGAATCCTGGCATCCCTCATCGAATCGCACAAGCGGAATCGTCCCGGTGAGATTCAAACCCTCAGGGAGCGGCTGGCAGGCGTCGTTCTCGACGCTGATGTTAAGAGTAATGGGGACGATGGGCCAGCCGACAATCTCAGCGGGGAACAGGTCCACGGCGGGACGGTACCCGAGGATGGTCCGGTTCGAGTGGCCGTCGAGGTTGAAGGTGCCGGCGAACTGGCGGGCCGAGACAATGGAGGCGTCGGCAGAAGCCACGGCGAGGACCTCCTTTCCGGCGGCGCCACTACTGGGGAAGAAGGCGCCGACATCACCCGAGTTACCGGCGGCAATGGTGACTACCACGCCTTGCTCGACGATACGGGAGGCGACAAGCGCCCAGGCGTTGTCAGACCAGCCACCGGTCGAACCCACAGAGGCTGTGATGATGTCGACGCCGTCGTCAAACGCACGAAGGAAAGCCTCGATCAAGACTTCCTCGCTGGTACCCTCCTGTAAGGAAGTCAGAGTTGAAGGGAGACGATCCTTCGTTCCGCGAACTTACATTTGGGCCAAAGACCTTGTAGGAGTAGATGGTAGCTTCAGGGGCAACTCCGGTGAATCTGATGAGAGGGTAAGTCGATATTCGTTTGGCCTCTCTAGTTTGCCGACTTACTCGGCACTCTTGCCGGCAATGATACCAGCAACGTGCGTACCATGACCAGCCTGGTCCATGGGGTCCTCATCGGGCTGTCTCTCCTCGCCCGGGTATGGCCAATTAGCTGCTAAAGTCAGTTATTGTTTCTCTTCAGTCTACAATGGCCAACCTACTGCTGTCGCCGACAAAGTCATATCCGGCAGCAACCTTGCAGCCCTCTCCAAAGCAACCTCCAAGCTGAGGTTGGTTAGCTATCGGCACACAAAAGATTGAAAGAACACTTACTGCGGGATGGGTGTACTCAGTACCGGTGTCAACAATGCCGACCTTGACGCCCTTGCCAAAAACACCCTGCTCATGGAGTTTATCGACTCCTGTCATCCAGTGGATGGAGTAGTTGAGCGCCTTGGCATCGTCGCTGAATGAGTCTCCGGTTACGACGGGAGCGAGTTGAATGCGAGTAGAGTGCCACGCCTTGATTACGGGCACAATCGCCTCGAGTGAGTCCGTGTTGTCGCTGTCAGATTCAACAGCGATGCCGTTGAAGATGGATGAGTCGAACACTTTGAGGACCTTGCTTCCAGGGCGGGTTTGAAGCTGCTGAACCACGGCGTCCTTGTCGGCTCCCTATGAGATGTTAGCGTCCTGACTTCTGGACTATTCCCTTCGCCTAGGTCACATACCTGCTCGAGCTCAAGGATGAACTTCTTGGGCGCAACGACGGTATCGTTGGACGGACGAACATCCTCGTCAATGGCACGTCGAGAGACCTTGGCCACGCCCGCGCCGGCCAAAGCCAGCACAGAGACCAGGGCACTTGCGACACGCATAGTTGCTAATAAACGAATGTAATCTTGAGAATCGAGCTGGGGGCCGATGCCTTTCTCTTCCTCGCTTCTTCGTGACTTCACCGGACGGCAAACACCTTTTATGAGCCTCCGCGGCTCGCAGCACCCGGGAAACCCTCGCGTGATGATACGACCCGTTGACGATCTCGTATTGAGCTTGATACCACGGAATGCACAAGCAACCCCAAACCCCGGCATCTTGTCCCCTTTCGGCAGTCATCGCAGTGGCATCTCCACCCCAGAGGCGACCTCACCGTCGATGCCAAGCAATTGCGGCCCACCGCCAACCATGGCGTCCAGCACCCGGATCCCTTGTCCCCCTCTAAGTGCCTTGTGTTGACCTGCCTTCTTGAGTTTGGTCTATCAACGCATCACTTTTTTCCGGCCCATTTCCTCAATATTCGGTATGCACGCTAGAGGCGTGCATCCTCGTATTCTGCGATCCTGGGACACAAGGAAGTGGTTAAAGATGGCCGGTCGGCCTCGGGGTTCGGTGGGATGAAAGGCTGTGTTTGTCGCGAGAACCGCGATTCGAGTCTCCGGTCGCTTAAATAGGTGGTGCCAGAGGTGCAGATGCGTCGGAACGACCCGTTCATGAGACGATCCGCCCTTGACTTTTATGGTTATTTCCGCCCAGAAGGAGGGGCTCACAAGGATGGACGACAATGAGACGACTCTATGGAGATTCAAACGCATCCCATTATGCGCACATACTGTTGTCAGTTCCGGGTTTTTCTAAATATGTCAATCAAAAGTGCGGTGCTTACACACGAGCTATCAACATCTTGAGATACCCGTCGGGCTTCAGGTCTAAACAACGCGTTAGGTGAGAGTGCCTCGCAGCGTAGAACTAGGTACCATCACTTCCTCTCAGTTCGTTCGTAGAGCCCTAAGATGCCTGTTGCGCTCTCCGTCAAGTTGAGACTCTCCAAAAGCACAAGGAGACGTTCTCGGCAACCATCGTCAGTGATAATCGAAAGTAATACTTAGTAGCATCGTACGTAGACCGTACCTAGCAACACAACGAACTGTGTGAAGTAGCACAACTTCCTCCTTCTCCTTTTCCTCTCCTTCTTTTTACGACTTCAGCATGAGGCGCCTTTGCTGTTCTATTGTACAATGAAAGCCGGCAGCGACTTATGGTTTTGCGGTACCAACTGCCTGAAACCGAACAAACGTAGTTCTCGTGTGTTCACAGAAACGGCATCATCTCTCCTGTTCTTCCTCGGGACCGAGAATGAGGACCAAAGCAGCCAGAGGGGCATAATGGATGAAACAATAGGAGCGATGAATCGTAGCACAAAGAACAAGATTCTGCTCCGATTGGTCTGGCTAGACTCGTTACCTACGCAGACCGGCCGGTGGTCAGCTCGCAAAAGATCGACCTCGTGCCAGCCACATGGCAACGCTGACTGCATGCCGGGTGAATTACGCTTATATCTTGGCATGGAGACGCTGCGACTGCCGGGCACCTTGAAGCTCCCCAGGTTATGAACCCCTTTCAGACTAACTTACATACCCCACACAATATACCGACATTCGGGTCTCCCAATGAGACCTTTGGACACCGGAATAGCTGCATGATTGGCAAGGTCCCAGTGTTGCATTTTGAACTTGGGTTCCCCGCGTTCGAAAACGGCCGAATTGCGGCGCATACGCTTCCGAGGATGGTAGGTACGATGTTTAGGCACACCAGGCCATGGGATTCTGGGTCGTTGCAATACCATAAAAGGGGCGTCTGTGCTCGCAGATTCTTGGACACCCTCTTTGCAAGGAAGGACAACCGTACACGATCGACTCGACAAGATGTTCGGGCCCATTGCTGCTTTCACGAGCGTCCTCGCTTTGTTGGCACTAACGCCAGTCGCCGCAAGGTCGATGCTCCTAGACTCGGCGACCATACTCGAGCGCACCGAGCAGGTCAAGGACTCATACGACTATGTCATCGTTGGCGCTGGAACCGCGGGGTTGACCGTCGCCGACAGATTGAGCGAGGATGGGAAATGCTAGTCCTCCAATCTCTCATCAACACGTACCCGAAACACTAACCGTCGAGACTAGATTCCGTACTGGTGATCGAGTATTGTCATCTAAGCATGTCCACCTGCTTTCACTTCACAAAGCACCCTGATATGCTAACATCCCGCAGTATCGGACGCGATCATTGAGGCCGGCGGCGGTCGCTGGTTCAACGACCCCGGCATCCAGTACAATATCACATCGACCCCGCAGCCCGGGATGAACAACCGCACGCAATTTGTCTGGATCGGGTGCTGCGTCGGCGGTAGCTCGGCCATCAACGGTATGGTCATGGTGCGTGGGACAAAGGTCGAATACGACGGCTGGGCGGAGCTGGGGGGGCCGAACTCGACTTGGAACTGGGACGGTGTGCTGCCTTATTTCAAGAAGGTGTGCAATGCGGCTGTTACTTTATCCCTAGCCCCCGACTGACCGAGAATGCAGGCTGTGCATTTCACACCTCCCGAGGAGGAGATTGCTGAGACGTTCAACATCACCTGGGACCCGAATGCTTGGGGTATGGAAGAGAAAACGAGGGTCTTTGCGTCGTTCCCCGAATACCAGAACCCTTGGTTGAGTAAGAAAGACCATGAGAACATTGACAAATGGAGATGTACTGACACCGAGCAGTACCCACGTACCAGGCCGTCAAGAAGATGCCGCGAATGGATGTCCCTCTCGATGGCGCGGGCGGTGACAACGGCCTGTTCTGGTTCCCGTCCTCGATCGACCCCAAGCGTTACCGGAGATCGTACGCTCGCACCGGCCACTACGACGGCATCACTCGTCCCAACTATGAGGTCATCACCAGGCACAAAGTCCGGAAGATTCTTTTCGACGGCACAACGGCAACTGGGGTCGAGTTCACCTCCCGCGATGGCGACGCCCAGCCCATCACGGTGAAGGCCACCAAGGAAGTCATACTCGCCGCCGGCGCAGTCCACACCCCACAGGTCCTACAACTCAGCGGTATCGGATCGAAACCCCTCCTCGACGAGGCCGGCATCCCGGTGCTCCTCGACATCCCTGGCGTGGGCCAGAACTTCCAGGACCACGCATACCTCAGCGTCGGCTACGAATGGCGCAATGGAACGCCCTCGGGCCCGGACGTCCCCGGGAACGGCGACCCGTCCAGCGTCGCTGCCCCGAACCTCGGCGCCTGGGTCGGCCTGCCCACGATGACGTCCGACTTCGAGGCCATCGCGTCCCGTTACGAGGCTCAGAACCCGGCGGAGTTCCTGCCGGAGAACACGCACCCGACTGTGGTGGCCGGCTACGCCGCCTTCCAAGCTCTCCACGCGAAGCTCCTACGCGACAAAAACATAAACGTCATGTGGCTGCCCCTGTCGGGCGGCGCGGGCGGCATCGTCATGGCCATGCACATCGTCAGCCACGGGACCATCAACATTGACCCGTCGGACCCGGAGGGCGAGCCGGTGGTGGACTACCGCGCGCTCAGCAACCCCGTCGACATGGACATCATGGTCGAGATTGTCGAGTTCATGCGCAAGTACATGGCCAGTCCGGACTTTGCAGGGTACCAGCCATTCGAGACGTCCCCGGGGGCGAACGTGACGGGCGCGGCGTTGAGGGAATGGATTCGAGGCCAGTATATCCCGACCAACTTCCACCCGATCGCGACGGCGGCCAAGAAGCCCCTGGAGATGGGCGGCGTTGTTGGTGAGGATTTGTTGGTGCACGGGGCGCGGAGACTCAGCGTTGTGGATGGGAGCATCATGCCGCTGCTGCCCGGGGCGAACACGCAGCAGACGGTTTACATGTTGGCGGAGAAGGCTGTCGATCTGATCAAGGCGAGGCAGTAGTCACACAGCTATTCGAGGGGCAAGGAAGATTGGAAGAGGGCATTTTGCAAGAGGAAATGGAGAATTGGTGAAAATGGATTGTGAGACGGGAGACTTGTCCGGAGGAAACTAGGATGCCAAAGAAGCTTGTTGGTGCCGTGGCCAAGAGCATCCGCCTGATACCCTCCTGTCCGACGCCTGCTCAATGTTGAAACTGTTCGGCATCATCAATAGCAACACTAGCCCTCTCTTTTGAATCACTACTACAACAGGGAGACATTGTCGCAAACATCTCACTCCAGGACAGGGCAAACCCCCTCACTCAGACGGGGATGAGCTTTCCGAAAGCACCATGCCGATCAATCGGACTCCATCTCACGCTTACATCAACCCCAAGCCTTCAGTGCTCTCTAATCCACCAGAAGCCAGTCAAGACTCCATCGTCGGTGGGCAAGAGTTGAAAGAGCATTTTGATAAGACAATCTACACATCCGTCCGGTCCTTGTTCGACGGGTTTCAACAGCCATGAGAGTGATATCTAGGCAAGCACGTTCCTTCCAAACAAACCTGCCCGGATCCAGAGGGTCGCAATACGGATGCAAACGGAATTCGCATACTGTGGCAGCTTGAGCTGCGAGTCCCCAGGAAGCCTGAATCTTCTCGTCGCCATGACCAAGCCCGCGTCAGCGGCCCAGCCTCACTCTTGAGCCACCACCAACACCACCAACACCACCAACACCACTGCCGTATACATGTCACAGGAGAAAAGCCAACCACTTCAATCCCCCGAGTGCCAGATGAGACAGTCCCGAAGCCCACGTCCACCGCGCTAGCGCACCCCCCTCCCTGATGTATCCCTAACGACCGGACCACTGTCACCCCGAGTATCTTCCCGGACTTCACGGGAGAAGAACGGAGAGCAGCCGCAGGCGAGAAGGTGCGACAGCATCGGGTACCTGAACGCCAAAAGAGGAGCGGTAAAAAAACCAGCACCTGTTCAGGGGGGTTGCTGGAGCAGCTCAGTAAGCTGAAGCGGGCGGGCGCCGTGGTCGAGTCGGGGCATGTGCCGAGCAGGGAGAACCAGGGGGGGGGGGGCAGGTTGGCTTGCGAATGCGGCGCTCTGGCGACGAGATTGTCTTGTAGGTGTGGAGAGGCCGTTGGAGCCATGTCGGTTAATCCTGAGGACGACATCTTCCTGCGCCTTTCAAGGCGGTCAGTCAGGGAATTTCGGACATCGAGTGGAAAGACTGGGCAAGAGTTAAGCGTCACTTGAAGAAACGATGGAGAATGCTTGCAAGATATTATTCGTGATTGAAAAAAAAGAGCGAGGACATAGCGTGAGTCTAAAATCTAAATGGTGGGGTTTCCATGAGCGTTGTGTTTGTGCCGTCAAAGAGAAACATCCGCCTCCCGTCGCTCGTCTCGAAAAGAGAGGCATGTGTGGGTAGGTTATGATAAAAAGAAACATTGCGGGAAAGACATTCATGTGTCCTTTCCCATCGCCATCTGCGCCCTTTCCCTTTCCCTTTTTCGTGGCTAGGTACAAACGCTTTTTGCTTCCTCGCGCAAGAGGCACATAGAGCTATGTGTATATAAAACGGAGGGAAAGTTATACATCATTATACAACCAAAGGCTCCATAAATATGGGGAAAAGTGGTCCGGTGCCGGTCTTCTCTCCCTGGAACCCCAAGACCAAACATGACAAGAGGCGCGGCACTGTAGTCGCGCCCCCGGGTATTTTTTTGTTTCGCATCGCATAAGTTTTGCACGAACCATCCCTTATGGCTTCGACACCTGCTCCTTTCTGAAGAACTTGAAGAACAAGATGGGGATCACCAGCTGGAAGCCCAGGCAGATCCAGAACCAGTAACTTGAAACGCCGGGCATCAGTCCCTGGGAGAAATCGGGGAAGGTCGTGTTGGGCGACAGGGCGTTAGGGCTCGTCGCGCGTGCGAGCATCGTGAAGGCACTGCCCACAATCTGTGCACCAATGAGGACGGCCAACACGTGCTGGCGTGTCAGGGTCGCGAGCAGCATCATACCCAGGCCGACACCCTGGATGTTGTCCAAGAGGCCGAGCCAGAGCCAGAGGCAGCGGGATAGGATGGCCGAACCAACGGGGCCACCGGCCCAGGGGAGATACATGCCCATGCTGCTGGTACCCCAGAGCATCTGCGCCCAACGAGGAGCGCACAGACCGATGGCGAAAATTGGCAGGAGCCAGGTGTGGCTCTCGGAGAAGAAGGAGAAGACGTAGAGGATGATGGCCCAGAGAACGACGAAGAAGCCGAGGGCAAGGAGGACGACGCCCCATCCGGGGATGAACTGCGAGGCGAAGAGGAACTGCCAGTTACGGCCGTAAGGAGCCGACAGCCAGTAGTTCTGGATAATGATCATGATGAAAAAGACTGGGACAAGCTTGCGGCGGACAAGGGAGATGTAGAAGCCGGGAATGTTGTCCGGTGCCTGGCGGTAGTAGTCGGGGAGACCGAAGAAGAGGATCAGACCAATGGACCAAAGGATGATGGCGACGGGGACGCAGACCACCAAAGCCTTGGGAATACTGGTACCGTTGATGAAAGCCATGGGAGAAGTCTCCGCGGTGTGGCTGAGAGATCCCCAGTACCAGAGCATCAGAGAGTACACCTGAGCAACACCGGAAACAGCAAGAGCGCGAGTGATCCATTGCTTCGTCGGGGCACCGCCCTCGTCACCAAAGTTGAGCGCAAAGGACAGAGCTCCGGCGCTGGCGCCGGCTGCATAGAGAGCAGTGGCGGCGTCTTGCATTGCAGCACGGCTCTGCCAGGGCGACATGTAGGGGGAAAGACCAAGCAGGAGGAAGGCCAATCCGAAGAAGGCCCAAGGGAGCGACAGAGCGTATACGGACTTGGTGAAGCGGACCATGATCCACCAGAGGGCGGATGTGACGAGGTAAGTCGCCGCAACAATGTAGAGCTTGAGGGGCGTTTGGTTGGTTTCGCCCGTGAGGAGGACGATCTGGTATGAATTGATGGAGATGACCTGGCTGAAGGCAAGGAAGAAGGCATAGACGGGCCAGTCGCCAATGCGGATGGACAGGATCCTGGAAGAAATAAGCATTTTGCAAAGCACACATGTCAGGGTTGAGACTCACTTCTTGAGACCTGTGGGCGCGTTGTAGTTGTCACCCAACAGGAATTCGTCGTCGACGGGACTGTCATCGTAACGAGAGGCACCGGTGAGACCGCTCGGTGTGCGGCTACGACCACGCTCATCATCAAACTTGGCACCAAGACCCTTGCTCGAGCCTGGACGGCTGGGCGCGGGACTTCTCGACCGGCTATGATCTCTCCGGCCAAGCTTGGCGTCACGGTATCTCGCGAACCACTTCTTCTCACTCTTCTTGAGGAAGTTCTCAATGCAGAGATCGTTGCCCGAGTTCTTGGCCGTCAGGTTGTTGAGCATCTGCTCAAACTCCGCGTAAAACTCGCCGTTCTTATCAGTGAAGTTCTGGTCCACGTTTTGCAGCTTGAGATCGTGGCGGTCACCGACGACATCAGGCAGAGACAGCTGAGAGCTGTTGCGCTGCTGCTTGTAGAAGCTTGGTTGAGGCAGACCGAGACCATCGAAGCCGGGGGTTTGGGGAGACGGGTCGTTCTGGGCGCGCATGGCGAAACTGTCCACGCTGACCATGCTCTCACGACCCGCACCAAACATGCTCTCACGAGGTGCCAGCATGCTGTCTCGGCCACCAATGGAGCTCGAGAAAGAGCTGCGGCGGGAAGAAGGAATGTTGGTCCACGGCATGTTGGGTGTGCCGAGGTCAGGCGAGTTGATACGGCCCGCGGGGCTGGCAATGCGGCTCGGAGGAGGAAGGGGCGACGGGGCTCTTGAACCGGTAGGGGTGAGTTCTGCACCGTACTCGCTGACAGCGACGCTTGATCTCAGAGAAGAATCGGTCAGGTTGCGGATGCCGCCAGCCTTCTTCTGCTTGGCAGCCTCCTTGTTGTGAATCTTGATCGAGTCATTGTAGAGCGTGTCTAGTTGTCTGATCCACTGCGCGACGGGGAAACGCTGCTTGGCGCTCCAGGCGCGCATGAGGGCTCGCTTTCTAGGCTTGCAGCTGAGGGCAGAGGCAATGGCTTGTTTGAACTGTTGGAGCAAATGGGTCGGGCTCATGGACTCGACAGTGTACCAGAAACCGGGCATCTGACCAAGACCACCGACACGGGCACCGACACCCAGGGCACCCTTACGGCCGAACTCGACGGCGACCAGACCGAAGGGCTCATCACGAGAAGGAATGAGGGCAAACTCAGCACCACTAAAGATGTAGGGAGGCAGCTGGGTGAACTCAGGTTTGCTGAAGACACGGCCAGGGTACTTCTCCATAAGCTTGTTGAGCTTCAGGGCCGCAAACTTGCCGTACAAGTCGATGACGGGGCCGACGCAAATGAGCTGGACAGAGGGGTACTTCTCGAGAATGCTAGGGAAAAGATCGGCAATCAAATCGACACCCTTCTGCAAACTCCATCTACCGACAAAGACGAAAAGATCGGCGTTGGGGTTAACCTCAAGACCGGCCCACTCCTGGGCTTGTCTTCGGAGAGTGGCTCGGTTGGCCTCGAAGGTCTCGTCGATCTTGATGTCGTCCTGGTGGTTAGAGATATCCTCCTCGGGGTTCCATTCGCCAGTATCGGAGGGATCGGGGTTAGGCAGCTGGCCAATGTTCTTCAAACTCCAGAAAATGGGGTAACGAGCGAGGGAGCGGTCACCGTACTTCTTGGACACACCGACAGCACCGAAACCGCGCTGGTGAATACGGAGGTAACTGGCGGCGGCGTGCAGAAGGTTGAAAGCCGAACCGTATTGGACGTAGTCCTTGACGACCTTGGCTGGAAGGTTGAAGACGCTGTAGACTTCCTTCTGCTCCTCCTCGGTTCTCATGGGCCACATACCCTGGAACTCGGCATTGTGCAGAGATAAGCAGACAGGGATAGTTTCCGGGAGGAGGTAGAGGGGCGCGGCAGCACCGTGGTAATCGTTGATGTGGTAGATGTCAACGTTGAAGCGGCGGATCGACTCAGCAATGCAGCTGTTCCAGGCACAGTACAAGATGGCACTCTCGAGATCATCCATGCGAGCGATGTAGGGGTCGGCCTTGGTTTGCTGGCGGAAGATGGGAGCATCGAGGATAACGTACGTGATGTTCTTGTGGACGTGGTAGTAGACCTTGACCTCGAAGGATTCGCCCATGACTTCGACAAACATCGGCTCGGCCTCGTTCTCCACGGGGTATTCAACGTCGCCGACGCAGGGGACAACCCAGATAAGATCCACGTGGGTGAGCGCTTGACTCATGAGCTTGGCCATGACACCAAGACCACCGATCTTGATGCTGATCTTCCAGTCGTCGATGTTGTACTCCATGGTGGCGATGAGGACCTTCCTTCGGGGGGCGCCGCCGGCGGCCGCTGCGGCAGCTGGCGTGGCGAGAGGGGAGGGAGGAATTTGGGACATCTCGAGACTTTTGCCTTTTTCGCCGAAGTTAATGTTGGACTCATTCCCGAGCTTGAGTGGTAACCAACCCTTCTTGGAGAATCCTGACTTGTTAATCTTGACCTGGTAGAAACCCTTCATGTAGATCCAGCCGGCCAATCCTGCGAGGACAATGGGCATGAGACCAAGGAGGAAGAAGAAGATAATCTGGATCCACATGTTGCCCTGGGGAACGGCGACGTAGTTCCAGTTGGCGTCGTTGATAACCAGCTTGTAGGAGAGCGCGGGCATCGGTGGCGGCGAGGTCAGGTTGACCACGTTGTCGGACAAACTGCTCGGGGGCAGACGGTCAAGGACACCGTCGCCGTTGGGATCGCCGTAGATGAAGGAGGCATCAGGTTGGTTGTCGGGGTTAATGCCCCAAAGGTTCAATTGGACCTGGGCGGGCCATTCGTACATGAAGTGCAGCTCCCAGAGGTTGTTTTCGACCTGAGTCATCAAGTTTGGCAGACCAGCATCGTAACCCCACTTGTTAAAGGGTCCATGGAGGAAAATGTGAGGCCAGCGGCGAGAAAAGGGGATGTCACTGCTGTCGGAGTGCTGGATGAAGGAAGACGAACCGAGAGGCTTGCTGAAGTACTGAACCATGAGATGCTCGCCCTCCCACTTCTGGAGTTCAGTCCCATCCCAAGCTTGGGGAATCATGCGCTGCTTGGCACCGGTGTACGACTGCCAATTGCTCCAAGTCGAGCCCCAGTTGGTGCTGTAACGCCATTTGGTGGCACCAGGAGCGGCGTGGTTGATGTAGTATACACCATTGCTCTCCTCCATGAGCGATCGCGAGTAGTTGGCGGTAGCGGGGAATACAACGGGGTTATACTGCTTGCCGAAGCGGATAAGGAAGTGGTCAATGGCGTTCGTACTCTTTCCGCCAGGCGCCGTGACGTTGTTGGCAGTGATCTTGACGATGCCGTCGGGAACGTTCTGGAGGTTGGCAGACCACTTCCACACAGAGGCGACGGCGCCAATAAATGAATCCTTCTCGATTGGGTCCATAGCACCACAGACGGGGGTGTCGAAGGTGACGTTGTTTATGGTGTTCGCGTCAACAGTAACGTAGGCGGAGATGGCCTTGGTGACGGTGTCGCAGTCCATGTCGGTCGAAAACTTGAAGGCAATGGGAATCTTGCCGTTGGCGTCGGTTGAGTCGATGGGAGCGTCATGGCCAGGTTCGAAACCGGTGATGGCAGGCGCGATATCCAGCCAGCTTTTCTCGGCAACGTAGGCTCGGAACTCAAAGGGCGACATGGTGATGCTGCTGATGCAGCCGGCCTTGTGGCCAGCACCCTTGAATCCATTCTCCTTGGTCGAGCTTTCAAGAGTGATGGCGGCATCGGTGCTGAATAGATTTCTGACCTTGGTGTTGCCGTCAAAAGGCGAAAGGAAGGCGTCCGCCTCTTTGCTGCAGTCGAACTCGTAGGTCGTCTCGTTGGGGCTGTTGTGGTAAACCAGCCAGACTGGGTCACCCGTCTTGTTCTGGTTGCCCAAGTAGCCACGCGCGACACTCCAGATTCCTGTCTGGGTCGCGACGCTACTGCCATTATATTGGATACCGTGGGTCTTGTTGGAGAGCTGCTCGAGGAGCCAGCCACCCTCAAGGACGGGGTACTCGTCGCGGAAAGAGAAGAGGCGTTTCATCCAATTGCGAATCGAGGCTGAGGGGTCACGGTGATCGTAAGCCACGGTCTCGTCTTCGCAGCCCAGTTTGCCCTTGGTTACGGGCCAGCCGACGTAGACGGAGTTATCGCCTGCGTAGCACCCGTGAACCTTCCACGCCTGGGCGGCGGAAAATGCTTGACGACCGAAAACGTAGTTCTCGGCAGTGTTGTCCAAAACGTAGAAGTTTTGCTCCTCACCGTAGTAAACCAGGGGAGCGCCGGGAAGAAGCATGGTAGTAATGAAGTAGGCGAGAAGCATGCGCTCCGTCCCAAGCTCAATGGCAGGCCAGCGGAAAACGTCCTGGTTGGTTACACCGTACAAGTGGCGGGGATCGAATTCGCCCGTGTTCGCGTTGTAAAAGTCGTTGGTCAAAATCATTTGGTTCCAGGTCTGAACCCAGTCGGTCGGTAGATCGTATCCAGCCTCGAGATTACCGCTCAAGCCGAGGAAACGGGTCATGAAACGGTAGATGGAGTAGTGAAAGGCACCAGCATCAAGCGCACTCTTTCCATGCTCACGGATGAAGCTGCCAGACGTAGAAGTGCTTTTAGAATCCAAGGCCACAGCGTCGGCGAGTTTTAAAGCGGAGGCCATATCCGGGGTTCGTCCGCGTCCAAGATAAATGGACCCCAGAGTGTTACCACTGGTGATTTCACCCACAATCATGAAGTTGTCCTTGCCGAGATCCGATGCGCACTTTCGCATAGCAGTACTCCATTCAGCCTGTGCATCGACGGTGACCTGGACGGCCTTGTCGATACGGAACCCGTCGATATCGAGCATCTGAATGGTCATGCAGGAGTAGAGCTCGAGACGCTGACGGACGGAGGGAACCCATTCACGAAGACGGTCCTGCACGGACGCGAACTTTGCCAATTGACGCTGCCAGTCAGGGAAAACGCCGAAAGCTTCAATGTCACCGTATTGGTCGAAATCACTGTTGTAGCAGCCCTTCAGCTGTGACACAACATCTTGGCCGACGGGCTTGCCATCTTCGAACCAGAAAGCCGGGTACTCGCAGGATTCGTTGTACTCGTTGCCGATGTCGAAATCGAGATATCGCCGAGACGTCTTCCACTGAACCTTGTGCTCATCGGTCCGGAACGGGGTCGACGCGTTGAGATATCCTTCGAAACCGATCAAATCACCCATGCTAGCAGAAACGGTGAGTGACGGCAATACCGCATCGATTCATTGGGTACTTACGTCGCCATGGTCTGATCCATGACCACATACATGCCTTTGGCGTGAATGGCGTCGATGGCCTCTTGCCATGCCGTGATGTTGCCGTAATGACGGTCGAGAAGGGTGAGATCGAGAGGCTAAGGTATCTGTCAGCACTCGTGTGCCGGGCCCGTATGCCGGTCACGAGGGGCGGGCGGTTTCTCGTACCGAGTATGAATCCGCCTTCCACGGATCGTTGATGAAGGGGGAACCGGCGATGTAGATTCCCTTGATGCCCATGCCCGCTATGTAGTCCAATGTGTCGACGAGTCCGGCCAAGTCTCCGCCATGGCGAAGCTGGTTGCTCATAATATCATGTTCGAAAAGCGTGCCGTTGGAATTGTCATTTTCGGGGTCGCCATTGACGAAACGGTCGATGAACAATGTGTAGTAAGGGAACCGCCAGTTTTCTGGTGATTTCGCAAATGTGTGGTTGTCTCGCTTTCCTGTATATTGGAATGGGTTCGTTGCTAACCTGTTCTGGTTGAGGTTGTAATCGACTTCGCTCGCGGTGTATTTGAGGCCAGAAACGAGTGTTGATGAGGCGGTAAGGAGTGTAAGTGCCCAAGCCAGTACTGAATTAGACATTGTTACTCTTACTCGCCGGCAGGGGCGAGTGAGCAAAATTGTACAACAAAAAAATAAAACAGGAATGAGTGACGAAGTGAAGCTCGAAGGAGTGTGATGGTGATGGTGGGTTGGGGGAGGAGAGAAAGGCCGCGAAGCAGACCAGCAAGCAAGCAAGAACGAATGACGGGATGAGACGCAAGGCAAGGCGCGGGACGGATGGGAAGAAAACTCGGCCGTCAACACCACGTTGGTACCGGTAGAAAAGGGGGTAATCTCGTGGGAGCTTGGGTCAGCCCAAATGCAATATGCCCCAGGCTGAGGGCGGAAAGGGGGATGGATCTCTGGAAGAGAGGCACAGACATGGACAAAGGCACAGGCATAGGCATTGTAGACTCCAGAGTGGCTGGGGCCGTAGAAGAGTCCATGAAGGATCTGTCCCGTCCGCCTCGCCTGTCAAGGCTCCAGTCTCGCAGACAGCGGTCTTGGGAGAAGGGGGGCCAGAGTGGGATACAGGCCGCAGGGCGTTGATTCCGTGATGGCGATGGGCCCCCCTCCCCCCTTCTGCAGGAACGGGCCAGCCGAGTCGTTAGCCCTTCCTGCTTCCCCAGTTCTCGTCGAGAGGGAGTACATAAGAGAAGGGGAGAGAGGTACCCGTATGGAGACTCCTCCTGCTCGTCCAACCCCTCTCTGTGGTGGTACATGACAGTGTGGCTCCGGGGGTGGTCGGGGCTAATTCTGGCTATACGAAGTTTGGAATATGGATATGCATAGGGTGCAGGCGAATGCCTGGGTAGCAGCGAACCATTAGGGTGAGAGGAGATTGGCGGGCTCCGTCCTGAATTGCCCTTTTGGACGATTCCCACATTAAGAACTGGCCAATACGGTGGTCCAGAGGCAGGCAGTAGCAGGGGGCGCGCGCTGAAGACCAAGGATGGGCCGGCACGGTGTGGTGCTTCTCGTTGGTCGATTTCGGGCGAGCTCCGTTTTGTCGGTCGAGGCATCCGCTGTCAGTCGGCCCCTGGCCAGTGGACGTGCTGTGTTGTATCGAGTCAGTTTTACTTTGTGTGGCCCCCCCAGAAGAATACGAGGCGTTGGAGAAGAACCGGGCTACCAGAACGGATGATCCATGCTCTCGAAGATTATCCAGAAGCAGTGATTTCCCAGTCGGGTCAAATTGAGGCTCAAGGGCAGGGCCCAATCAGCACGGCGCGGTGGATGCAATTTGACAGGACAGATGGCAGTCGAACGGGTTCGTCTCAACTAGCATAACAGTCGCTTATGCTCGGCCGGCGACGGTGTGGCACTCCGTTCATCGATGGGCTGGGGCAAGCCATGTCGGCCCGTAGGCTTGGGTTGGAAAGCTGAGTTGGGTTGATTCTGGTGTGAGTGGACTGAGCCAAGACAGAAACACATTAGGCGCATCTGTTGGATCATAATTGTGACGTCGCCTGGCTGGAGAACCAAGGCAAGAGAAGACAAGTCGATCATGGCAGCTGCAGGACGGAAGGATTTGCAGAAGGAAAGATACAATGCAAATCGGGGTTGGCGTTGGGAAGGCGGTGGCACAAGACACACACAGAGTTGGTGTGAAACGGGGGATGCACCTGGGTGATGCATCCGTTAACTGGGTAGGGGCAGCAAGGAGAGGAGCCAAAGCCGACGACGGGACAGGAACGCTGGGCGAGCAAGGTCCATGTGCGTGACCGATTGTGTGCCGTGTAGCAGCCAGCAAACAAGGCGAGGGCAAAAAAAAAAAAGGGACGGTCAAAACTGCCTAACCTAGGAGAATTCGACGATGGAGTGTCGTTGCAAAAACCCCGAACCACACAGTGGGCCTCGAATGGATATCGCTTGGGAACCCCCTCGGCCAATCCTTGGCCGCCTTTCCGGCTGCATCAGCCACAGAGTCGCGGCGCATCCAACCGTTTTTCCTGTGCTACTCCCGCAGGCCTCTTGCCTCTCACTGGGCCTGCCCATCGAGGACGTCTTTGACGCCCCTCCCCCACCTGCCACATCAGCAAGGATCACGTCCTAAGAAGTCCCACCTTACTGGGGCTAGCCGGAAAGAGACCCACTCGTAATATCCACTCAGGCACGAGGAAGTTCTCCTACAATGGGACGACGTCGGCTGGGAAGTCTGGTCGAGGCTCCAGGGGCCGGAGTTGCACCTGCACTTCCTGCGGGCTAGACCGGGGCCTCCCCTGTCCGACTCCTACCACGGTGCAGCACTTGCCATGTTCGACGATCGGCCGCATTGTAGTGTACAATACCTAGGTACTCCAGCTAGGTACTGTAGCAGGAGAACAAGGAGGAGAAGAGCGGTCGGCGCAGTCCAATTGACGAGTCAGCGCCGTGACGCAGTTAATTATGGCCACTCGACGCCGCCCTGCTGGACATCGTTGGCGGCGCTGGGCATTGAAACAGGGCAGCAAAGGAACTGTGGAAGGGGAAGTAAAGTGCTGAGGAGAGATGCGAGCAATCGAGACCACGGGGACCATGTTCGCCCAAGTCAGAAGGTCGGCTGAGCTGAGCCAAGGCCCTGCGAGCTCCTGTTTTCTTAGTATTCTAGTTTTATTTTTATGGTGGCGTTGCCTTTTTCTTATTCTCTCTTTGCATCTATCCCTTGTTTTCTTGGTTCTGCCGCCCTGTCAGTTCTGCGTGTCTCATCGTGACCGGATGCTGCTGGCGTCTGGGTCTGCCCATGCTTGTCGGCCATTTTTGGTTTTCAGGAGACGGGAGACAGGAAACAGGAGAAAGGTCCGTTCAGGAGGACCATCAAGCACAAAGCCCCTTCTTGGGAACTCGTGCGTTTGAGGATGAAGGGATTCCCTGATGCATTTATAAAGTTTGAGCATTATGCAGTAAGGTTGCCCGCCGCTCCCAGTTCCATGGAGTCTGGCGGATTGTGGGACGACTACTATGTACACGGTGCGAGTTGTGCCTCAATCGGGAGGATTATGTGATGGAGGCTTACTCACCTCGACGCCAACGGCTATTGCGTTGCCGTCAATGGCGGGCGGCGCAGCGCAGCGCCTGCCTTTTCCCCCCTATCTGCCCACCTTCCTTCACCTTAGCATTCGCACCAACCAAACCCAGACTGCTTATCATCTATCAACAACAGCAAAGTACGTACTGTGACGGATGCACACGCAGAAGGGGGAAGGAAAGGGGGTGGCAGAATTTGCTCCTGGAGGTAAACTACTATGTCGGTACTCTGAACTCTTTTCCAGACAGGCCGCCCCTGCAACAACAAGCAGGAATACAGGTACCTAGTCCAGCCCACGCATCACATTCGTGATTCGTATTTCGAACGGTTTGCATTTCGCACCCACCAGACGCTCCATCATCATCATCAACCGTCGTCGGGCTGCAAACGTGCGGCGCACACAAGCAAACACCAAGCAGCCCGCCAATTGCATCAAGCAGCCGCCCAACACTATCAAGCACACCAAGCCCGGCATCAAGCACCACGCCCAGGAGACCACCAAGAGACGCAAGAAACTTGTCCAAGAGCTCACTTCCCCCGAGCCTTTGCACAACCATGGCACCTTTGCAGCGCCAACACCGCAGTCGCCGTCGCCGTCGCCGTCCGCCGCCAGCGCCCGCCAAGTGGCGTCGCCCACCCGTCGTATCCGTCGTGCCCGTCAACCGTTGACGACGCGAGGCGCACCACTGACAGCTCGACACTGCCCTTCCCAAGTCCCCAGTGCCGCGCTGATGCCACTGCCGACTTGACGTTCCCACGGCCTGGTGCCACCACACCACATCGGGATAAGCTCAACACCCGCTCGACGAGAAAAAAAAGTTCCAAGGTCCTTCCAAGGCCGCACCGTTGGCCGCACTGGCGCTGCTCTGCTTGACAAGGGAAACGAGGCTTTTGCAGATTGGAACGCTCAACGGGTACCTTGCCAACTTCCCCGTCTATCAATACGCCGCACACCATTGCAGCTCTCCGCGAACCAAACACTACGCTCTCCACCCTTCTGATTGCCTCTCCCTACGTCCAGCTGATCTCTTTATTCTTGACGTTTATTTCTATTTCCCTTGCCCTTTCCCTAGTACTCTGTCTTTCCTCATTGGCTGGCGCTGTTCCAATCACAACAACGTCAATTTCGCTGCGCCGTTGACGGCTCTCTCCCACAATCACCACACACCCGACCAACTGCTCGCTCGCACGGCACACGACCACAACAGCCAACAACATGGCTATCACTACCGCTTACCACCCCCTCTCTTCCTTTGCCGCAATATTACGCGGCTGGGCACGTATCAATCAGCACCTTAACCAGGCTTGCGGCGTTCTCCTGCATGTCCCCCCTCCGTACACCTCGTCGTCTCTTCACTTCTCTTCTCGTCAAGTTGCACGCCGTTGCTTAGTAGGCCCTCCTCTCCCATATCCTTACAGTCCGCAGCACCTTGGCCGACTTGCTCTCCATCACTAAAATCACGTCTCCTCGAGCCGTGCTCCCCGGGACTATTCCCTTTTAGGAACAAATCACCTCCACACCCCCCAGCTTGGCCTCCGTGGCGACCATCGTATCCTTCCCCCCTCGTAGTCCCTCATGTTCTCTGCTTGGGTTCAATTTCCTATCAACCGCCTGTTGGCCATTATTATTAACCATGCCCGCCCCCGTGTGGGCCTCGTTGCCCATCTGATCCGAGGCATTGACACTTGCGGCCAAGTAAGGCCAAGTTCGCCAGGAACCGTCATCTCCCTCAACGTCTTTCCGGGTCTCTTTCAAGCCCATCCGCCCCTCGGTGCGTTGTTCCGGTGGCCCTCGTGTCTAGGTTTGGCCCCTTCTCCGCGCCAATACTGTTCTGTCTCGCGTACCTTGCATTGGCTCCCCGTACCTAGTGCTGGGTTCGTTTGTGTCCCATCACCCACCGTGTACACTGGTAATCAAAATCAATGGCTGCAGAAAAGAGTTCCATAGTCCACCACCACACACCTTCCCTCGCCCTCTTTCCCTCGGTCTCTGTGTTTTCCTCTGCTGATCTCCCCTCGTGTCAACGGCGTCAGTGTCATCTTTACGCGCTTGGCCCCTCTTCTTTCGCTGTCAACCGACTCCACGTCGCTCTCTAGTCACTCGTTTAATCTACCGGGTTTTCCCACCCCTTTTCCCAGTCCAGTCCATTTCGGCACCCGAGGACCAGTCATTCGTTCTAATTCACTGAAGGGTCCCCCCATCCATTCGTTCATCCCCCATCCCAGAGGACTTTGACGGTCCATCCTACATACCAAAAGTCTATATCGTGTTGTGTGCGCGCCGCAACCTCCCCCGACCCTATTCATTCCTTTCACCACGCTCACTCCTAAGCGCAAAGCCAATCGTTCATCCATCGCCCATAAGCGGCGCAGTCCCTCGTTTAACTCGACTCACAGTCAACTTCATCAGCCATGCGTACCTCAACAGTTGCGTGGGCTGCCGTTTCGGCCCTTTCTGCCTTGGTCTCGGCCGCCGACCTCGAGGCATGGAAGTCGCGGGCCATCTACCAGGTCATGATTGATCGTTACGCCCACGATGATGGCTCTACCGACCACGAATGCGAGCTTTACAAGTTCTGTGGCGGCACCTGGAAGGGCTTGATGAACAACCTCGACTACATCCAAGGTCAGCAACCGGGAATCAGATCATCGCCAGGCTCTTGCTGGAATCTCCCGACTAACAATGACATGCAGATATGGGTTTCACTGCCATCCAGGTCAGCCCTATCGTCCAGAACATGGACGACGACACCGCCGTCGGTGAGGCCTACCACGGCTACTGGTCCCTCGACAACTACGCCACCAACGACAAGTTTGGCACCAAGGCCGACTTCGAGGCCCTCATCACCGAGATGCACAAGCGTGACATGTACATCATGGTCGACGTTGTCGTCAACAACATGGTTCAGAAGCTCGACAGCCTCCCGCCCAAGCTCGACTACTCCAAGTTCAACCCCTTCAACGACGAGAAGTATTTTCATTCCTACTGCAACGTGACCGAGTGGGACAACAGCACCGACTACCAGGACTGCTGGCTCTACCCCTACGGCGTTGCCCTCGCCGACTTGGCCACCGAGACCCAGCCCGTCTACAGCGAATTCAACAAGTGGATCAAGGAGCTCGTCTCCAACTACTCCATTGATGGCCTTCGTATCGACGCCGCCAAGCACGTCAACGACGCCTTCCTGCCCACCTTCGTCAACGCCTCTGGAGTCTTCGCTTTCGGCGAGGTTCTGACGGGAGCTCCCGCGGACATGTGCCGCTACCAGACCCTGAACCTGTTGCCTGGTATGCCCAACTACATTGAGTACTACCCTCTGAACTCAGTCTTCTTCGGCGGCGACATGAACCAGCTCGCCGACTGGCGTAACCAGGCCCGTGACGCCTGCACCGACATCTTTGCCCTCGGATCCTTCGTCGAGAACCACGACATGCCTCGTTTCGCCGTCCACGACGAAGACATGGCCCTCGCCAAGAATGCCATGGCTTACATCCTCTTGACTGACGGTATCCCCACTGGTAGGACCCCCTCTTCCAACCCCCAGCCCAGTGACATTTCATGTGCTAACATGCATGTCTCATAGTCTACCAGGGCCAGGAGCAGCACTTTAACGGAAACTCTACCCCCTTCAACCGCGAGCCCCTCTGGCAGTCCAAGTACAACACCTCGGCGCCCCTCTACACTTTGACCTCGACCCTCCTCAAGACCCGCAACCAGCTGCAGAGCATGAATAAGAACTTCGCTACCACGGCTTCTGAGCAGCTCTTCGTTGAGGACACCCACCTGTGCCTGCGTAAGGGCCCCGATGGCGCCCAGGTCGTCTTCTGCATCACCAACAAGAGCTCCAAGGGCGACAGTTACCAGCTCAGCGTCGGCGGCTTCAACCCTGGCGACGAGGTTGTCGAGGTGCTTTCCTGCGCGACCAGCACCGCCGACGGCACTGGCAATGTTACCTTGTACATGTCCAAGGGTGAGCCCAAGGCCGTTGTCCCCGTGTCCGTACTTAACGGCACCCAGCTCTGCGCCAACGGCACCAAGACGGCCGGCAAGGACAGCAACAGCGCCGCGGGCGCCGTCGGCAGCAGCCTGACCCTGGTCCTGGCCTCCGTCATGGCCATTTCTTTTGCTCTCCTTGCATAAGCAACACATGGCGTAATGTGCGAAGAAAGAAAGAAAGAAAGAACGAGAAAAGGCGCGAGCTCGGGTTAGAGTGTACTGCGAGCCAAGACATGTCTGCTATTTTCCATTCAATGTCAAGTGTTTGTTTTGTTCGCGCGCGAAGTTTGGATCATCCAACGGCGGCTATGACGCAGGCTATCACATCTCTTAACCAGTCTTTGTGTAATTATCCTCCCGCGGCTTCAGGGTGTCCCCCAGGCTTCCGCCCGAAGCTTTCACATGGTCTGGTGAGTAATGTATTCTCTCGTACATTTGTATTGTTTAATGTCCCCTCCGCGACGAAGCCATTATGAACCTTGGTCGGCAATACGACTCGAAGGCGGCAGCTTTTTCTAGCAGGGTGCCGAGGGATTTGTTTGTAGTGATACCAGACTTTCAAAAATCAAGAATAAGTCGTAATATCAACCCGACCATGTAACGGTGGTTCATGCAGCCTGTGGTGAAAAACGAGAATCAGGTGGTTTATCCCATCGGACCTCGATACCGCCCGCGGACTCGCGATGATTGCACGTCTGTTCCGAATCGAGACACAAAAACGCACTAGGCGAGGCCGTCCGTCCACTTGGCCAAGGATAAGGAAACGTTTAAAACGGAGCCCCAAGCGCAGCCGAAAAAGCATGCCGGCCAAGTCTACCAGTCAACTTGGCATAGGACCAAGAAAACAGCTTTTGAACCGCCATGCACGTTTGTCACGCATGATTCGCCCACACAACCCCGTCGCCGTTATTATTTGAAAAAAAAAATTCCTTGGTTATTGGGCATTGTTTTTCTTCCTCGGCCTGGACCAGCCAGTCGGCGTCCCCCGTGGAAAACATTGGGGGGCCGCTGGGTCGCCCGTTGTAAATTTCGCACCGCCACCACGCGATGGACAATAAGCATCTGGGAAAAGGATAACCGTATCGCCGAGTGTAAAACGTGTAGACCCTTTGCTCAGTCTCTGCGCCCGTCTCTTTTTGCCGAGAGTTCTCTAAAAGTACCTGAGAAGAGTCCAGGGAAAACGAGGACCCCTTTTGTTCCCACGGCGCCCGGGGATGGAAAAGGGGTTTGAATGAAGGCGGTGGGTTTTGTTGGACGGTACTCTGTAACCTGTCCAGAGTACCTACGCCGGTTGAATCCGTTCGTGTCGGACAGGTCGGCTCCCTTCTTGTGGGACGTTTGGCGAGACTCCTTGTGGGGCTTCTGGATAGACGGTGCGCCACCTGACCGGGAGGAGCGGCGCGACTGTACCTTGCATTGAAAAAAACGGACCGCACCCCGGTCCTATACAAAGTAGACCCAATTGCTTAAGATGGCAGAGTTGCATTCGTACCGGTTGCTACCTGGCTTTTCTAGAGGGGGGCCACTGGGGAGTTGCATCCAGCCCACCCGCCGTATTTGAGCGGGCACGGGGTGCCCGTCTGCCCATTCGACACGGTGCGGACGAGGGTGAGATACGAAGAGATCGGCGTTCCGTTTTGGGGCCCCCTTGAGGGCCTACCTGTACCTACTCTGTAGGGCTCTCAGAGGAGGAGGGAAACGGTCGGATGGCTCGCACGGAGAAGAAGAAATGGGATGCAGAGAGGGATGGACCTTTTTGATGGCCATTCTTGGTGGCTGGCTCCAGAGGACACTGAGATTGGGCCGATGTCAAAGGTTTGGCAGCAATGACTGAAGACTGACACGACTGTGTACACGCACGTGCACGTACACATGCATATACACATAGACACACACACTCTCTCTCTCTCGCTCTGCATCAAAGACAGTCGCGTAGATCATGGGGATGCTCATCGCATAGTGGCCGTAACGAACGTGACCTGAAGACGCATACGTGTGGGTGGGTTCGCACGGAAGACGCGCGCCGGCTGCTGTCACGGCTCAAGCGGGCGGGTTGAGCAGAGCAGGCGATAACCTCCCACGCCGAGAGATAAGACATGCAGCGGGCTTCGCACATCTCTTTGCACCACGCATCGCCTGCGCGTATGCGCATGCAACACTGTTTCGACTGACGCGTTGTTGACGGGCGATCACTGACCAGAGACAGCAGGTAGGCAAGGGAGGCCCGCAGCTGATGCGGACGTTCTGTACTATAGTATGTCTGAGACGCCATGCTTCCTGCTGTACGCATGTCTCTCTCGTCGCTCCAGAAGCGCCGGCAGATTGTTCGTCGGTGCCGACATTGAGAGCGGCGCATCCATGTCTGGAATAGGCTTGGTGAGGGTGGTTGGTGGTGCCCATGTCTTTGATATTGATATCAGATAGCGCGCATAGGGGGGGAGAGGGGGCCAGTGCTGCCTTTCCCTTGCATGCTGGCGATCGACGGTAAGCTGGAGCCATCCAGCAGGGACAGGACGGCAGACGGTGCACCGTCGTGCCCGCGCGCACGAGAAGGATGGATGGGCTGTCGATGAGAAGGATCTCGATGGGGGCGTGGGTGGGATTGGCGCGAGGTTAAGTTTGGCGGGCACCGCCGCCCTTCCAAGATTTTTCTCTCGTTCCCTTCTGGAAGAAAAAAGCCTGGCGGGATTCACAAATGGGACTCAATTCTGGCCGTCAACAACTCTGCAGATGGTGAGGGGAAACCGATGAGGCACCGCATTGTTGATCCTGCAACCCTCGTGATAAGGCCGCGACGCCTCGACGGCAAGGCGTCTTTGCTGGCCGGCTACGACTTTGCAATGTCACCCCCAAGTGGGATACCGCCGATCCTCGCTCGGGGCCCGGGGGCATGTCCGGCTCCGCCTTTTCTCGTTTTCTCCCCCCAGTCTCTCTTGCAACGTAACCGCGGTGGACCGCCAAGTTGAATCCTTGGAAAAGGGTCGAACGCGCTGGGATGCCAGTGTCCATCTTACTGTCTCTGAATGAGCCGATGGAGAACATCTCGCATAGGATGATATTTGTCTGCTCAAAGCGGGCAGTTTATTTCTGCGAGAGCGCACGTGCGATGCCGATCCCGTCCCGCTTCGAGTCGGACATTTTGTTGTGCCATGTTGTCACCTTGGTTGTTTCTCGCTTCGACACTTCTAGAGTTTCTTCCAAATCTCTTCCGGGTGGGGTTTTTGATTGTTTATTGACATGGTCGTCTATTTCCTTTTTCCTTAGCTTCTCGAGTACCGGTAGCTGATCCCGTCTCACGGCCGGTACTTTGTCGGGACCAGCGAGGAATGGTCCCGACAAACCTTGCTGGGCCACGAGCGATCGGCAGAGTGGCGTTCAGTTCCTCAAGACACTTGGTGGATCTTTGTCTCATGCTTGCTTGTTCGATGCTCTTTTGTTGAAACTTGGTACTCGGGTAGGGCACGGCGGGAAGCCAGGGAGGACTGACGAGCGCGGCATACGGTTCTGATGGTTTTTGGTTGGACTGGCTCGCGGACGATTTCCTCGTGTTTGTCGGGCCTCGATGCTTCTGATGTTCACGGGGATTATGGGAAGTCCATCGTGACTGGGATGGGATCCGCAGGTGGTTTGCCTCGCGGCTGCGGCTGCAACTTTACTTGCTGTTTAAACTCCCTTGAGTTTCTGTCGCTTATACCGTTTAGCTTGACGGCATAATATGAGGCTCAGGTCGTCCTTGGCAGAGATGAAGAGCAAGAAGCCTCGGCGTGCGCTGCCTCCCAAAACGACTGAGCCCAACTCGATGCTACGTAATTCAGGAACATGCTGGTGTCGGTGACTCTTGTGAACAGGTTGAAACTTGATGATCGATGATGTTCATCGCCGAGTCTTGTTTGTTATATATCAAAAATCTGAGTTTGCACATCGTTATTTAGAAAACGGAAGCATGAACACCGGGGCGTAACGCGGAATTTCTCGTCTTCCTGGCCCAGCAAACGCCCCATGTGGAAGCAAGAGCACCAAAAGGGAGATGGGCAATTGCGAGAGGACCGATCGATCGTTTGCAACTTGGTCAAAAGTGCAAAAGGTTATGTTCCGAAACCGAGAATCGAACTCGGGGCTATGCCTAACCTCTCGTAGAGATGAGAGGGCATCATGTTGGCCACTACACCATATCGGATTTCTGTGACTAAGCCTTTCAAATTCTACAATAAGTATCTCTCTTTGCTCTACATTGAGTGAACCCGAGATTTAATGACACTCCTCGAGCCTGCCAGGCTTTTGAAAGGCAGCCAATCTCTTTTTATCTTCTATTCCCAAGTCCCTGTATACCTTTGTGAGTTCCGCTGACTTGGGCAAGCCCGTCGGCACGGTGAAGTGACAGGCACCGCAGTGAAACCCGTTACGAACTGTGACCGGACCTGGCTTCCACGGCCATCGTCTTTTTACGGCCCGGGCGTCACCTTTTTACGCAGGATGCAGCCCTATGGAAGCCACGCGCCACGCCAATGCCTGGCGTAAGATTCCAATTGGGCGGCTTCTGCCAAGGCATCAGCTTTGGAATGTTGGACGACGGATTCGTTGGATGTAGATGCTCTCGTGCGGCTTGGGTTGTCCGAAAGGACACACCAAGCCAAGAGAGCAAAGCAATTAAAGAAGAATATCGACACTTCGTAAAAAATACTCCTTGTGTGGGAATCCTTAAAAAGTCAACAATCTCCGACATCAGATATTTTCTGAAGTGATCACTCTTACTCTTAATTGTTGCTGCTCGTTTTACGCTTGTAATACGTACTTCATGGAATGCTAGCACATTCCATCCCCGCATCGCAGATAAACCAATCCCGCAATGACACCTCCGGCACCGAGAATAGTGGGCATATGCGGCGCCGCCATCGCCGGCCCGACATTGGCACTACACCTCCTGACCCATCCGGTTCTCCGCACTCTCTTCCGTCCGATCCTCTTCGACCAGACGCCAGCCCCGGTCCCAGTCCAGGTCACTAGCGATGGAAGCTCCTCTCCATCCTCACCCTCAACCAACCATCACCAGCGCGCTGGCGCCTCGGTTGCCCTCCTCCCAAACGGCCTACACCCCCTCCTGAGTCTCGGCCTCGGTGACGCTATCCGTAAGCACGGCTATGAATGTGACGACCTGACCCTCTGGTCCGGTCCCTCGTCTCTGGACTGCGACGTGGACGCCCCCCTCACGCATCTCAAGACAATGGTCAATGGATTCTGGTCTCACGACATGCAAATGGGCGCCATGTACTTTGAGCGTGCGGGGCTGCAATCCCTCCTTGTCAACCGTGTACGTGAGCTCGGAGGCGAGTTGAGGTGGTCCAAAAAAGCCGTCCGTTTCGAGCATATTGCTCCTACCAGCAAAAGCATGGAAGAAGAAGATGGCCATAGCAACAGTCAAACCCGTGTGAGCTTCGCCGATGGCACACACCTTGATGTCGACCTTCTCGTTGGTGCAGACGGCGGGTACTCCCCAGTTCGCCGCCATATCCTCAACCTCCGTGACCCGGAGACAGCGGAACAGCGCTGGCTTCCGGATCATATGGGCATGACGGGCATCTACGGTATATCCTCTGCCGACAAGATGCCCGCCTCACACGTCCCTGAGCGCCAGTTCTCCGAATCCCATTCTGTGTGGTTGCCGCAGGGGTTCCTAGCCACGGGACCATGTCCCGGGAGGATGTTGCGCTGGGACTTGATTCTCCCGGAACAAACGCCGCCAGAATCTCGGACAGACCCGGCAGAAGACTCCAGAGCTGTTGCGAACGATACAGATTTCTCAACTGTAGATGGAGAGGGGACCGAGGAATCGTGGCACGCCGCCATTGTGCCTAGCCAGTACCCCAAATCCGCCACCATCGCCATACTCCGCGCCCACCTGCGCCTCCGCCACCCCTTCGCCGGCGACTTCAAGACAATTCTAAAGTCAGCAGACCGTATAATCCACACGCCACTGCGCCAACGGGTCTGGAAAGAAAACGAAATCCATTGGAGCACCCCCAGCGGCGGCGGCAACATCGTCCTCCTTGGCGACGCCGCGCGGCTGATGCTCCCCACCAGCGGTCAGGGAACGGGGTTCGCGATCGAGGATGCCACTGTTCTTGCGAGCATGCTTTTGAAGCACTGTGGCCCCTCTAGTCAGAGAAACGAGAAAGCGTCAGCTGCAGGCAGCGATTTCCGGGCGGCTGCCGAGGGGTACGCTAGGCTTCGGGTGCCCAGGTCGGGGAAGATGGCTACCGTGGCGTCGTGGGTCGGGTCCGTTGGCCTAGGTTCGGCGTGGTATTATAGGGCTTTACGGCATTATGCCGCAAAGATGTCGCCTGGGGCCGACTTGAAGTAGGTTTTAACGATGTCCTTCACTCTCTTCCCTATTCGTACTTCGAGTCTTGCGTGTTGAGACGTGGGTTTTTGACGCTGACTTGTTCGGATTACCAGGGCTAAGAAGACCAAGGACCCGTGGCCTATGGATGGACGTTTCAAAGTAGACGGTGTGAATTGAATTGTCTCTATTCTTAGGAGTCCTCAACATTTCAGATCATCGAGCCTTGGCCCGAATAGATGAGAGTGGTTTGGGAGGGGGGGGGACACTCTACAACAGCTTTCCATGGAAAACATGTGGGCGACCAGTACTCATTGTGGCAAGACTTTCATTTGAGGACGTAGCTGTAAATCCAGAAACGTAAGAAGACCGGAAAAGAGACTCAAGAGAAGAAAGGAAAACAAAAGGTAATGGCGGGGCAAAGCAACGCTGAAAGCTAGAAACTTGTCAACTCGTAGATCCATATCTCTGTCCATCTTTGTTCAGTAATAAGTGCATCACCTTTAAGTGTATCTCTCTGATTGCCACCACCAACATGTCTTCCCCATGCTCCTCGGCCTTTCAATACAGAACCGAGGACATTGAGACCGCCTGAACAAGGGTCAGTGGACAGTTCAATGCGCCAAGCGTGGGATACAGCACGTACCGGGGCTTGTGCCCACAGCAAGCCAAAGATGTTTCTGCACCGGGAAGTCGGGCATGTAAGACGGCAGCTTTTGTTCGGCGAGCCGCAGTATCTACAACGCAAAGATCCCATGGGCGCCTCCGCATGCACATTCAAGATGTTGATCTCTTGGGATGGGGCGAGCTGCGATGGCTATTCATGCTTGTAAAAAGACGGATAACTTCACAAAACTGTTCATTTTGCTGACTCGAAAACAGCTGCATCTTGTGCCCCGGATTCTCCAATATAGTGGCTGAACACCTCTAAAGCTAAAGAATCATGAATACTTCCAACCCACATGATGTGACCCAGACTCTTCCTCATTTCAACCCATGTCGTCCCTAGGTGATCTTGGATCAGAGGGTAGAGTATTTTCAAAAGCCAATCCTGATCACGCCCGTGGAACAAAGAGATTGCGCCTACCGTCAACGCCCAGACGAAATGATGTTTTTCTCTAGCTGTCGTAGGCGAGAAGGCGAAACAAGCCTGCCGAAACTGGATGGCCAGATGCGGGTAGTCGAACCTAAGACCTGGGAAACACCAGAATACGGTTGTCAAATAAGCAATAAGTGACAACCGGAGAAGCTCGGCAATACTACTGCCCAGGTCATGGAACTTCAGCCTGAGTAGCCGGGACTGAACAGATGTCAATAGCTCTTCGAGAACCATCTCCTGTGTCTTGTGCCCAGAGTCAAAGCTGTTGTTAAGCAGGTGTGAGAGGCCCTGTACATCTTTGAATACGCTGTAGAGTCTTCTGTCTAATGCGCGTACAAGAGTTCGCGAGTGAGAGAAGTGTGATGCGTCAAGCGGCTTCAGCCGAATGAGCTCAGGTGAATGATCGAAAGCTGACGCATAAGATGTAGTTTCTTCGCAAAATACTGGTTCAGCCCCGGTACAAATACTGTACACCAAGCCAGCACTATAAGCATAGTCATCAGCGATTCTGGCGCGACAGAAGACAGAAACATGACTGACCGGTAAAGCTTGGCTTGTAGGAGAGGCTTGCTCACGTAAGACTCCATGCCACCGCGCAACTCAACGATTCGTTTAAGGCCCATCACGTGCATATGAGCAGCATCCACGTCCCCAAAACACTCTGCAATCAGGGCCATAGCCATGACAACAGTGGTTGTCGAGTCAGTCAGCGCAGTTTTCGTGTCAGCTAATTGCTTGTTAAGCTCGCTTATGGTCCGATACGAGTGATATTTTGTTCTTTCACTTGGATGTCCTGTCAGACTATCAGAGAAGAATGACATTGTAAACAGAATGGAGTGTAGATATGCCAGATCGAGTTGGGTCCAGTCGAACCAATACGTGCTGGCAGAATCGGAACGAGAATATCTTGCAATCGGGTACATAGTATCTTTCAGATATGTGAAGTCTGCAACGAAGAACGTGTCAAAAGAAGTATCCCACTTTTAGGCAGAGAGACTTACATGTGCATAGCATGCTGCGGGCTTTGCTGTCGATTTCTTCAGGGAACGTGACAAAAGTGAAAGCATTGACGGCAAGAGAGGTCGAGCCGGGGTGGCCGTACAACGGAATGGCATCACTGTAGAGAATCCGGGATCCTGCATGAGCTGTGTGGGACTCTTTGGACAAATCAATGCCCCCTATACAGTGCTCTGAGACTTGTCTCGCAAGAGTGGCAGTAGAGACACGACCCTTGAGCCTACTAGGGGTGTTTCGTTTGCGGGTGTTCTTCCCCCTCATGACATGACTTCGTATAAGCTTGCGATCCTCGGCAGCCGGCTGGCCATGCGAATCTGCTGTCACGAAAGCGAACCCCTTGCCCTCTTTTGACCACGTCAGCACCGTCTTGTTGCAACACGCGCCTTCATAGACATGGCGTTACCTGTAGATGGGGCCAACCTTGAGGCAGACATGTGGTTCCCAAGCCTGCTTGCTCGCCGGAAGCTAACCAAGATTGTCCTGGTACCACTTACATGAACAATTCGGCACCTGATGGTAGCTTCCCCAAAGCGTATGCCTGTCCAAAGGGCGTGTGGTCTTAGAGCTTTTCGATGTAAAAGCTGGCGGATGAGATGTAGCGAGGTGTTTGATCTATGGGTTCACCCAATTAGGAAAACAATTAGAGAACACTGGTGTAGATAGAAAGCCGGAGTCAGTGATAAAGATCTCCCGGACTTAAGGCGCGCGGGGTGGGGGCCGGATTACAAAATTAATTCTAAAACAAAGCTCTCTCAGTTTGATCGGGTGCCAAGACCTAATTGTTTTCTGCTTTTGCTCTAGCGTAAACCTTGGCCTTTGTTCGGATCACTAGCAGCAAGTTACATGTTAGCAGCCCTGCTAAACACTTCAGCCGTACACCCAGATCTTTTTTTGAGTTCTACCTCTAGTGATCGGGTTTACAAAGTCCTATCCTGTTGCTACGAGCGTGCCGTGGCTGACTCTGTGGAAATCTCAAGCTGGCCTACTGGATAACGTTTTCTGCTAGCTGTTGCAGCACGCCTGTTCCAGTCTGAATACAATACTAGGCTTGCAAGCTACGATCAAGGTACCGACGCAGAGATTAAAACTAATCAAGAGTAATCTGGGGCCCGCTCCATAGTGGCTTCAGGGGTGTACATAGTCAATTATGGGAGGGAACTTAGGCATCTAGACTGGATCACGGAGCTGTTGCTCGATACGTTACACACGAAGCAATCTTTGTTAAGCGCATACTGTACATGGGGTGATGACGTTATATAAGATTTTAAGTCTCTTGCAGCACAAAATTTGGACCTGTTCTCCTGTGGTCTTGGTGATCTATTGGCTTGAGGGCTATCATAGGTGGCCACCCACTAATCAAGCATCCAACGTCTTTTGTGCTTGGCTGTTTAACACACTCTCATTCGCCAGCAGCCCTCAAATCAATTTGGTTTCCTTGTATTGATCGGGCGTTGCTTGGATCGTTGATGACCTACTTGATGCATGGATCGTTCGTTGCGTTGATTGAAAAGCCATGGTAGATGAGAAGACTACCGCCATAGGGAGCAAGATTTGCTCTGCCGGTAGTCAAGTTTTTTTCCACAGTGAAAAGAGTTTGGAAGCTTAGATTTGCAGCGTCAGTGCTGTCCCATATTCTAAGTCACACATGCCGGGAATTTGATATGCCTTACTAGGTTGTGGAACAGCTTGCATTAGCGGGAAGAGTTACCTCCAAGACACCGGCGACAACAAATGACTTATTCGTCGGCGTTTCTGAGGCGACAATTGTATTGTTTGGGAAATGCTGTTCGAACGAATTTAGCTGGCGAGCTTGGGGATGTTACTGAGCAGCAAGGGTTACTACATACGTTCCATTGCACTGAACCGTCGACGGGCAGAATAGCTCCGCGAGCTTCCAAGATCTGGTCGCCCGTTGCGCTAACGTCACGGAGAATCAAGGCGCCACCTGGTGCGAAGAATTGGGTGACACTGTCTGTCGTTGTCGGGTCCTCAAAAACACCGAGGATTCTGCGTAGGGTCTTGTGTGAGCTTTGCTAAGTCATAAGTCTTGAAAGTCGACGTACTTCCTGTACCAGAGGTCGAACCCATGGTCAACGCCACATGCCGGCGCGTAATCTGTCATGTTGATGGCTTGAGCTGCTCCTAGCAACAAGCAAAAGAAGGTAGTAATAGAAAGCATCATTTTCTGACAGCTGTCAGTGAACACAATAAGATAATGGTTTCGGAAGATTCAAAATGACCTGGAAGTGATTGCCATCTATATAAGGCCTTCTTGAAATAACCAGTTTGACCCTGCCTTCCAAATGAACCGGTAAAAGCATGAATGGCCTGTTACACTTGGCAAATCATTTGATTACAACATCGGCCACGGTCAATTCCTTGTTGGCCATCGACTTCGAAAGTAATGGTACGCATTTACGGCATTGGCTCAACTAGTTTAGGTCAGGTGAGCTCAGAAGGATGAGGGAAAGATGGCCGGTATTGACGTTAAAACTCTTGGCAACGAGGTCTACGGTATTTGATGATTCGTATTGAGGGGCATTGCCTGGGCTCAGGCGGCAATATACTCGTGGCCAAGCCCAAGCTAGATGAGAGCCTTCATGGTGCAACCGCAGTAGAAAGTGGCCCTAACCACATGGAAAGTTCAGAGGGTCGGCTTAGAGACTGGAAATTCGTCCTAACTCCTATTTCCGCGTTGAAAGGTTATCATCGATATTGCTAGCGAAGTCCGAAAGTTTTAGGATGATGTCTTTTCCATGAATTTCATACCGCTGTGACTTCTACGCAGCTCAGCGGTGGCTTGGATCAGATTTGAGCGTGTATTTGTGGGGTTCAATGGGCTGTGATCTGCCTCTCCTCGTATCTTGCCGCTTTGGGTAAACAATCTGATGGCTTACAAAGCAGCTCCATGACCGATACATTCAGAATAGATAGGGTTGCCTCAGATACTTTTCTTGGACCCTGTCGCGATTGTTGTGCTCACCCATACCCTTGAGGAGCCCTGTCGCACAGACGCAGAGCTTGGCTTGACGTACGATTAGTAGCTGGTAGCTAGTGGGCTTGCTTGATTGTTTGCCTAATACGGAAGTCTGGCAGAAACACAGCCGAACTTTATTGACACTTGTGGAAATCATTGGTGCCTACTGCGAGGTTGACCAGGCAGAGAGGGCTTTGCCAACCTCTTGGTCCGCATGAACTCGTACAAGCCAGAAGACTGCATTTCAAAGCATCCAAACCCCTCGTCTTGTTCTTGGCTTGGCCATTACCAAACAAAGACTAGTTGCAACGAAGGTTGCAAGGCAACTGATCTCCGAAAACTGTTTCCCTGCTTCGCGATGCATGCAAGCCTTATAAGTGCCTTGCTGTTTACTTTATTGATTGAACCATGATGTTCCAATGCAATATACCCATTCTGCAAAGTAAAGTGCGAGAGTGTGAAGCGCTATTTGTTATGTGTCCCAAAAACGCATCAAGAGGGCCAACGAGTGCATGTTCAGCCTTGAAAGCCAGTAGTAGAGCGACAGCCTCAGAATGATATAAACAATTGAGGTTTGAAAAACCTGAATATCATATGAGATGATGTCTAATCATGCGAATTTTAATGGACGTTTCATCACCGTAGGTGTCTGCTCCAAAGGAAGAGGGAGCATGCAAAGATACATGTTAGATAGATAAATTGTCATTAGACATAGTCTGTTCTGCTTGGAGTACATGGGGGGGGCTGCTGCAGTTCCTGAGAAGCGATACCAAAGGCACAGCCAGGTCTGCAGAAGTTACGTTCACCGTCATCATGTTACCCATAGTTGTCGATTAGAACGTCATGTTCGAAGACTTGTCGGCCCACTTGTCCAACAAATCCAACGTGGCTTGGCACTTGTTTCGGATCGCCTCAAGAGCGTCGTCGCCCAAAGCCAAACTAACGGGGAATTCTGTTGTAGCGGCGTCAGACTTGACCAAGTCGACGATACGCGCCACACCTTTGGCAGGATCGCCAGGCTGTTTCTGATGGATCCCTTTGACTTGTGGGTACAAGTTGTCCACAAGGGGCCTGTAGTCGTCAATTTTGGTGTCAACAAAGACTGCCTTCTTCTCATTGAGAAATTCGGTCCGGAAGTAGCCGGGCTCGACTAAAAGCGTTTTGATCCCGAAAGGCTTTGATTCCAGATTCAGACTTTCGACGGCGGCTAGCACATATTAGTCACTGTTTCGTTCAGTCCAGATTGGGTGTGTCACAAACCTCGGAGAGCTGCCTTTGAACTGCAATACGCTGCCAATGCTGGCATACCTCCCCACGCGGCAATGGACCCCATGAACACAAAATTTCCACTTCTCTTTGACCGGAAATGCGGCAGGAAAGCTCGTGCTACTCCCAAAGGTCCAAAGACATGAGTTTGAAACACGTTGTTCCAGTGTTCAAGGCTAAAATCCAATTAGGAACCTCCAAACTCACGAGATGGAGCGTGGTCACAATTACCTATCGTCCTCAACAGTGCTGAAGTGTGGGTATCCAGCGTTGTTTACAACAACATCAACCCCGCCATGGAGACCAATAGCTGTCTCAGCCAGTTTGTCAAAGTCGGACTGGCTTGAGCCCAGGTCTAGCTTGAGAACAGATGCTCCTGCTTTTTGATAATGCTCGATGCTGGCGGTGTTGCGTGCCGTGGCAATGACCTTATCTCCCGCCGCGAGAAGCGCCTTTACAAATTCGGCACCGAATCCGGTGGAACTTCCTGTGATCAGCCAGACAAGAGGAGCCATGTTGTACGATACGTGGGTGTAAAAGCGTGTGTGTGTAGGGACTGAAGGAGTAGCGAGTATATGTGGTTGGATAATTTCTGAGGATGCTGAATGATTAAGTGAAGCTTTATATCTCAATACCCTACATAGATTAGTGAGCCATACGCTTTGGCGCCAAAGTATCAACCTGGGATTTGCATCATGCAGCCGGGTGACCAAATCTGCGTTGTGGAGTGACGGACTTAACATTCTCGGGGTTGACGCTATGATCGCCACTCCGAGGGGGGTGCCGATACTGGCATCGTTGTGTGTTCACCTAAACTTGTAGAGGGTCGCCTTGCAGAATCATCGGGGGCCCCTGGCATCTCCCATGACCCTAGTTTGAAGTTTCTGGCATCCGTTGATTACCAGAAAAGGTAATTCACATATGGAGATAGCTTAAGGCCGAGAACGGTCTGTCAGAGCCCACTCTGAGTTTGAAGTCTGCGCCAGGGAGGTCATCGGCCGGGAGAGTTGGACTGTCTAATGCGCCTTGACTGCGAATATAAAAACCCCAAGCCTTTTCTTTCTCAAATCGGCATCTCACCAACTGAAACGCAACAACGCAATCTTGTCTATCCGCGCCCCAACACACTAAGAGCACACACGCAATAAACAGCATCAAACCACAATGTCTAGATACGCCTCCTCCCACGTCAGCCCCAAGGGGCCTGGAGATGCCCGTCCTACAGCCCTCCAAGTCGTCAACGATGAAGGTCTTATCTGCAAACTCTCTGGAAAAGTCGTTCTTGTGACGGGCGCGAACTCAGGCATCGGTGTCGAGACAGCACGCGCCATCCACGCCACAGGTGCCACCCTCTTTCTTACAGCCAGAGATCTAGCCAAGGCCCGGCAAGCTGTGGATAGCGTCAAGAATGGGCCTGGACCTAAGTCTGATGCGCCAATCCATGCTATCGAGCTTCGTTTAGACTCTCTGGCCTCAGTACGCTCAGCTGCCAAGGCATTCCTCTCCAAAAGCGATAAATTAAACCTACTCATCCTCAACGCCGGCGTTATGGCCACACCAGAGGGCAAGACAGAAGACGGTTTCGAGACTCAATTTGGGACCAACCATCTAGGTCATTTCTTTCTCTTCCAGTTGTTAAAGCCTGCGCTCCTGGCGGCCTCTACACCCGAATTTCAGTCTCGGGTTATTTCTGTATCGTCTATGGCCCATCGCTTTGGTAAAGTCCGTTTTGACGACTTTAACTTTACCAAGGATCCATACGAGCCCTGGAGTGCGTACGGGCAGTCTAAGACGGCAAACATTTACTTTGCGAACGAGGTCGAGAGACGTTACGGGTCTAAGGGTTTACACGCTCTCTCTTTACACCCAGGTATTATTGCCACCAACCTTTCTCAATATCTTCCAAAGGAGCATTTGGAGTCGATTGCAAAAGACGAAGCGTTGCAAAAGAACATGAAGAGCATCCCTCAGGGGGCAGCCACGACCATTTACGCTGCGATTAGTAAGGAATGGGAGGGCAGAGGCGGCAAGTATCTCAGCGATCTTGTCGAGCAAGGTCCAGCCGATATGGGGTCGCAAAGCGAGCCTGGGTACGCTCCGTGGGCTTACGACGAGGTATCAGCCAAGCAGCTTTGGGAGGAGTCGAACAAGCTAGTGGGCTTCAACGATGACTGATGGCACCACGGCTAATGCGGCAAGATGTTGGGTTGTAAACGGACGAGTAAGATTTTAGTGCAAAGGTAGTCATAGTTGTGCAGGCAAACTTCGGTTTCTCCTGTACACGAATTCCCAAATCATGGCTGAGATTTCCACAAAGTAATATCTGGTTAGTGAGATAGGCCGGCTACCGCGCAAATTTCTTCCTTGCGAAGATGGAGTTGAGCTTTCCAGAATCCTCTTAACGGCTAGCTAATAGAGGCCAGTATGAAGTTCCTAGATAGCTGCCATAATTTCACGGCAATCAGATTGCTTGAACCAAGGAGATCAGAGTGATTGGCCAAGTGCTATACTTTTTGTCACTGAAACGCCAAACCCCCTTTTTGACCCCATGGTGGACATATCCTTATTATGGGTTGTATCCCACACAATAGATTCCAAATAATCGTTCATATCTGCTTCGTTTGTGTTAAGTGGACTACTCAAAAACATGCTTCCACCAAGGGCCAAGGCGATTGATGCCAATTTCGACCCTGCCAGATGCTACGCCCACTAAGAACATCTTTCGTCAAACGGAAGCACCTGAATCTACCATGATGGGAGGCCACGCTCTTTAGCATAAGACGCTGGCAACGCAGAGCAGTGGAGCTGCACTTGTTGTGGGCGCAGATCGCTCCGATCCCAGTCCCCAGCCAGTAGACGAGCTTCAATTTTCCATCTCACAAGCAGCTTCCACTTCCAGCGCGCGCATGCTGATACAACCAAAGGACATTAGCCATAGGCATACCCGCCTTACTTACTTTGCATATAACGACTTCTCTTCGGCTGCATACAGTGTTAAGCTGCGAACCCGGCCGCAAGCTAACTTTGGCGTTGTATATTGCCACAGATCTGCTCGGGATCCTTGGGAATGGCAGTATACTCTGTAAACAGTGGGACGGCGAGCTCGTGTCCAAGACGATTCCCGAGCTTTTAAGGTGGTACACAACTTTTGGCGAGCATGACGAGGTCCCTAACCCTGAAGACCTTGATGCAAACCAAGTCCTTTACGGTGAGTTTAGCTCCTTGTATCGAAGGGCGAAAAACGTTTTCTTTCAGATGGCTTTCCTCTTTCTTGTAGTCTGTAATAAACGTGTCCGTGACGTTTTTCATCACCGAGCGGTACATGGCCACGAAGCTGTTTGACTGCTTCATCAACAGGAGAATTCTTCAACACCGACATGGGACATCATATCAAAACATGTCCTTTGGAAGCAGAATGTGTTCAAGTGGTCTCATTTATGCGTGTTTAGTGTACACAATGGTGGAGTCATGCTCCATGCTGCCGACGCCGATTAACCTGCCAACACCAGAGACGAAAATTGCATGATGGAATCTTTGGGTACTGTCTCTTTTTAATCCCGAACGAAGCAACAACAACAAATCTACGAATTTAGAGCTCGTCGTGGCTGGGGGGCTCATCCTCGCCACCAGCGCCACCGGCGCCCTGGTACATCTTGGAAGTGATGGGGTAGGCGACGTTGGACAGCTTCTCCTTCTGCTCCTCGAAGTCCTCGGCGTTGGCGGTGGGGCCGTTCTCCTCAAGCCAGTCGGTGGTCTCTTTGACAGCCTCGAGGATCTGAGCGATTTGTTAGTAATCTGTAGCAGCGGGTCGAAGGGTATGATCAAACTTACAGTCTCCTTGTCCTCGTCGTCAATCTTGCCACCGAGGCCCTCCTCGTCGTTGACCTGGTTCTTGAGGGAGAAGGCATAGTTCTCAAGACCGTTGCGAGCCTCAATGCGCTCACGGGTGGCCTTGTCCTCCTCGGCGTACTTCTCAGCCTCGGCGACCATGCGGTCAATCTCCTCCGGGGTGAGACGACCCTTGTCGTTGGTGATGGTGATGGACTCCTGCTTGCCGGTGCCCTTGTCGTGGGCGGAGACCTTGAGGATACCGTTGGCATCAAGCTCGAAGGAAACCTCGATCTGGGGGACACCGCGGGGCGCGGGAGGAATGCCAGTGAGCTCGAACTTGCCGAGGAGGTTGTTGTCCTTGGTAAGAGAACGCTCACCCTCGTAGACCTGGATGAGAACGACGGGCTGGTTGTCGGCGGCGGTGGAGAAGATCTGGCTCTTGCGGGTAGGGATAGGGGTGTTGCGCTGGATCAGCTTGGTCATGACACCTCCAGTGGTCTCAATACCAAGAGTCAAGGGGTTGACATCCATGAGAACGACGTCCTCAGTTCCGGCCTCACCGGCAAGAACACCGGCCTGAACGGCGGCACCGTAAGCGACAGCCTCATCGGGGTTGATACCCTTGGAAGCCTTCTTTCCGCCGAAGTACTCCTCAATGAGGTTGACAACCTTGGGGATACGGGTGGAGCCACCGACGAGAACGATGTCGTCAATGTCCTCCTTCTTGACCTTGGCGTCCTTGAGCACCTGCTCGACGGGCTTCAGGGTCTTCTTGAAGAGGTCATTGTTGAGCTCCTCGAACTTGGCGCGGGTGAGAGTCTCGGAGAAGTCCTTGCCATCGAAGAAGGCCTCGATCTCAATGCGAGTGGACATCTGAGAAGAGAGGGTACGCTTGGCCTTCTCGGCCTCGCGCTTGAGCTTACCCATGGCCTTGAAGTCCTTGGTGACATCGACGTTGTTCTTCTTGTTGTAGGCCTTGGCGAAGTAGTTGATGATGCGCTGGTCGAAATCCTCACCACCCAAGTGGGTGTCACCGGCAGTAGCCAAGACCTCGAAAACGCCCTGGTCGATGGAGAGCAGGGACACATCAAAGGTACCACCACCGAGGTCGTAGACGATGATCTGGCGCTCACCGTCGGTCTTGTCAAGACCGTAGGCGATAGCGGCGGCGGTGGGCTCGTTGACAATGCGGAGGACGTTGAGACCGGCGATGACACCGGCATCCTTGGTGGCCTGGCGCTGGTTGTCGTTGAAGTAGGCAGGGACAGTGACGACGGCGTGGGTGATCTTCTTGCCAAGGTAGGCCTCGGCGACATCCTTCATCTTGCCCAGAATCATGGCAGAGATCTCCTCGGGGGTGAAGCGCTTGGGGGAGCCGGCAACCTCAACCTCGACAATAGGCTTGCCATCCTTCTCAATAACCTTGTAGGGGTAGTGCTTGATGTCGGACTGAACAGCCTTGTCGGAGAACTTCTGGCCGATCATACGCCTGTCAGGTGGTTAGTTCGTGTCTCGAGGCTCGCGAGGCCAGACTGGAGCTTACTTGATATCGAAAATGGTGTTGTGGGGGTTGGCCGCGGCCTGGTTCTTGGCGGCGTCACCGACGAGTCTCTCTTCCTCGGTGAACGCGACGTAAGACGGTGTGATACGGTTACCTGCAGGCAACAAAGTCAGTCAAGCCAGTCAAGCTGTCTGGAGCTGAGGGGGGGTGCGCTTGAAGAGCTCCGGCAGTATAAACGTACCCTGGTCGTTGACGAGAATCTCAACGTTTCCATTTCTCATCACACCGACGCAAGAGTAGGTAGTTCCAAGATCCTAGAAAGAAATTGTTAGGACACGGTGTCTTCTTTTGGTGGTGGCGACAGAAGCGCCGAAGCGCACCGCCGGTCAAGTGCAGGGAGAGCTGTCAAACTTACAATACCGATGACAGTGCCGTAGCTCTCAGTGTCTTGAGCCTGGGCGGTCTGGACGAAGGCAAGAGGGGAGAAGAGGAGAGCCATCCAGGCCAGGAGGCCGAAGCCTAAGGCCATCGAGCTTCTGGATCTCGACATTGTGGGAGATTTTTGGTGCTGTGAAGCTACCTTGTGAAGATGGATTGCGCGCGTGTGGTATCTCGAGCTCTTGGGGGGAAAGGAAAGAAAGAAAATACGTCAATGGGAGACGTGTGGGAGAAGGTTGACAGGATTCCCTTCTACTTGCTGCACACCCAATCAAATTGAGGTGGTTTGGCAGGTGTTGGATTGGGAGAGGTTGAGAGTGAAGCGGTGGAAGGGAAGAGCTGCTGGCTTTATGAATGGCTTCTCCAAAAAAAGATTGAGGTGTCCAGATTGCACAAAAAGGCCAGATTTCACCTTGAGAGGCGCCACACGTGACAGGGGTCACTTCCTTTTGGTCAAAGGTGTGGTGGCCTTGGGGATCCCTACTGTGTGGTACCCTGACGCGGGCAGTGTGCAAGCTGCAGTGTGTCCACTACTGTAATACAGCTCCTCCGGCAAATGGAGGGACGGACACCATGGGATGGCAGAGATGGGCGCTCGGGGGACCAGTCTCCGCCGCGGCAGCACAGTGACCACGTACCGTGTGAGCATCTCACCCTCGACGGCCCCCTAGCCACGGCAGTCAAGGTGTGCGCGCCTCACCGCTGCCGCTGCCTGTCGTCCTTGCGTCCGTGCTGGCCCTTCCATCGCACTTCTACCCCACCAAGGCTGCGATTCTGGAGATTTCGATTACAGGTGGTCCCCCTGGAAAACCATTGAACGTGGCCTTTTTTGTTCAGTTCGCCTCCAGTCTTCCACAGGCTTCCGGCCGATTTCCACGCCTCAGTACATACATGGTACACAGTACCCATGACTTGACTCCTTTTACTTGTGGCAGTGACTCACGACCCAGCACCTGCTTCAAAGAGACAACGGCCCCATTGGATTGTCACTGTATCCATGGTTGCAACCCATTACCTAGTATTCTATCTGTATCCTCAATCTGTCCCTTCCAAACTCCTGGGGAAGCGAACAGAGTGGCCTCAAACCAGTTTGATTGCCCCCCAGCCCCCATTTCGGGGCAATTCAATGCATCTTTCCTTTCCAGAATATTCCCACCACTTGCTTGCTGTGGGGCGGGCGGGCGGCATTCCGGGTAAAGAAGCTTGAGAAAGTCAGGCAAGGCCAGCGAAGGGCAGGGGCAAGGTGCATAGAGAACGGGACACCTTACCTCACTTAAGGTGCACTTAGCAGTGCCATCCCGTCTTCGCCCTGCCCTGAGATGAAGGGGGGCAACATGAGGGGGCGCCTAGGCAGGGGGGCAAGCTTTGGCTCCTGGCCCATGCTCTTCCGCGCAGCGGCTACCCAATGTAGGTACTGTACCTGTATGCACTTACTAAGGTACAATAAACACGACGGCCTCATTTCCGTGGCCTCGAGCTGACGGGGGCCATGACATATCTGTCAACATCGCTGGGATCGAGTGGGCGGAATCTGAGCAGGTCTCAGCGGCCAGCAATCATTGCTCAAGAAGAGCTATCAAATCGTGTCCTCCCACTAAATGTATGAGGCATCCGCGTTTCCTGCGTGCTGTTTAGTTGGCATCTTGCTATGAATATGAGTATTCCTATTGGCTGCGCTTCGACGACGGTCGCCACCAACTCTATTTTCAGTACAGAACTCTAATTGAGCCTCAACGCGAGCACCATGTTGCACGCCATGCTTGGAAGCGTCTCGTCAGTCATAAACCAGATCCTTCAACAGTCCCTATTTACGAATCGCGCCACGTTTCTTTTTGATTTCTGCACCGTTTACTCCAACAGCCCTGCAGCGATTGTCTCTCCGCCACTTCTTAGCACTACCCGCTGCCCCGCCTCCAACGGCACCTTGGACTCCAACTTGACGACGACTCGCGCGACCTTGCCCGGCTGCACGATCTTAGGATTCTTCTTCAATGTCGCCCCCGTCAACTTGTCCAAAACGGCTGGGATGGCCTCGACCCGGCCGGCCGCATGCAAACGACCGCGGTGAAGGTCCACAGGCATCGGCATCAAGTGGTCGAAAGCCAGTACCTTCATCGTCAGGGTATCACTCGTCTCGATAGGCGCCGCCTTGGTGCTGATGATGTCGCCCACGCGCACATGAATCGGGTCGATGCCGTACAAGCCAATGTTGACATTCTGCCCCGCGACAGCCCACTCTTGCACCTCGCAATCCACTTCGATCGATCGTATTGAGGCCGACTCTCCGCTGGGCTGAACGATCAACGGCTCTCCAGTCTGTACCGTGCCAGACTCTATCCGGCCAGCCACAGTGAGTTGACTCTGCTGCGTCCTGTAGATTTCCGAAATCGACATCCGGAAAGGCTTTTCGAGCGCTCTTGTCATCGGATCAGAGTCTTCCAGAGCCTCGATCAATGTCGGGCCAGTGTACCATGAAAGACCTTCATCATCCGGCCGCTGCACCAGGTTCGCACCGCTGAGTCCAGATATGGGCACAAAAGTGACGTTCTTGAGCTGGAATCCGTTGCCCTTCATGAACCCGGTGACCTGCTCCGAGATCTCATCAAACCGATCCTTTGACCAACCGACCATGTCAAGCTTGTTGACAGCGACGATGACTCTTTGCACGCCCAAACTTCTCAATAGAAGAGCATGCTCTCTGGTCTGGCCTTTTAGACCCTTCTCGAAAGCTCCCGTGTTGGCGTCAATGACGAGGATAGCGAAGTCTGCCTGGCTGGCTCCCGCAATCATGTTGGGTACAAAGTCTCTGTGGCCTGGGGCGTCAAGGATCGTAAAACGCGTCTTGTCGGTTTCGAACTGATTCGTGGCGATGTCAATAGTTACACCTCGCTCGCGCTCCTCTTCCCGTTGGTCCATCACCCATGCGAGGGCAAATGATGACTTTCCAATCTTCTCGCCCTGTCGTCGGTAACGGTCGATGAGATGTTGCTCGACATATTTCAACTCCAACAGCAGCCTACCCATCAGGGTACTCTTTCCAGCATCGACGTGGCCTTCAGAGTGTCAGTGTGCTGACCAGAAGTATCAGTGAATGCAGCTTACCGACTACCACGAAGCTGGCACTTCTCTTGTTCTCGCTCTTCTCAAACTCCTTAAGAACATCCAGCTTCTTGTTCTTGGGTGCTGCCGAGTCGTCGAGTTGTAGCTGCTTCATCTCGCCAGTGGGCGTCTGGGAGCCTGTAGGTTTGGTGACGACTTTCTTGGTGGCGCTCTTAGCAGCAGCAGCGTCGAACTTGGTGCCCGCTGGAAGGAATTAGAGTCAGCGTCTTACTGGGTATTCGCAAAACGCGAACCTTTCGCTTGAGCAGCGAGTACGATGTCATCAGGGCTCGGCTGGGTGAAAGCACTGGGAACAAAAGTGGACGATTCCATGTACGGTATTGTGTACGTTTGAGAGGTGGCAGCAGTATCCTGAGCAGGTCCAAAGAGTGTCTGAGCAAAGGCAGATGGTCTTGTTGATGGCACCACGAAACAGTCATCCTCGTCCTGCTCCCCGGTTCCAGCAGATGGCACATGAGACTGGTCAACATCCATGTCGACTGGGTTTGGGACAGATTTGCCTTCTTGTTGCGGCGGCGAGACAGGTGTTGAAGATTGAGATCCCGAGGCAGAGTCTTCTGCCAGCTTCTGTCGTTTAGCGAGGATGCTCGAGCCGGATCTCTGGTTCTCCTTCGAGGGCTCATCGATAGCTAAAGCTGACATTCTCTTCTCCGCTCGATCAACTTTGTCGTCTGGCTTCTTCGCGTCCGCGGTCTTTTTCTTCCGTGCTGCGGCCAGAGCCTGCAGTTTGGAAAGCTTGGGACCCTCACCGCCACCAAGGAGGCCGCCTGGGAGAGGACGGGGTGGGACGAAAACAGCCTGTCGGTTGCTGGGTACGTTCATCCAAGAAATGCCATGGAAAAATGAGGCCGGAGATAGAGAGACCACCCTCTGAATGGGGTACTCTGAAGTAGATGCTGTGTCGTATTCCCCAACCTCGCCATTGATGCCCCCAAGACCAAAACCATCTGCCAAACACTCAATTTCTGCTACTGCCGCTGCCTGACAGGAAACATGAGTAACATGCGTATGGAAATGTGACTTACCATCCTTGGCCTTCTTCGGCTCCTGCTTTGGGGCTGGCGGTGGTGCAATAAACTTCTTCTGCAAGTAAGACACCGTCTTATCGATATCGTAGTAGTAGTACCACAGGGCATCCTGAATCTGCTGCGCAGTCACTTTGTCGGCGTCAGGGCCGAGTGCGCTTTGCACGGTTGCGGTCCCTACGTTCATAGCCTCGCGATCCTCGGGGCTGAGCTGATCGGCCTCGTTCTCCTCAAAGTCATCGCCTTCGTACTCATCGAGAGCCTCATCATAGTCGAGATTGCGAACTGCCTGGTGGCGCGACATCTTTACTGTGGTAGGATCTCCTGAAAATGTGTTCGGGTAAGGGGTGCAGGCGTGGGATTATGTCGCAAACTGATTTTCGAAAAGCTGAAAAAGATTTGTAAGTCGTTATTGCATCCCGGTTTTTTGACCACTTTGTCCGTCGGGTGAGTGATGCACTGAAAGCTGTGACTCGAACTTCTTTGCTGTGGTAGTTGGAAACTTGCAAACGACGGCACTTGGACTGGTCATGAAGTGGGATGCGTGGGGCGCTTTGGTCATGGAGGGGCAACCACGTTGGATGGCGGGGTACTTGGTGCTGCCTCCAGGCCTTTTTTCTGGCACCTCAGGCGGTGAGCTTCCGGATTATCTGCCCCCGGTTACCGAAGATTCTGGTCGCCCAGAACGGTAGGCACCACCAATTATTCAGAAATTTTGGTCCACCACGACCCGGTCCTTGGAGCTCAACCCCCCTCAACGCACGATACCTCTATCCCCCCGGCGTCACTCCCAGTTGAATCGCACTACCATCCCGAACCCCCAGTGACGTGCGAATACCTTCAACATGGCTATGAGTATGTGGTACCTTACCCCAATTAAATTGCACGCGGCTGACAATATGCATAGACCTTGATATGGCAAATGGTAAGCACCACGATGACTAGTAGCTCCGGAATGCACATGCTAACGGAGATATGCTTCAGCGGCCGTCATGAAGGACGAGCAGGGCCGTCCCTTCATCGTCGTTAGAGAGTGAGTTCTGCTGCTACCATTCGCCGCCCGACCAAGGGGCACTATACTGATTGCCCCGCAGCCAAGGAAAGAAGAAGAGACAATATGGCAACGAAGCCGTCAAGAACCACATCCTCGCCGCCCGGACGGTCGCGAACATCGTCAAGACCTCCCTCGGCCCCCGCGGCCTCGACAAGATCCTTATCTCCCCCGACGGAGACATCACAGTGACGAACGACGGTGCCACAATTCTGCAACAGATGGAGATCTCCAACCATGTCGCCAAGCTGTTGGTAGAGCTGTCCAAGTCGCAAGATGACGAGATTGGTGACGGTACCACGGGTGTCGTCGTTCTCGCCGGAGCTCTCCTAGAGCAGGCGGCGGAGCTGATCGACAAGGGCATTCACCCTATCCGCATCGCGGACGGATATGACCAGGCCTGCGACATTGCCGTGTCGGAGCTTGATAAGATCTCAGATGTGATCGAATTCAGCAAAGAAGAGACAGGAAACCTGTTGAAGGTGGCACGGACAAGTTTGGGCAGCAAGATCGTCTCCAAGGCGCACGACCAGTTCTCTCAGATCGCAGTGGACGCCGTCCTCTCGGTGGCCGACCTCGAGCGGAGAGACGTCGATTTTGAGCTGATCAAGGTTGACGGCAAGGTTGGAGGAGCTCTGGAAGATACCATGCTCGTCAAGGGTGTCATTATTGACAAGGACTTTTCGCATCCTCAGATGCCCTCGGAGGTCAAGGATGCCAAGATCGCCATCCTGACCTGTGCCTTCGAGCCCCCTAAGCCCAAGACCAAGCACAAGCTCGACATTACCAGTGTCGAGGAGTTCAAGAAGTTGCAGAACTACGAGCGCGAGAAGTTTATCGAGATGATTCAGCAAATCAAGGACTCCGGCGCCAACCTGGCCCTTTGCCAGTGGGGTTTCGACGACGAGGCAAACCACCTTCTGCTCCAGAACGGCCTCCCTGCCGTGCGGTGGGTTGGTGGCCCCGAGATTGAGTTGGTGGCTATTGCGACAAACGGCCGTATTGTGCCTCGTTTCGAGGACCTGAAGCCCGAGAAGCTTGGAACTGCAGGCATCGTTAGAGAAATGACATTTGGTACCACAAGAGAGAAGATGCTGGTTATCGAGGAGTGTGCCAACACCCGCGCGGTAACCGTCTTTGTTCGCGGTAGCAACAAGATGGTGAGTTTTAGACTTGCTCTCAAGCGATGGTTTGATTACTGACTTTGTGGTAGATCATCGACGAGGCCAAGCGCTCTCTTCACGATGCCCTTTGCGTCGTGCGTAACCTGGTCAAGGACAACCGTGTTGTCTACGGTGGTGGTGCCGCCGAGATCGCCTGCTCCCTGGCGGTCGAGGACGCCGCTGTCAAGACCCCTGGCCTTGAGCAGTACGCCATGCGCGCGTTTGCCGAGGCTCTCGACGCCGTCCCGATGGCGCTGGCCGAAAACAGCGGTCTGAACCCCATCGCGACGCTGGCCGAGGTGAAGAGCCAGCAGGTCAAGGCAGGCCCTGACGCCCGTGGTAAGCTCGGCGTGGACTGCATGGCCCGCGGCAGCAACGACATGAAGGACGCGTTCGTCATCGACCCCCTTATCAGCAAGAAGCAGCAACTTCAGCTCGCGACGCAATTATGCAGAATGGTGCTGAAGGTCAACAACGTCATTGTTTCTGGGTCTGGCGAGGAGGACTTTTAAAAGTAAAACGGTAAAAAGGTTCTAGATGGGTCTATGGTGTTTGGGATTATACCAAGCTGTGTACTATGCAAATAGAGAGGCCCCAATGTCGAGACCACCAATTCTATCCTCCCAACTAATGCGTTCGCCCCTTCCTTCACTGCATCCAGCCTCTCTCGGGGCTGTACTTGAGGTAAGGCTCCATTTCGCGGTAGAAGGTCTGCCTCAACTCGGCCTGCTGCTCCGGCGTCAGACGAGTGTTCTCGCCCTGGCGACGCTCCCAGCTCTCCTGCGTCTCCTTCAGGAACGCGTTGGAGTCCTCGCCGGTGGGGTCCGCGAATTCATACGATCTGTACTCGGTGTTCTCCCAGCCAGTTGCTATGTGCTCAGTCAGAAACTAGTTTCACCTGCGTACTTGGGATATCCTCCAGCTGAGCTGAGAGGCCTGCGATTAGACGGTGTAACTTACCTTTCTTGGGACCAATACCAGACCAATCATCCGTCAAAAAGTGCAGAATACCTCCGTGCGTGACGACCACAACGTGATTATCGCCTTGCACGTCACCCACAAGCTCCCTCAGCGCCCGTCTCGCCTCGGCCGACCTCTTCTCGAGTTTCTCCAGCGTCGGCTCCCACTTGGAGTTGGGGTTCGTCTTGTCAGTCCAGTCCTCGGGAACCCTGCTGAAATCCACGCGGCCGGCGAACTCGCCCTCGATGTCCTTGACAGCGGACCCCGTGTCGCACGGCGCATCGGAGACCTCCTGCACCTCGGGCAGGGCGAGGACCTTGAGGGACTTGCCGACTGGGGCGGCGGCGTCGGAGGCGAAGCCCAGGAGGCAGGTGTACAGCGTCCGGCGGAGGGGGCTGGCGACGAGGTGGGTGAGACGGTCGTGGTAGGGGAAGGCGGCGCGGAGGGCGGCGCACTGTTGCTTGCCCAGATCTGTGAGGAGGGGGTCGCGGATAGCTTCGTTCTCAAGGGAGAGGTTGTGGAAGCCCTGGGCGTGACGGACGAGGTGGATTTGGACGGGCATTTTGCTGGTCTTACGTTTGATGAGATGAGAGTGTGTTGTCTGTGAGTATATGATGAGATGAGATGAGGTGGGATGACGGAAATGAGAGGGGTGATGGGCGATGCCGCGATTGTTTTTCTTTTTTAAAAAGTGACTGCTGTCTAACGGTCTGTTCACGATGAATACTGAAGCACGAGTTTGAAGTTCTGGGTCTCTGGGGTTCACGATCCAATTATAGGCAACCGGTTGGTGTCGGTGGAGGAAGCAAAACGTAGCTACGTAATGGCCTTCTGTCTCGGGAAAATTCCTTGTTTGGGGTGGGTGGGCTTAATTGGACTTTTGGGAATGACTCAAAAAACGAATGGGCAACATCTGCGTCGAAGGAGAGAGGTAGAGAGTCACTGAAGGGGTAAGAATGGATCCACGTGGGCTGCTGCGGCCGTGCCGCTGGCGCTACGCTTCGCGTTGCTGGTTTCATACTGCGGGCAGTAAAGGCAAAGTACCTGGAGGTATCCTCCGGCGCCGATGACCGGCGAAAAGTGGGGATTCGGGCCTCTGGCACCGGCGGTGGTTGGCCGGCGTGGGCTCGGGCTCCTAAATTGAGCTTTTTGTGATGTGTTCTCCGAGCCAATGGTTGGAAAGACCGCTAGCCTCGTTACAGGTAACGGAATTACTGCTTACAGCTTCGCCGATATAGGTGGTGCGGCATGATGCCTGACGAGCTTGGGTGTTCTGGACTACGTTCAGTGTGACTCAGCCGACCGTCACGGAGCAGATTGGCGGGAAGTATATTGAACGGGAACCTACTCTTGTTTAAGATACTGCAGATCTGACTGCTATATGGACCAGTCGTGAGATGATTCGACTCGGAGCTTGGCCGTTTATTCCGACTCCTAGCATCAATTTGGACAACGTCTCGGAGTCAAGGATCAAAAGGAGGAGGTTTGCGGCCGTTTACTCGCCGATGATGCAGAAACCCACAGGGACCATCAACAGTGGAAGCAAAGCGAGGTCGGTAAGGTCCAATGAGGGGCTGGTTGGACGACCGTTCTACAAAGCCTTCAACTTCCAATAACGCCTGCAACATGAGTTTGAGACCACTGGCCAGCGGTTTGTTTCTATGCTTCACAAAAGCCTATTGGTACCTTCCCATACACCAGCAATGCTACCAGAAGTAGGATAGGGGATAGCCAACGACGCAATCGGCGATTGAGTACTGAGGTAGTCATGTCGAAGACTTGACTATGGCGGAGTCATAAGAAGCTCAACCATCGTAATATCCTTAGTATTGAAGTTTAATGAGGGACATGGCCATGCTGCTTGCTCTAGGTTGAAACTGTGTTACGAACCAACGCAGTCCGTAAAAAGCGTCGCTCTAAGAGAAAGCAGTAGGGAAACAATGACTTCTCTTGACCCCTGGTTGTCAGCACCAGCGTATCCAAGTAGTCAATCACTAAGCAACGAATACGCAAATAGTACCGCAGAAGGAATCACCGAACACATAGATCGCCATTCATCTTACAAGGATGCTTTATGCTAGCCGGGACTTTTCATCTAGACAGGAGCATAGAGATACTTCACCACCACCAGCTTTGAACAGTGTTTGGAACATTCAAGGTGAACGAGGTGGTCCCACAGACTGTATCCAAAATCATCAGACGAAAGGTAGCCCCTAAAACGAATTGCGGCTTAATCAAGACTCGTCTGTGGTATGACGAGCTGGCACAGCCCTGCTTGATTTCTGCTTCGGTCCCTCTTGGTTCATATCTTACCACTGGTATTGCCTTTGTCGCCCTCGTTCAAATTCCACGAGAATGTGCACAAGGGCATCACAAGATCGGTACATTATCACCTCGAAAAGTATTATTCTTTGTTCAGTCTGGCGATGTCAGTCCGCAATTAGTGCACTGACTCTTTATCCCAGCAAAAACGCCGGACAAGGGATGCATAATGTCCAACAAAAAAGTACCATTTTATAGCTCAGTCTCAAGTCCGAAGATGCTGGTGTTCGGCTTTCCCCTTTGTGACCATGAAACGCCAAGAACCAATGTAGCAGACCTGTATGCCTCAGGGCCATCATATTCTCCTTCAGAGATCAATTAGACTCTCTTCCACTGCCGGCTGCTTCGGCGCGTTCTGCGGTGCAGACGGGAACGACTCCTGGGTATATCCGTTGTTGTACTGGCCCTGCCATTGCTGTTGAGGAGGCGCAGATTGCTGCGGTACTGACGGTTGCCAGTAACTCTGCTGCTGCGGCGGGGCTTGCTGCGGCGTTGGCTGCGCGGGCTGGGCAGCTGCTTGAACGGGCGTTTGCTGGTGGGACATGGACTGTCGGTATTGCATTGACTGTTGAAGATTCGGATAGGGGGACGGATTGGGATCTGCAGAGGGTGGCGCAGAGGGCGGCGCGCTGGGTTGTTGAGGGTTGAAGTAGTAAGAAGCGTTAGGGTCAGCAGAAGGCGTTCCAGCAGGTTGGCCAGGTTGGTTCTGGTGGCTCGGTTGGGGTGGCTCGCTGGGAGCATACGGCTGCTGCGGCGCATACTGTCCGTCAGGGGCGGAACCGGCTCCGCTCCTCCAGTTTTCCGTCTGTTGAGGCTCTTGGGGAGGGTAAGGGCCTCCAGGTGGACCGGCCATGGAGGCGCGCTTGTCAAAGGTTGCGTACTGGGGTTGGGGTGTGTGTTGAGGATGTTGGTGGTATCCTTGGAGCGGTGGTGCGTGGCCGTAGTCCACCTGTTGTGAACCGGTGTAAAAGTTCTCGGCTGGTCCAGCGCTGGTGGGCGCACTCGCATGAAGAGACGGGTATGCGCCAGAGGGATGGCGAGGACTAGGAAGGTTGTAGCCCCCAACGGTGTGCTGGCTATATGCCTTGGAGAGACGCTCCTCCAGCATTCTGTCATAATAGCGAACCACAGTAGAGAGCTTGGCATGAAGGTCAAGAAGCGTGTCTGGTCAAATGTCAGCAGCGGCTTGTGACAAGCTCTAAACGAAACCTACCATGTTTGCTCATAGTCTCGCCGTAAGTGCGAGCAAGCTTCGGCCGCAGTGTGCCAATACTGTCGTAAAGCTCCTGGATCTGAGGCTCACGCAGAATCGTGCCGGGGGGTTGCGTCTGTAGGCGGTCGACGAGAGTTGCAAACAGGTTAATGTTCTCAGCCTCGACCGGAGTGAGTTCGTAGTCGTTCTTAGGCAAGGAGAACTGTTGTGTCGGGTTTGGACCAGCACTCGAGGTCTGCTCCTTCAAAGCCGTCGCGTGCCTTTGCTTCTGCTCCTCCATGTCAGCCAGCGAGGCGGCAATCGCGGCCTTGAGGTCGTCGTCCTCCTCATCTGCACCATGCGATGCCGCGGGCTCGGAGTTGCCGTTGACCTTGGGACCTGAGGGGCCGTTGGCGGTAGGTGCAACGTATCCCTGGGAGTAACCCTTCACCTCCTCCAAGCTCATAGCCAAGGCCTTTTTCAGGTCCTCGTCGAAGGCGTCGTCAACACGAGCGTTGCGCGGTTGCATAGCGGATGTGCTTCGGGTCTTATAAGGATAGGTGGGGGATCGGTCTTGCGGCAAGGGCGAGGGTGCGCCTCCCTTGGCGGACTTATCCGTGAGTTTCGCGTAGCAGCCATCGTCGACACGGACAGGCTGCATGATACCGAGGTGCGGAAGGGGACAAGACTTGGCCGAACATTGCTGATCGAAACAGTTGCCGCAGTTTCGGCAGTGGTGCTTTCGGTTCGTGAAGGTGAAGGGGGTTCGGCATCGCATGCAGACATCTGAATCGACCCACTCGGGGGGCTTTGAAAATGGTTAGCTTGGGTGCCGCGGAATTACTAGAACGGACGAGAGCCTACCGCACTGCTATCGATCATGCTGCTGGCGACGCTGATTCTGGGAGGAAACTGATGGCCTTCTCTCTGCAGCGTCTTGTAAACTTCTCCGATGTATCCCAAATCGTGACGGCCTTCGGTGGCGACAGCCCAGGACTGTATCAGCTCGAGGATTTTCTGCTTTACTTCGTGGTTGACGGCGGCGGGCCCGACTGCTTGGAGGAGTGAGGTAAGGTTGTCCATAAACTCTCTCGAGGCGATTTCGGCGAGGAAGTGGGTGCCTCCGTTCTTAACACATGTATCGGTGAGCTGCGGTCTGGATTAGCTTAGTCAACGACGATCAGGCAGCGATGATGGCTTACATTCAAGGCGCTCAGCTGGGTGTTAGGATTCTTGTTCCCGACGCGCCTCTTCAAGGAGCGCATAGCCTCCTTGGGCTGGACAGTCTTTGATCTGATGACATCAGAGATCTCGAGATTCAAGGCGATGTCCTCCCTGTAACAGTGTTAGAGACGGCATCCCGCGCGATAACAAGGGGTCGTACAAGCTGCTGCTGGTCGCTTTCTCAATCTGCTCGTCCAGGGCCGAGTTGGCCGAGCTGGACCACCAGCCCATCATCTTGGAAAGCTAGGTGCGTTAGGTTGGCGGGGAGCTAATCGAAGGGGCGGGTCTCGATGGTCGGCGGTTGGTTATCTACTCGACGGGTGTTCGGGCGCAAACGCAAGGTCGTCGTCGTCTTTTGTCGTCGACGTACGAAAAGTGGTCCAAAGGGATTGCGCGTATGCAGAGGATGTGGATGAAAAGGCGATGGGAAAGCTTGGGCGCGTCTCTGTCTAACTGTTGGTTGCCCAGATGTAGCGGTAGGTGCGGCGTTGGGGGCGGCGGCGGTGGTGGAGGTGCGTAAGACGTGGTTCAGTCGGAGATGCAACAGGCTTCGGCGTGGGCTCAGGACCGACTAGGCTAGACGTGGACAGCTTCGGGCGTGGAAGTTCTCTGGGTTACGTTGGCTTAGTACGAATGTGCAGGGGTTGGTCAACTGGAAGTGTGGACTGTGGATTCCAAGCTGCCGCCTTGTATGATCAGTGTTTAGTGACCGAGTGTCTTCTAGGCTGCTGTCGTCGCCGCCTCGTGGCTGTTGCTCCGCTTAGAAACGTCGCCCTGTGACGAGCGGAAGTCTCCGCGCTAAACCTAAAATAAAATAAAAACACCACTGGCCAGTCTTCTGGACAGCGGGCAAGGCGGGCAAGGCGGGCACTGCGGGCAGAGAGCACCAGGTCGGCGTAGACGGGCAGTGACGACTTCCCCGTAGATGACGAAGTTGGGTAGAAGTAAAGTGGATCGCTGGTGGCGTAGCCGCGTAGGTAAGGTATGTGCTTGCCAGGTGCCTACCCAGCTCGGCCATAAAGTGAGGCACTTGAGAACTTGGGCTGAAGCGAGATGCCCGTAGAGGTACGTATCTTTTGGGTTCCAGCATGAACCTCCCGGATATCGCGACATGACCTTAGCTAATTACTCAGTCCAGCACGGTTCTCTCTGCAAACCTCAAATAATGTATTTTGTTTTAGACTAGCGATTCTGGTTATAGGAGAACAAGCGATCCAACGTCCTCAACATGGACATTCATCGGCCAATTTGTGGCTCTGCATAAACATGAGTTGTCAAGTCCCGTCCAGGTCATGAATCAGTTGGTGCAAGTCGCCGCCTCAGCTCCAGTTCCGGTTCACGCCGTGCCTTTCCTATAGTACCTTATTACCTTTCCATGTGAACACGCAGCAGACAACCCGTAGACGAGAACGCACATTGCCCACCTGCTCTGACGTCCGACCACGCCCTCTGACATATCTGGTAATCTGCCGGAAGCGTCAGGAAGCTGTCCAGCCCCAGCCATCTTACTACCTTACCACCTTACCACAGCGCCTTACAGTGAGCAGTGGAGGAGTATTACCTGACGCCCTGGTCCCCCACCCAAAAAGAAGTACGGACCCTGTCGGATAAGATACCGACTCGGTCCCCCAAAACACAGCCGCCGCAACGGTACCGTTTCCTCTCCACAATGTCTTGCCATTGTTGAAACTGTTAGCGCCAGCGAACGAGGCTGTCCCTCCACTACAGACCATCTGTCTTTCACAGGACCGCCGCTGTGCTGTACACGCTGTATCCGCAGCAATCCATCCACGTCTCGTTTGTCAAAGAACGGCCATTCTTTTCATTTGCCATTCTTCTCGACGCCCTTTTTCGATCTTTGCCTCATTTCAAAGAAACATGTCCATCTCGGCTCACCCTGCAGCACCGACATAACGAGCCTGCTGCCCCTCTCGACAGCCTACAAGAGTAGTCGGTCCCTTGTCTGCCACTCATGACGAACCCGCCGCCGACTGTCGTTGTGTCCGCCTCTCGTCCTACATACCTCGACGACTCCGATTCCTACGTCTCCCCGACATCACCAGCTGCAGCTTCCTCCCCCCGTCTCCGAGTCGCCAAGCTTGCAACGACATGATCCAAGCTCTATACCAAACCACGACACACCCTTTCTTCTTCACATGAGTTCCACGGCTTCCTCGGCCACCAGAACCGTCCTCGGCGGCGGCGGCGGCGGCGGCGGCGCTGGTCCGGCCTTATCCAGCGGCTCCGGACTGCACTCCTTCGCCATGGGCAGAGATGGAGCTCCTGCCGGCCGTGGTGGCAGACCTCCCCTGCCACACATAGACGACCTCACTTCTACCTCTCCTAATATCGATATGAACCTCCCTTTGCGCAAGATCCTCGAGATGGGCGACAACGCCATGCGACAAGCCGAGACCTTTCGCGACTTCGGTCGACCCGATATGGCCTTTAAGGAGTATATCAAAGCCTCCTTGATCGCTGTCAAATACGTGCCCTTGCACACCGAGTCCGTCTCCGTCAAGGGCGGTCGCGGCGACTTGAATCGCATTTACACCGCTCTGATGAAGAAGATCGACTCCCAGCATGGAAACTTCGAAAAGATCAAGGCCGACATCATCGCCGATAACCATAGGACCGGTGTCAGACCCACGACATCGAGGCCATCCTCCATCAGCAACGGAGAAGTCATCCGACCACAGACGCCCCGAAGCCCGCCGGTAACGAGTCCCACCCGAGCCGAGGCTGGTACGCAAGTGAATGGGTCGCCGGCAACCAAGCCAAAGCCGGCTGTACAACCAAAGCCTGTGTCATTGCATGGCAACGCCATACGTCCTGGCGCTGGCGGCGCTGGTCTCCCCAAGAGCAAGGCTGCTGAGGATTTGGCGGCCCGCTTCGCCAACCTGCGAGGCCCTGTTGCATTACCAGGCCAGGATCCGCGCATACGAACGCACCCTATTGTGCCTCCCAGACCGGCTGGGCCGAGAGCTATGCCGGAGCCGCCTGAGAAACCCAGAGTGGCCGTGGTGACCAGTCTGCCGGATCTGCCCAAGATGCCAGATGCCATCTACAGCCCAGCTAGAGGGACTGTGTCCAATGAAGCAGCTTCACTACCATCCAGTACACCCCGGGGCCTGTTCAGCAGGACCGGCTCGTCCGCTGCTATCAACACTGTTCTTGCCAACAATAGCAACAACAAGTCTTCCGAATACTTCGTTCCGTCTCACTCCGGCCCCAATGCCTCTTCCACTACTTCCAGAGCCCCCAGCATTACGATACCCGAAGGCGACTCGATTACGGCTGAAGATCTAATGAACTACATCAAAAGGGGTTCCGCAAGCTTGCAGGTCTTGATCATTGACGTCCGGAGTCGGGAAGACTTTGACGAGGGCCATATCTTATCACAGGCCGTCATCTGCATCGAACCCAGCATTCTACTGCGTGAGAATATTTCATCGGAGCAAATAGCCGAGAGCATGGTTCTCTCGCCCCCTCAAGAGTACCACCACTTCGAAAGGAGAGACGCCTTTGACCTAGTGATTTTCCACGACCAAGACTCGGACTCTATTCCCCGGTATATTTCACCTGACATGGACGCCGCTGCGTTGCTGTCTCTGCAGCGCGCCTTGACATACTTCAACTACGGGAAAGAGCTGAAGAACCCCCCGAAGCTGCTTCAGGGTGGCTTGGATGCTTGGACTGATCTCATGGGTAGGGGCGCCCTCGCCACCTCGCAGACTGCAGGCGCCGTACGAGCGCCTATGGCTCGTCCTTCTTTAAAGCCAACCATCTCAATCTCTAAGCCGACCAGAAAGTACAAGGTCACGCCGTTAAGGCCCGAAGAAGTCAAGCTTTGGGAGGAAACACTGCAGAATGCCGAACTCGAGACGGCGCGATCTCCTGGCTTCATGCACGTTCGTAGTACGGAGGAGTTCTTGCGCAGGTTCCCTGCGGTATCGACCGAACAAGAATCCATGCAGTCACCAGTCGGTGCGGAACAGTCGACTTACGGCTATTCTCAAAATCACGTCGATCTCTATTCCGACCTGCCATCACCACCTACTAGGCCCGCCCCGGCAGTTCCGCGTCCAAGCTATAGCGGTCTATCACAGACCCAAGACGACCACGAGGGACCTGGCGCTGTCGCCTTCTCTGCCCAAGCCCGAAACCCGAAGCAAGGTCCTTTGGCCCGCCCTGATTCTCCTTCGGTCACGAATGTCAGCAAGGATGGTTTGCGTATCACAGGTCTTAACAACCCAGGTGTATGGTGTTACGCGAACAGCTCTATACAAGCCCTTCGAATGTCACCCGGATTCGGAAAGGACTTGGCCACGTTTGAATGGCAAAACATGTACAAGGTGCCAAAGAAGGCCGACGAGAAGAACGACCACCCCCAGTTGATGTCTCGGATCCTGTCCAATTTGTTCCATTGGTTGGATTCTGGCAAGTTTGACGTCATGAAAGCGCAGACACTTATGGCGAGTATTCTTTTTTCTTGCCATTTGCACACAGTTGCTAACCAATCCCAGGACTACTCTCGATCAGTCTGTGAAAAGAGCCGTCATAAGGACAGGGGTGACGAGTTTGGTGGCGGCCGACAACAGGATGCACATGAGTTCATTTCATGGCTCATGGCTTATCTTCACGATGAAACGAACGTACGACGCGACCGCAGTAGCCCTGAGACACCGGCGCCCTCAATGGGTGGCAAGTCAATGCTCCAGGGCGCCTACGAATGGTGGACGCAGTACCAAAAGAAGAACGCATCTATTGTCGATAAATACTGGCGCGGCATAGAACTCTCGACTGTTGTATGTGCACAGTGTAAGAACCGCACATACACCTGGGACACCTTTGATTTCCTCTCGATACCTGTCAACCGGGACACCCGTACCCTCGAGGACTGCCTCAAAGCCCACCTCGAGCCTGAAAACATATCCGACTACCAATGCGACAGTTGCAACACGAAGGGGCTCGGCAGGAAACAGGCTAGACTGGCGCGAATGCCAGAGCTTTTCTGTCTATGCCTAAAGCGCTTCACGGTCGATAACCACGGAGCGGTAAAGAAGGATTTGAGCAGGGTCACATGGGACTTCAACAGCTTCAACGCCGACCAGTTCTTCATCCCAGCAGAAGAGCGGGCCGCGGGGCCTGCGCCAGATGACAAGTTTGAGCTTCCATTCGACTACGAGTGTTACGCAGTCATTATCCATTCGGGACCAAACATCAACTCCGGCCACTACTACACCTATGCCCGAGACACACACAACCCTGATCCCACCGCCTGGTACAAAATCAATGATTCCCAGGTGACAAGTATCAGGATCGACGGGACGGGGCGTTCCACTGATTACAGTGAAAGAGTGTTCAAAAGCGGCGGCGAGGTACCGTACATGATCTTCTTCCGCCGAAAGGGTAGTCGGTTAGCGAGGTGATGAGACGTAATAGAACGGGTTACACATTGTAAAAGGGGCTCGGGGGCAGATATACATCGCAGGCACTGACATGCTGGACTATCGAAAAGGAAGTTTTCAAGTTCATATAGAGCGGAATGATGTGGTGGGGGCGGGGTTTCGCGAAGCATGGAACGGATGCGCGTGTTTTTCTTGCGGTTTGTGTTTTCGAGCGCTTCTAAGCGTGGCGTCTGGGTGATTTCTGGGCCCCGATATGCGTTGGGGTCTTTTTTCTTTATCGTTTTGGTTGTTTTTTCTGCGGAGTGAATTCGTTATGAGGCCATGACAAGCATAGTACGATCGAGTGAAGAGTTGAATTCAATGGATTGCCCGGGCACTTTGCTTATCGTCCCTATGTGAGATTGTGACCGTGTCGATCCCACGCGAGTCGTCGATGCCGTCGGTGTCCTCAAATTCAAGGCGTAATTAGGGACGAAGTCATGTAGGGTTGGCAACACCGAGGTATTCTCATTGTTTCGATGCACTAAGGGCAGGGTAGGCACTCATAAGAGGAGTTATATTTGAGCACTTTTGAAGTAATGGCAGAGTGTATGACTGTCCATCGGGTTTCTCAATGCGCCACTCCAGAAGGGGCCATGTCTATTCCTCTCTGAATGGGTTTGATTGAGGGTATATGGCAGCTGCTGGAAACCGGCCCTGATGAACAACTTCGTCTTCGTCTGCCGGATCTTACAACAGGTTTCTCAATAAAGACGCGTGAAAGACGTCCTTGGCTTCCCATCCTACCCCGTCTTCGACCTGGTGCAGTAGTGGGCTTACCCTAACGAGTCCCCATCTCCCTTGTCGATGGTTGCATTCTGTATAACGATGTAGTGAGTGATGGTGCTAGTGGTGCTTACACGAACAGTTGCCTTCCCTTTGTAGTTTCGTCGAGCTCGTTGAAGCACTGCCTAACTGTGCTGGTCGCCATCGCGGTGTTTTGCGTTTGGCACTAAACAAGTATCTCGGAGAGCAGGACGCGAAGAGGGGTTTTCTGTGAAGGGTGGCGAGAAGCTCCGGATGGAGAGGTTGAAGCGGATACTGTCATCAGCTGTGGGCAGTCGGTTTGAGGTGGTTCTTGCCCTTCATGTTGTTATCACCACCATCGTTTTGCGTGCTGGAAGTTTTTGTAGTACAAGGCTGGAGACGGAGTCTTTCTTGACATTCTTCTACCAGAGAAAAGCGGCTAAGCTGGTTCTGTCCCAAGACATCACAGTCTCTTGTGACAGCTGGGCCTATGCTAGTCAATATATCAAGCTAACGACCAGGGAGTGGATTGCTGGCATTCTAAAACATCTCTGCCTTCCTGATGAAATGCATTGTGCATATGCCAATCCAACAACTCATGCAGCTTGTCCACTGAATAATTGGCTCATAATTCAAGCTGTTTGCAGGGCCAGTGCTGAGCAATAAGACTACTTGGTAAAACGAAAGTATTGCTAGGTTCTCTAGCATCTGTATATACAGCATGCACAGGTTTTCTGCCCGGTGGGTCAAGGAGGTAACAGTTGTGGTTACTATCAATAGCCTAAATCTCCTCTCTCTCTCTCTCTCTCTCTCTCTATATATATATATATATACACATATATATATGTAAGAGTTTACCTATTCGGTCGTGCATCATTTCGGATACAAACTTGGCTAGACTTGCTTGTCAGTAAATATGTCGGTGGCCTTCCTCTCTGTGGTTAAGCAAACTGTACTGGAACGCGGGACTCGTACTGGATACTTTTCAGGTTAGACTAACCACAATTGTTAACGATCACTTACATAGATCAATACACAGTCCAAATAAGTAATGTTCTACTGGTAGTCCCAATCTCGAGCTATACTAAGTAGTGGTAGTCTTTGAGGAGTAACACTAGCCGGGGACTATCTGAGACACCTGGCAGTAAGTGACTTGCGCATAAGTCGATTAGTACAATAGATTCCTTGAAGAGAGTTTTGGAAGTGATTTTTGGGGCTAATGGTGCTCCCCCATAACCTTCAGATGATTTGAACTTTGGCCAGGCGGTTCATTGGACGCTTCTTGGACGTTTCTTGGCCTTTTAATTACTCCTGAGAAGCGAAATTTATCCCTAACTCAAGAAGGACCTGCCAATGTTTGCCAACACTTGCCAGCGTTTGCCAATGCTTGCCAATGCTTGCCAAGCGGTCGGCGGCGCAGTCGTGACGGGCGAGCATAATTAACCTGAATCTGGAAGGAGAAGGAATGGGGTTGCAAGGAAAGAAAGGCTAGCAGAATAGGCTTGCCCAGTAGGGATGAGCGGGACAGCAAGGGGTGACCCCTGCATCCTCTCCATGCCTCTTCCCCTGCCTGCCTGCCAAAGTCCTTTCTCACTCATTGTGAATTCTATGAGGCCAAGACGGTCCGCCTCACCAGTTGGTCCCATTTGGACGTCCTGCCTCAAAACTGTCCATTCATTTCACCACTTGTAATCCAACAGCATTCGTACCCGAATTTGGTGTTGTCATGGACCGTTATCTTTTAATTAGACTGCACTCAGCCATCCTTGGCACCGTATTCACAAAACCCACCACTTCTGCCCTTTTTTGCTTCTTTTCTGTTCCCCTCCTTTTCTTCTTCTTTCTTTGTAATCTCCGTCTACGCAAAAGGAGCGACATCAACCAAACACTTCCCACTGGGGTTCCGACGTCAAGAGCAACACACATCTCAGGCGTCATTCTCCCCAGCACTGGCAACTGACTTGACGGCTTTTGCGACCTGAACAACCAAACCCATCCCGAGCCTCGCGAACACAAACTTCACGATGGGCAAACTGTCTACCGCCGCCTTGGCGGCTCTGCTGCTTGCTAGTAATGCAAGCGCCCTCGACCCCATTGTCATGAAGGTATGCCACCAGCTCCGACTAGCTTCCAACAATGTTCCTGCCTTGCCGTCCTTCTCGTATTCTCTAACATTCCCTAGGGCTCGAAATTCTTTTACGAGAATGGCACCCAGTTCTTCATGAAAGGCATCGCCTACCAGCAGGACACCGCCGCCGCTGGTGGTGAATCCGTCACCGGCGAGTATAAAGACCCCTTGGCCGACGAGACAGCCTGCAGGCGCGATGTTCCTATTCTGGCCAAGGCCGGTACCAACACTATCCGCACCTACGCCATCGACCCCAAGAACGACCATAGCGCCTGCATGAAGCTCCTTAGCGATGCCGGTATCTATGTTGTCTCTGATCTGGGTGAGCCCAAGATGTCTGTCAACCGTGACGACCCTCAGTGGAACACTGACCTGTACGACCGCTACACCTCTGTGATCGACGCGCTCGCAAAATACGATAATACTATCGGTTTTTTCGCGGGCAACGAGGTCTCTAACAACAAGTCCAACACTGAAGCTTCTGCGTTTGTCAAGGCCGCCGTCCGTGACTCCAAGAAGCATATCAAGGACAAGGGATACCGCTGGCTGGGTGTCGGCTATGCTGCCAACGATGACGAGGACATTCGCGTCAACTCTGCCCATTATTTCAACTGCGGTAACCAAGATACCGCTATCGACTTCTGGGGCTATAACATCTACTCGTGGTGCGGCGAGAACGACCTTGTAGGCGCCGGCTACGATAAGCAAATCGACTTTTTCAAGAACTACTCTGTTCCTATCTTCTTTGCTGAGTACGGCTGCAACAAACCCAGCGGAGGCGACGGCCGCATCTTTGAGGAAACGACTGCTCTATATGAGAAGGAGATGACTGAGGTCTTCTCTGGCGGCATCGTGTACATGTTCCACCAGGAGGCCAACGACTACGGTATGCCTAACACTGCACAATTGTGTTCCTGGGCCCTGCGTTAACGTATATCTAGGTCTTGTGGAAATAAAAAACGGCCAGGCTAAGACGATGAAGAACTACGACCAGCTTGCGTCCCGCGTCCTGGCTGCCACGCCCTCTGCCGTACAGATGGACTCTTACGAACCGACCAATAGCCCCGCCGAGTGTCCAGGCACCACCTCCAACTGGGAGGTTCACGGTGACACCCTCCCTCCTGTTCCTGACAAGTCTCTCTGCGAATGCATGGTCAAGAGTCGTTCTTGTACTCCCAAGTCCGACCTAAAGGCCTCCGCTATTGGCGAAATTTTCGGCTTCATTTGCAGCAACTCACCAGCCTCCTGCGATGGAATCAAAACAAACACCACCACAGGCGTCTATGGCGCCTTCTCCATGTGCTCTGATGAGCAGAAGCTTGCCTTCGTTATGGACGCTTACTACAAGGCTCAGGATTCTTCCAGCAGTGCTTGTGATCACGACGGTCAAGCCGAAGTAGTCAGCCCCTCCAGCGACGACACCTGCAAGGCCGCCCTCGACTCTGCCAGCGACACCACCCCCTCGTCTTCCACCGCCAACCCCAGCTCCAGCTCTTCCGGCAACGCTGCCGCTGGCAGCCCCTCCCAGCCCATGTTCAACTTCGGAGGTTTCGCCATTGGTGCCTACGTGGTTGCCAGCGGTTGCGTTGGTGCAGCCATCCTAGCCTTGTAAATGGCGTCTGTAATGGGATTAAAATTGAAGAAAATAAGATGGCCGAAACGCAGGTGCTACATCTGATACTCGCGTGTAGGGTTCCCAGGTAGGAACCACGCGGCGTTCCGCGGATACAGTCTCGGCTCGACAGTGTGTAATCAGCATCAAACTCGCTTTCCTTTGTTCTACTGTAGATGTATACACCTAATATTTATCTTCTTCTAGTGCTGCTGTAAGAGCTGCTTCGTGAGTGAGGTCATGTAGCTAGTTCCAGAGCCAAAGCATCACATTGTAGCACTAACCATGTAAATGAGATGTTCCATTGACAACGTTGTCGATGGAGATGCTGGACTTTTGGCTTCCGCAGTTTGTGAGGGAATTTTGTTCGTGTCAGTTGCATGGGTAGGGTGCAGCTCTAAAAAAGGTAAACGCCCGCAAACCTGGGGCTGAGCCGTAGGGCCGCCATGTGGGACACAGCTCCTTCGGGTAACGAAAAATCGCCGATTTCCTTCGAGGACGTCTCAAAAGACAAGACAACATCGGCGCCAACGCAAGCCTCAAAAAGATGACAGGATTCCCACCAAATATCCCAGAGCTTAGGAAGTAGGTCTTCTATTCTTTCTGATGGCTGTTGGCAATATATTGTTGTTAGGAGTCGATAGAGGTCTGTTACAAACACTGCGGATTTTGTGTGTTAGTCACCCAAGGGAACCGGGTAGGGGGTGGATGGGAGACAGGGGGAAGGTCATCCCCGGGCGGGTACACCAACAAACTTATAACGGAAAAACAGTAGACTACTATGTATGTGCCCGACGACAGGTCAGTGCTTCACACGCACCAATGATCTGGTCCGCACACGGCATGGCCCCCTCCTCGTCTCGCCCAACATGGTCAGGGCATGCTGCTTGCTCCACCCGAGCAAGGGGGTGTTGCCAACCTTGCTCCAACGTCCAACAGCGCGCTCACCCCGTATCGCCAAGGAAATCAATAAGAAGCTACGTGTCCCAAAGAGATATTTTAGGCTTAACGTGTAAAGCCCGCAGCATAAACCGTGCCACAAGTACCTGCAGATTGAAATCGGGCTTTGTATGAGACTCGCGTAGGATAGGGCGGGGTGGTTCTCGGATCAAGCAGCGGGCTCACCGGATGAGGTGGGATAGCCCGAGTTCAAACTACTCAAACCACGGAGCGGGTTGAGAATCTCGCGACGGCCCAGGTGCGGAAGGCAGCAACTCAGAGTCGCGTTTGAACGCGCCATACCTCTGCAGGTACAGCCGGCTGATCCCTTAGACGCTATGATACCCTGGCACTTGCAGCTGAGTTGTGCTAATCATATACTGAAGCAAACCACCTCGGACGAGGCCGCAACCACCTTTGGCTCTCTATAGACGAGTTCTCCACACGAAAGATAGTCAGCGGGGTTGCTTTGCTGAAATGGGTTGGCATGCATGCCCAGGCCGCCATGACCACCACGTCCAGACCATTGACAGCCCCTTTTACTGTAGTCCGCATATACGGCGACTGAGATGGCCAAGGAGAACTCTTGCTTCCCCCAAGCTGACATGAGTGTAGTTCTACCAAGATCGTTGAAACTCGCACCAAATGGTCGAGAAATGAGAATGCAGGATTCTGTTTTTACACCTGATCTTGGTGAGATGAGGAGGGCTGCCAAGGTTCGTATAATTAAGTCGCCGACAGGTGTCAGAAGCGCCCAGACTAGCCGCCGAGGCATTCGATGTCGATTATTTCCTATTGGCTGTCTTGGCCAATTTCTTGATACACTGGTTCGCACCTTTGGAAATTACACACATTCCTGGGCACCATGCGACTGCGCCTCACTGGCACTCCAATGGATGTCTTCTCTTCAGCGATATTTTATGTTTCTCGGTGGCTAACAATCTCCAATCGTGTACAATAAGTAACGAACAAAAAGCTTCTTTCTTAGCAAACGCAGGTGCATACTATGTATGCTGCTGGATGTTGGGACTAGCATCGACCAGCCGTCGCGGGGAATGGAGTAGAGTCGCCAGCTGGCCACATACAAGCAAACCTATGGGAATCAACATCTATCAATATGCCAGTATCGTTGTATTCAATAGTTTGGCCAGAGATCCATTCGGCATGATGCCTTGACACCGGCTGGATTTTGCTCCGGTCACCGACACCTCTCAGTGGCTTTTCCAGACCAGAACTCGAGGCTAGTACACGCTAAAATGATTTGCATTCAGAAAGCAGGGTGTTCACGACCATGCAACCCTATGACTTTAGCACTTAGTGCTAGAGCCAGGTTGTTTCCGCATACAAGTAACGAAAACGCCTCCCGCACGAGCTGTTTCCCGCTTGTGTGTATTACCCGTCGTGATCTGCCCTCCTACAACTAACCTAATTAAGGTCTTCGTCCCTGGCCTGTTTGACGCATGTCATAGGGGACCCCACACTAGGCCACTGTAGTATTCTCCCACACTCCTCAACTCTTTGAACAAGGCGACCAACTAGAAGACTCCTACCATCTCTGTAACGGCAGTAGTTATGAATCAAAGTACCAGACCTACAGTTTCGGCATGTCCAACTATGTAGCAGTAGCAATTTTAAGGGCATCCAGGTTCTTCAAGAACTCCTACGCGATAATTCAAACCTCACCAGCAATAACGTTGCTCTGTATCACATAGCAAAACATCATTGTCAGTATGCGTCTTGATGGCAGCTGTGCAATGCGGGTTTGTAATTCGATTCCCTCCCCTGCAACCCGCACGAGCGAAAAATCGGCTTCTGAACAGCATGTTCCGCGAATTCCATATGCAAGATCTTCTACTTTAACAGAGAACGTTTGATTCTGCGTGACCCATTTTAGCATAGAATTCAAATGTTCTCATGTATTAGGAGAAGTGCTCAAAAGACCAGGCCGCCAGTTTTGTAGAACCGGTCCTCTTTTGAGAAGCCATCGTTAACAGCAAAATGAAAGCAGTTTGGATCACTGCTATCTCGGCTTCCGATTTGATATCCGGGGAGGTGTATGCCGTTGTTAGCTCATGCGGCTACGCGGCTCATCTGGTCTTACCATTAACTACATTAGCACGGAGTGAGGAGAAAGATATGTCGAAGGCGCATCCAAGTCATTGAGGGGCTGAATATGTGCATCGATTTTACGTGGTTATGATTCTATGCGGCAGGCATCACAGAACTAATTGTAGTATACGGAACGAAATCAAGTCAAAGAAAACTGACCCGGAGATGATCAATGTGACATCCTTTCAGTAGTAAAAAAGACATCATTGACTAATATCATAGTGCTACTATGGCATCTTCCAGCAGCTTAAGTTGGGTTCGGTTTATGCCCTTGACGTCACACACATCAGCCTTGGCGAACATTCCTGCGGCAATGATATCAATATATATTGATGTGTGGGAGCGGAAATGAACTATGCGTAAAGAGATAACTCGAAAAGAGTAATGCTGAAATTAGACGTATGATAAGACAAGACCAGGGGCGTGGTTTTACTCCGAAACGTCGAAATATACTGGATACAACGCGCCGTGTCTTTTGCTTGGTAGCAGATATCACTGGATATGTTTGTTAGGCCCGTCTGTCAATTCTGGGACACCTTCCCGCGTCGGACGGGCTTGCTTGTAGGCTGGGCTAACCAGCCACCAAGCCCTCACCTCGTGTCCCGCTCCTGCGACGGGGTGGCGTCGGGGGAAATGTCGACTGGCGTCCGTAGCGCCGCATAAGTCTAGCAAATCACAATCTGGGGGCGCAGACAATTAATTTATGCAACTTGGATTTCTTTCTTCCGTTATTCCCTCCAAGCGAACCCCATTCGATCTATATTGCAAGAAAAAGAAAAACATCCAAGACATGTCTGTCTCATTAAATCCTGATCTTACTCAGAGGATGAAAAATAACACACGGGATTCCTTAATGCAGGGCAGGACGGGAAAAAATAGACAAACGCCCCCCAGGTGCCAAATCCCCAACCGGACGCCCCCTCCCGGACATTGTTTGGCTTCAACACTGTCGGGGCATTACACACTAGACGATCCATCTCGTAGCCTATTGAGAAGATGGTGATGATTTTTTGTAACGTGACGAAGAGGATCGTGAACAATCAACTGGATAGTTCGGTGTTATCGGGGCCCACCACCTCAAGGCGCTTGCTCGTTGTTGTCGTCATGCGGCTGCAGCGGGTGCGTCTCCGTCGGCGAAGAGAGCGGTTCATCGATGTCTACGAACGCCGCCGCCGTAGCCGCCGCCTCGCGGAGGTCGCTGCGCGCCGAGAACCGCCTAATAGATCTTGTCGACGCGTCAGAGTACCGCCTCGTCATGTTTCTTTCGCTGCTTGAGACCTTGCGCTCTGGCGTCGTCGGCGCCGTCGCGGGGGCAGGAGGCGTGCTGGGAGAAGAGTCTTCCTTGGGAGTGTAGTAGTCCTTGTCCTTGGGAGAAGGCTCCTGGCTCGAAGACGGCTCGCCTCGGAGCGTCATCGCGTTGGACCATCGCTCCGTGTTAGGACGCGAAGGCTTGAGCAAGAAGGATCGCCTCTCGGGGAGCTCCTTCAAGGGGAACGGGCTGTCAAGGAGCATGTTCTTTTGAGCGATGTGCTCGTCTTCGTAGCGGGATGACGAAGTCGACAAAGGCTCCATAGGCGTGATCTCGTCGATATCCGCAACCATGGGGGTGGCGAAGCTTGAAATGCGCTTGTCGTGACCTTCACGGGGGTGGGCTCCTTGATCGTCATTGCGGAAGACCATCTCTCACTGCCACGCTTCTTGGTGTCCTTGCCGCCCACCTTTTCGTTCATGTTGTCATCGCCACCGGCGTCCTTAAGCGTCATGGCCGAAGACCAACGCTCGCTGTTGTGTCGGAAGCTGGGCGGGATCAAGGGCACGGGCTCAATAGTGTCGTCTTCCATGATCCTCTTGCCGGCCGTCTTCTCGCTGGATGAGGAGCCCGCGATGGAGGCGTCCTTGCTGGCCGTCTTCTTGAGGATGTCGTCCTTGCTGACAGCCTTTTCGCTGGCGGACTCGCCCTCGAGTCTGAGCGTGAGATATGTGACGCCCGACGGGTAGTAGCCCTCCTCGATGGCGCGCGTGAGATCGTACCGAGCCTGGTCGCTGATCGACCTGGTGAGACGCAGCTTCTTGATGTTCTCGCCGTCGACGGTCTCATCCCACGTCTTCTGGAACATGAGTGCGAGCTCGTTAACAAAGAGGAGAAAGTAAAAGCCAGCAATGACGGCCAAGTCTGAGACCTGATGGGTCGTCGGGTAGTCGGTATTCATCCGCCTGAACTCCGGGCTGCGCATACTGGAACGCTGAATCGTAAGTATCTTGATGATGGTGACGGCAATGCTCATGATCCAAAAGATCACGTTGGCCGGCTGCCAGTTGCGAACCCGACCCTTGGCGCCGCGGGTGGCCTGCATGACTGCGCATAAGCCGCAGCCCGCAAAGACGAAGGGGAGTAGACCGATGGCGTAGCGGAGCTGCGCCAGTCGTGCGATTTCGAGAATCTCCATGAGGAAGACGACGAGGATCGAGAAGTAGTAGGCCGACAGCTGGGCGTGTCTCTGCCATTCCTTCTTAACGGCATACCGCTTAATCTTGTCGACGATGATAACTGGCACGACGAAGTGGAAAAGGGCAAAGGTGACGACGATACGAATCCACGCCGGTAAGGGGATGATAATTGTGTCGAAGAAGCACGTCGACGGCAGAGGGCTGAACCTTGAGTGGACCGTCTAGACGGAAGTGTGAGCAGCAACATCGCGATATGCCAGTCAAGGCCAATGGAAATGGGAAGACTCACCAACCCTTCAGGGCGCATACCACACAACCTCTGCATGATGGCTACTTACAGCGAGAGAGAGAGGCAGGGGTGTTTCGGTTGGGGGCCTGGCAGCAGCTCTGGAACGACGAGAAACACGACGGGAAACAGGACAAGAGTTCGTCTCGAAAGGGAGACAGCTGCGGCATAACTTTATCTTAATATCATCAATGCCGTGCCGACAACACGTCGGAGGCGGGCGCCCCTCCTGCTCCATCGAGGTTGGTCCAAAGGTTGGGTGGACTCAGGCGCCCTCTGGCGTCTCTGTGCTGCAGCTCTTGGGGCATCTTCTGCTGGCGTACGCTCGGGGCTTTGCAGAAGGGGCGTTTCATTGTTGTCACACTGGTGACGACGAGTATATTTCGAGAGCTGTGCAGCAGGAGAAAGGTCGAGCGGCAGGGCCGCTTGCGGTGCATGATTGGTTGGGCGAGGGAGAGACACAGGGCAGGGAGTCAGAGTCCGATGGGGGAAGTCCATTCTAGAATTGCGATGGTCAGCATCTGGTGCTGGACGCTCCTGCACGGCAGCGCCGCCCAAATTGCATGTTGACAAAGTGCGGCAGTCTCTGTCTGTGAAAGGATGAGGCTAGACCCACGGCCCCTTGGTACGAGGGAGTCAGGGAGTGCCGAGCGGTGCTGCTTTAGCCCCATAGTGTAAGCCGTTAGGCCAGCGTAGATCCCGCTAGCACCGTGACGGTAGCAGAGACGGACCCGACGGCTGGAAGAGTGGTTTTCCAACGCTGGTGACCCAGGACACGTGCGTCCTGCAGACAGAGGAAGAGAAAGTGGCTGGCATTGTAGGTCGGTTAGCAAGCTGTCCGGCCGCCTGACCTCTCTCTTTCTCTTTTTCTCTCTCCAGTCAAACCAACCCCTCGGATGTGTTGGTTGCTATGCTGTGTTGGGGGCCCGACTAGACCTCCGACTAGAGTATGTTTCCCCTGCGGCGGCGGGAAACTGATCAGAGCCGTCTGCACGCTCGGCCCGCAGGGAGAGGCACCGTAAGATTGAGCTGGACGGAGTGTTGCTATAAATTGCTCTTTGACCGGCTGCTGCCATGCGATGAACTCTCACCGCGGTGCGAAGCGTATCTCAACCTGAGCCGCCGCGTTTGACCACTTGGTTTCCACGGTTTCCTTGCTTATTTGTTTGGGCGCCACAAAACATGTAATCGTCATGTCGGCTGATTTTTTTTTTTGTTTTTTCCGTCTGCTTCAGAGATGGGCCTGGAACAGGAGCTGAGGTGTTCCCGAACCGGTCGGTCTAGCTCCTCGTCGAGTGGCTCACTGTGGCCATAGCTCCTTCTACCAAAGGTCCGAGGAACATTTATGCAGGTCGTGAGCCGCTCATGATGGAGAGGAATCTGAATCAGGCGCACGATCTAGAAGGACGGGGAGGCGTCAACATGACATACGTCAGCAGCGTCGGGCGATGCGGGAATAGCCTCAAGAGCGGTGGGACGCAGAATTATCATGAGGATGGGATGGAGGAGAGAGAGAGAGAGAGAGAGAGAAGGAAGCAGGAGTTCGGGCGGTCGATTGAAAGAGAGCGATGAACCAAACTCTGTTGTGGATTGGAATTCAGACAACGGGCGACTGGAGATGCGGGACGGTAAAACAGGGGGGCCATCAAGAGGTGGAGGGGTGGAAACATGAGCGGTGGCACCCCGAGGAGCCTCTTTCCCTAGGTATTTCCCTCTTTCCTGCTCTGGCCTCGGCTGTCGGAGCAGGTCCGCCGCATGTGTCAGCAACGGAGGATGACTTTTTGCACGTGAGCGGATCACGACCCCAGCAGTTGCAATTCTGCCATCAGGAAAGGGTAGATAGGCGAGGTTGACAGGAGGACAATCGAGACAAAAGAAGCCGTGTACCCGTGTCGGGCGTGCTTACTGGTGTTGCTGCGAGAGTGGATTGCGGTGGCTCTCTCTGGTTGTGTTCGAGTCAAAGGCTTGCAGGATATAATTGGAGAGTGACAATCTCGACACTGAGACGTGGATCGGGTTTCTTCATCGGGAGGTTAAGCCCGTCGGTTGGATCTAGAGAATGGTCCCCGAATCATCGTCGGACTCGCCCTGCTGTCCCCCTGCTCGGGTTCGAGCGCGCCGACGCTGGCATGGTGCTGATCTTTCTGTCATGTGATTATTCAGCATTCAGTCAGTCAGGCAGGCGTTGTGCGTAGACGAGTATAGCATTGTTGAGCGTTGGGAATGAAATTGTTGGAGGATGGCAGGCGATGTAGTAGTCAGCATCAGCAGGCCAGGAGGTCTTCTGCGAAGCGTCCCAGGCTTGGTTGTTGAGAGGAATGGGCAGTGCTGTCCTGGTGACACAAGACTGCCAGGGGGCTTTTGGTTTGACCACACATCAACTATGTAACCACCTACCAAGTTTGCGGTGGGCAGAGAGATCTCGCATCTCGCCCAAGCGGTGCCAAGATCACCAAATCAGGCCCCCGTCCGCCCCTCTTTTTATCCGTACACTAGTGGTTACTTGGCTTGTAGATTTGGAAACTGGTCGCTGGCTGGCGGCCGCAGATGGTCCACTGGAAAGCTGCCATTTCTCATGCTTGAAAAGCTGTTGACCCCCGTGAGGCCGAGGTAAGTTGAAGTCGTGGACATGGTGGTCGGTTGCAAGAGGCAAGCATTAGTCGTGGAGGTCGCATGGGCTGGCTGCGCTGTACATACTGTATAAAGGCGTCCTCCATACATATCGCCACATTACATTCTCCAACAGATGCAGGTCACCCGTCAGGGTTGAGACGGAGACGGGCTTTTAAGTTGGCGACGAACTGCGTAGGCGTCCATACCTAAACCCGGGGTTGACGCGTTCCGTCGTCAGTGAGTCCAGCAGGTAGCTGCAGCCAAGGGCGACAGTAGCGTATCGTGTACTTTGAGGCTGATGCCAATCGAGCTGGTTTGGGATGTGTTCTCCTACCGAAACACATGTATCTCCTGTCACACCTTGCAGGAAGCTACTCTTGGTGGCCTGGCATTCCGCGTGCCAAAGCTCCGAAGCTGGGAAAGCCTCTTTTAGCAGCTAGGTACTACATACTAGGGTAGGTATCAGCGGGAGCCAGCTCCGAGGGCCCCCTCCCCCCTACCAGAGTACAATGTACACTAACATGGAAGCCAGCGGCCTTCGTAGCAGAGAGCCCAGAGGAGGGCCCACGTAACACGTACCAGCCAGTGGCGGATCGACCTGCCCCTGCCCGCCCGCCTGTCTACCTTGCAGGCCTGCAGCAGTGCAGCGTTCCAGCTCACAACCGTGACGCAATTAAAGTCCTGTCGCCCTCTTCACAGCTTGGCTTTGCGCTCTTGCCCGCAACACGTAGCTCCTCGAAACCTAGACACCAGAGCAACTCCAAGCTCTCCCTCGTCAAGTCTCGCAACTCGGCACACGTTGCAAACGCTGCGACCGTCAACTCTCTATCCCGTCGCTCGACAATTCCTACATTGCCATCTTTACGAGCCCTCGCTTGCCTGGAAATCCTGTAGCTTGAACCCTCCCCTTCCTCGCTCTACCCGTCAATCTCGTGTCCGTTCCTCACCTCAGTCCTCAAAGGCTCAACGGCCGTGAACTCTCCCACCATTCCGTCCATCATCACCGCCGCACTCGTCCTTTTGGCTGCCATCCTCACCGGCCTGTTTCTCGCAAAGTCTCCCGCAAACCCTGCCGTCGCCGCCAAAATGGACTGGACCAAGGGTATTATGCCCCTGCACCCGGTGCACAAACCTCCCTACACCGTCGAGTCGCCTGGCTACGAACGCGTCGAGGGCGAGACCCTCCCTCGCCGCCATTGGAAAGCCAAGGACGGCCTGCGAACTCAACCCCATCCCGACGTTCGCACAGTCTACGACATCGTCAAGCGGAGCGCCCAGGTTTACCCTAACGAACCCGCCGTGGGCACCCGGAAGCTCGTGCGCCTTCACAAGGAGAAGAAGAAGGTGCCCAAGAACGTTGATGGAGAGGTCATAGAGGTTGAGAAGGAGTGGCAGTTCTTCGAACTGTCCAGATACTCCTACATGACCTACGCCGACCTCCTCACCTACATCAACCAGATTGGCTCAGGCCTGCGCAAACTGGGTCTGAGCGAAGGCAGCAGAGTCCATCTGTTTGCGACCACCACGTACGTCCGAGAGCACAACCCTCCCCTATCCTCCCGTGTCCCGAGCACTCCGCGAAGGGAATCTAGGCTCGCCAAGAAGCTAACCCAACCTTCTGGAACCTAGTGCCAATTGGATGGCCATGTCCCACGCCTGTGGTTCGCAGTCCATCTCTATTGTTACCGCCTACGATACCCTCGGCGCCAGCGGCGTCGAGCACTCGCTGCTCCAGTCTAATGCTGAGGCCATGTACATCGACCCCCAGCTCCTCAAGACGGCAAGCGGAGCTCTGAAGAAAGCTGAGAATGTCAAGTTCGTCGTCTACAACAACAACTCCCTCTTTTCCGATGGCACCGAGGTCGATGCTTTCAGGAAGGCGAACCCCGACATCAAGCTTGTTAGCATTGAGGAGGTGCGCGCATTAGGCGAGGAGAACCCCGTCGAGACCGTCGAGGCCAAGCCTGAGGACCTATTCTGCATCATGTACACCTCCGGTTCCACTGGGCCGCCAAAGGGTGTACCCATGACCCACGGAGGTACTGTGGCGGCGAGTAAGTCATCCTTCCTCTGCTTCGAGAAACCGCCAGAAGCTAATCGTGCACAGTTACCGGCCTCTACACCTGCGTCGAGGAATGTGTCAGCCACAGGGAGTACGTCCTGGCATACCTGCCCTTGGCTCACATCTTTGAGCTCGTCCTCGAGAACCTTGTCCTATTCGCCGGCGGCACTCTGGGCTATGGCAACCCTAGAACGCTTTCCGACGCGTCGGTCAAGAACTGCGCTGGTGACATGCGCGAGTTCCGGCCGACGGCCCTGGTCGGTGTGCCGCAAGTCTGGGAGACGGTGAAGAAGGGCATCATGGCCAAGGTCAACAGCTCTGGTCCTCTCATCAAGGCCCTCTTCTGGGGTGCATTCAACTACAAGACCTTCATGGTCAAGTATGGACTCCCAGGCGCAACCCTCTTGGACAACATCGTCTTCAAGAAGGTGCGCGACATGACGGGTGGCCGTCTTCGCTTCATTATGAACGGTGCGAGCGGCATCTCGGACGGGACGAAGCACTTCCTCTCCATGACCGTTGCGCCCATGTTGACAGGCTACGGTCTGACTGAGACGGCCGCCAACGGCGCCCTTGGCGACCCTTTGGAGTACACATCTACCGCCATTGGTTCCATCCCTGCTGCCGTTGACCTCAAGCTCGTCTCCATTCCGGATCTGAACTACTACGCGGACGCGAACCCGCCCCAGGGTGAAATCTGGATCAAGGGACCCCCTGTGCTGAAAGAGTACTACAAGAACCCGGAGGAGACAGAGAAGGCCATTACCAAGGACGGATGGTTCAAGACGGGTGATATTGGCGAATTCGATGCTGTCGGTCACGTGCGCGTAATCGACCGCGTCAAGAACCTTGTCAAGATGCAGGGCGGAGAGTACATTGCCCTCGAGAAGCTGGAAACCGTCTACCGCGGCAGCCCCTACATCGCTAACCTCATGGTCTACGGCGACGGCGAGCACTCTCGTGCCATTGCCGTCATCGCCCCCAACGAAAAGGTTCTCGCTGAAGAGGCGAAGAAGCTTGGTGTTGATGAGCACAACATGCACACCGATAAGAAAGTCATTGATCTTGTACACAAGGACCTCGTATCACTCGGCAAGAAAGCTGGTCTGACAGGCCTCGAGATCATCGGCGGTGTCGTTCTGACCGAGGAGGAGTGGACCCCGGACAGTGTAAGTGGCCCTACCAGCGGCAAGCCCGAAACAGGAACTCAGACTGACATTGCATACAGGGCCTCGTTACTGCCACCCAAAAGGTCAACAGGAGAGTCATCAGGGAAAAGTACAAGGCGCAGATGGAAAAGGCTTTCAGTGAGTGATCGGGGAGGGAATGAGACGTTGTTGAAGGAAATCATTTTCCCCATCACACACCGAGACAGCCGATATCTTGTTCCAAGCTTTCCCCTTCAACAAGACCGCCAAAATCGAGTAATGGCAGAAAAGCGGGGCTGAAGGGAGGGGATGGAAGGGACGAGAACTTTGCTTTGCTCAACAGGGATTGCGACACATTATTGTCTTTGTAGCACTGAATGATCTGTCATGATGTACACTATTACCCAGTCTGGATTACCAAAAACTCGACTTGCTTAACCATCCCTGTATCGGTTACCCCATTCGTGGGGTGAGTGTAGCCTCAAGGGACAATACAATGATTGACGTGATGGGCTCGCTCAAGCTCTGGCACTCGGCGTGCCATGCATGGATGGAGGGCCTCTGCAACTGAGCTTTTGCTCCGCCGAGATGGGTGTCCCGTCCACACACAACTTCACCAGCGTTCTCCCGTCATCCTTCACTTTCACTCACGTTTAAAAGAAGGCACATACATGGCAGGGTCATCTTCAAGTACGATCCAGTGTTTTATTCCATTTTTTGGTTTGAATATGTGTGTGTCATTTTGTTCGGCGCAAGAGCGATATACCTCCGTCGTGTCTACGCTCGACAACGCAATATATATGCCGCTGCTGCCAAATACCGTCTCCTGTTCCATCTACCATTGCAGAGGCTCTACATGTGGCTCGTCTGCCCAGTCGGAAGTGAGTCCCCACAGCTGCTGTCGGAACCGACAGTGGGATGTCTCCTCTGTCGTCCGAGTATCGCGTCCGAACTCCTAGTCCCGGGGCGCACGGGAGCTGAGTCCCTCTTTGACGGCCTCCAGGATCAAGTCCTTGGCCTTCTCGACGCCGTCGGCGGTGCCGATGACCTCGATGGCATCCTCCTTGTCGTCGTTGCGGGGCACGTTGATCTTGCAACCGCTCTGCTTACGGATGGAGTTGACCTTGCTGCCGCCCTGGCCGATGACGTAGCGGTACGTCTTGGGGTCAGGCAGGACCAGGTAGCCCGTGTGGGTGTTCTTGCGGGCCTGCTCGATGGCTGAAGCGATGGCAGCCTTGGCCTTCTCGATGTTCTCGGGAGAGCCACGGAGAACCCAGGCGATATCGCCGTCCTCGCCAGCGGCGCTGTCCACAACCTTCCAGGAGTGGACATCGGCAGTGGCATCATCGTCGTCGGTAATCAAGGGCAGAGCACCGCCGTTGCTGCGGCTGGCACTGGGCTTGGGAGGCACGCTCTGGCCAGCGTGGTCGACGGAGATCTGGTGGTTGTTGCGGAGCTGGCGGAAGAACTGGCCGTTGTTGGAGATGGAGTGGTGCAGGCTGCGGGGAACCTGGAGGGTCTCTCCCTCCTGCTCCTTTACAAGCGAGGCAATGTGCTCCTTGGCTTTCTCAACGTTCTCGGGGCGACCGGTGATCTTGACGCCGGTCTTGCCGTCGCCCTGGCGGGGGATGTCGATCGAGACAGTAAACTGGGACTCGAGTTGTCGCTTGGCATCTCCACCACGGCCGATCAGGGTTCTGTGCTTCTCGGTGGGGACGTCCAGAACCTCGGTGACTTGGCTCTCCTTCTCTGCGACGATCTCTTCGATCCTTGCGCAGATCTTGTTGACAATGTCAGAACGACCCTCAACCTTGATCGTGTTGCCATCAGCCTCCTGCTTGGGGAATTGGATGGTACGGGCAAGCTCGCGGCGGTCATCGGATCCACCAGCCTTGACAACCAGGTCACGGAGGTTGGCACCTGCCACGTGTTAGTTTGAGCTGAGCGAATTGGGATGCCAATGATCTTACCTCCAGAACCGATAAGAGACTTGTGGTGCTTCTTATCCACCTCAATGGTTCTCACAATGGTATCGTTGAAAACATCTCTCTTCTCCTCGAGAGCCTTCTTGGCAGCCGCCACCTGAGACTTGGTACCCTTAATCTGGATCTCGACAGTGTCGGCGTCGCGGCCGCTAGGAATGTCAATCTTAGCGCCGGAAGAAATGCGAAGCTCCTCCAAGGCAGCACCGCCCTGTCCAATAATCGACGGGACCTGCTTCTGCTGCACAGAGACAGTCGCCGTAAAAGAATTGTCCTTCAGGTACTGGAGGAGAGACAAGATCTCGTCGCGAGCCTCATCCGCTCCCTTCTTGGGACCGCGGACGATAACTTCGTCGGGCTCCTGCTGACGCTTGGGTTTGCCGGCATCGCTGGCAGCGTCGGCGTTTGCATCGTCGTCCTTGGGAGCCTTGCCGGATCGCGGGAAGAAGATCAAGACCTTGTACTTGCTCTGCAGGCGGTTTGTGACGCTTCCTCCTGCACCGATGAGCTCGCGGTGGAACTTGGGGTCGACCTTGAGGATGTGAGTGACCTCATCGGCCAGAGTGCGGCCGAGGGAACTGATGTGCGCCTTGGCTGCCTCGGCCTTAGCCTTGGGGCCCTTGAGCTCGACCTTTCCGTCCTGCACCTGAATCTCGACGTCGAAGCGGTCACGGAGCTCCTTGATGTTCGAGCCACCCTTACCAATGAGGTGATTGGCGAACTTCTGGGGGAAGTCGAATGACATGGTAAAACCACGCTCCTTCTCATCCTCCTTCTCTTGCTCAACGAACTCAATGACCTTGGTCTCGAGCTTCTTGACGGCGGAGGCAGGACCACGGAGAGTAACGACAGTGCCAACCGAGGATACGCGGATGGGGATCTGGTCATCGGGCCGGTTGGCCTGCTCCTTCTTGATGAAGCGGCGAAGGCGCTCGTGGAACCTACCAAAGTCAGCATGATACACTCTTACAACGGGCTCAAGACAACAACTTACTTCTGGGGCACGTCAATGGAGGCAGAGGCGATCTGCTCTTGCTTGTTGATGATGTCCAAGATCTGCTTGCGCGCATCCTCCAGGCCCTCCTGGAAAGCACGGATCTCGTCCTGGGAGGGCGGCCGGTCTTAATCTCAGGCTTGGGCTCGGGAGCAGAAGGGCCCTCGAAGACCAACAGAACAGGGGCGTCAGGCTCACCAGCCTCGGGGAGGATGACGTGGACGCCGTGGTTGTTCCTCATGCGAGGGCTGACATCCTTGATGAGGTAGTTGTGGTAGAAGGGGTCAACGGGAATGGGGGCAATTCTAGCAGGAGGAATAGCGTGGACAAGCTTCTCGATGGCCGATTGAGCCTGGAGAACACTCTTGCCATCACGCGCATACAACTCGTATGGGGAGGCGCCGTTGGCGGAGAAGGGAGTGTTGATGTGAGTGCTGTGGGCTCTCTCAATCTCGTCGAACAGATCACGGTGACGCAGGTAACGGGTGACATTGCGGGCATGAGTGTTGACACCGCCGGGGGCGTTCTTGTGGAACCGGCCGATGTCGAAAGTGGAGAATTGCATGTTCATGGCTCTGTCCATGGCAGTCTCGACACCCTTGCTCAGCTGAGCGGTAGGGCCAATGACGGTAACAGAGTCATCGTCCTCGTCCGTTGGCAAGAGGATGGTGCAACCAGTCTGGTTGAAGAAGTCATCCAGAGACTCGCCGCGGCGGCCTGCGATGAACTGGTGGCGACCCTTCTGCAGACTAAACTGGTCGATGGCGAGCTGGTTCTGCAGCTCCTGCACACGACGCTCGATCTCGGCACGCGCAGCTTGGACGGCAGCACGGTCACCAGCTAGCTGGATGTGGTTGTCGGCAGCGGGGACGAACACGGGGCGCTCACCCTCGCCAGCAGCGAGGTTGCGGCCACGAGGAGCCCAGATTTGGTGGGGAGGGACGCGAACCTGAACACCGTTGTTCTCGTACTGGCTGACATGGCTGTTTCCAGGACCCGCAATAAAGGGGTAGAACTCAGCAGGGATGCCGCGCAGCTTGGTGTTGACGTTGGCTGCACGTTCGCCAGCAATCTTCAGAATCTCGTTGCGAGCCGAGGCAGCGGAGAGAGCGTTGCCCTCGACGAGAACATCGATGGTGGAGTCGTCATCCTCGTCGACAGGGGCACTACCCTCCTCCACCTTAGGAAGCTGGACGCGAGCACCGGACTTCTCTTGAATAGCCTTGATGACAGAGCCACCCTTTCCAATGATGTGGGCACGGGCGGACTGGGGGATCGGGACCTTGATAGTAGTCTAAAAGAAAGAAAACAATGTCAGCGTGGCTGCCGAGCTTGGTGGCGTCGTTGGTCTCCTACCTTGGTGCCAATCTGCTGGACGAGGTCCTTCAGGGCCTGCTGAGCAACGTCCTGAGGGCCAGTCGCATCAAACTTCAGTCTTCCATTGGTAGCGGTAGACAGAGTGATGTTGGCACGCGACTTGCGGTTGATGTCCTTCATGATGTCCGGGATGGGGCGCTTCAGCTGGCCACGCGGGAGGATAAACTGAGGCTCCAGTACAACCGTCTCGACGTTGCGACCAGGGATCGACATGGAAGGAGGGCCATTCTTCGGGGTGGCAGCTCCCGAAGCGGGAGTCGAGGAGCGGGAAAGACCGTTGGCGGGGGTGGAAACGTTGCTCTTGGCTCCCCAGATGGGGCGGCGTTGGTCTTGGACTTGGGGCCACCGGCTCCGAGCTCAGGGAAAAGATCATGGGACTGAGGGTCGAACTTCTTGCCAGGAGCAGAGGTTTCCTTCTGCTTGCCCGCAGCCTTGGTGGAGATAGGGTCGGCCCAGGTCGCCGAGTCGCCAGACTTCAAGGGGAGGTCCTCATCAGGGACATCTTCGACAGTGGGGTGGTGGTCGACATGAGTCTGAAGAAGCTTCTGAGCAGCCGAGGGCTCAGCACCGTTGGAGGTTGTAGGATCGACAGAAGCCATTGTATAGCGTGACGACCAGTGTAGTCGTCGATGGGATGCGATAGAATCGTGGGAGTATTCGGAGAGCGTTTCGGTATATCTGAAAGGGGTAGCCACGATTAGCTGTGCGTGTAGCGACAACGGAGGGTACGATGCGAATGCGTGCATAAAACTCGAGCCAGGGGAAGGAACTTACAACTAACGATATATACGGCAATTGGGGACAAGACCAGTAGAATCAGACTTCCGATGAAAGAAGGCTGAAGCGCGAGAAACCGTTGAGCAGCAGATGAACCGATGGAGAGGATGGACTTTGTTGCTGGCTTAGAACATTGTGACCCGGAGCGGCAACAATGATCGAATCCAGGTGAGGTTGAATCGCGATAGAGGAATTGGCAGAGTAGACGAGCCAACCAATTGATGGTCCGAAAGGATGGGGGAGATGGGAGAAGGGCGTTGAGATGGGATGGGGTTTGAAGGGGAATAAGGGTGAGGTGGAAGTTTCTCGACTCCACGACGATGGTCGAGCTGTTCAATTGGAATGGAATTTCTGGCGGGCAGGGATTCTACTTCCAGATAGGTTCCGTCTGGCCAGCGGTGCGCTGCCAGCACCATCAGCTTCTCCACTTTGCGTGACCCCACACTTGAACTCAGCCACAACCTAAAGTGTTAAGGCGCGGGCCAGCCGTTGCGCCTGGAAGGACCAGCCCCAATTGCAGCTCCCGTCATTGGACGAGCTCCGGGAGACAGCTCCGGCATCACGTGGGGCGCGCCGGTTCGACGTGGCCCGGTGTGTGTCCCGGGCCTAAACTCAACCGATCCTCGGACGCCTAGGTCTCACTCAGCCGGCCCCGGAATCTGGGGCTGCAGCCGAGTCGAGGATGCTCAAGGAACTGGAGGTGTGTGCGTTCCCTGAATGGATCTGCCAGGAAGGGGTCTCGAACAATGTGATGCTCTCGTACTGGGGTTGAGTCTAGGCCTTTTGCGGCTGATCAATATCCGTGGGCTCAATAGTGAAATTTTGTAAAGTATAGGGATGCAGCAGGACAATTTGAGGTTCATGTGTTTGAGAGAGTAAAATATGTATTCAAGGGTGATCATCCATTTGAAGTCGTCTTCGTCGCGCAGTCTGCGTCGCTGCGCGTCGGATCGGAGTCTCAAAAACTGTCAGCTGCGTGCAGCCGTTCAGTAAGGTAAAGGCCTCTCCATACAGGCGCGAATATGGTTCATGACGTTTATAAATCTCGGATCTTTCGACACAACCAAATCTACCATGCCATGTAGCCTTGTGGATGTTTCCGTGATCTGATGTCTCGGGCTTACTTAACGGCCGGTCCTTCCACCTGCTGGGTGGATTGAACAAGCAACACCGCAGCTACACAGCTGAAGGACAGAGACATCCTGGTTCCAAGGAACAATCCATGGAGCATTGCCTATTGAAACATTCAAAGTTTGAGCAAAATCGTCATTATCATTTCCGTACATTGCACAAAAGAGGCACAGTACGTGCCAACGAGGACCTCCGCTTACTCCTGAAACCAAGCTGCATGCAACCACCCGATCATTCAGATCTGGGAAATCAACTTGTTGAGCACTCAAACCGAACCTCGTTAGACTTGATACTGGCCAGGTCGTTGAAGCCCAGATTACCCTAGTCCCATCGGCCCTGGTAACCTAAGAGCCGTCAGCGCATGATGTTTGACTACTGGACTCAGCGGGAGTCAGGTCGAGACTTCGGTATTGAAAGCTTCTGATAGCACTTTGAGAGAACAACCAAGTCCGTTGTGCTCGCATTGAAGCACGTGAAGATGGCACTGATATTGCAACCGCGGGAAATGGCTTAGCCAGCTAGACTCGAGCAAAGTCATTCGATCTAAGATCGAAGGTGGAATGTTCTCAGCTGTCCCGAAAACTTGCTGCCAAAGGTGGCGGACACAGGGGTTGAGTGGCTTCATGTCAAGACATCCTGCATTCTGAAGAAAAGAAAAGAAATAGCAAGGGAGCGTTTAATTTGTCTTTGCAACAAACAAGCATACCGCAGATGTGCGACATAATCAAACATTAGCAACAGGGAGAGACATGCCGCGATTGGGAATCGGCAGGTAATGAGCCTGTGTCGGGCGCAGACTAATCGCATGATGCCATCCATAACCCAGACTCGTCCACGTTCGACGCGCAAAGGAGTCGAGGAAGCGATGCGATCCAGGGCGGGGTCGTCGTGCGCCCCCTTCTTGCAAACAAGTAGATAAAGTAAGCTTCAGATAGACTCAGTGTCCCCATTTTACTAAGAATTGGATAAAGGTGAAATTAGATCCCTCTACGCATTTAAGTTTTGAGTTTTGAGTTTTTGGTTCCGGCAAAGCGTAGATGCGCGTACCCAAGGGTCCATAGAACCCTATCTGTGTTTGACAACAATATCTCATGAAGTCATCGATGCGCATGGCAGAGACAAACACCTAGGACGTTGTTAGCGCTAGGTTTTAGCTATTTGTCTACGTAGATTGGCAGAAGAAGCCCGCTGGCACCGTAAATGAGCTTAACGACTTGATTAAGACATGCCGCTGAGACAGTGACTTGTACCCAGCCTATTCGCCGTAGCAGTTCGACCAAAGCTGTCTTAAGCTCTTGTGATCGTGTAGCAAATAGGATGACGCATGAACTGTAGGGTCTGTCAAACAAATTTGCGGGGTGTTCTGGGAATGGGATTTGGGCGAAGCTACGGCGGCAGAAAGCTGCAAAATCCTTGCCTGGTAGGCACAGTGACGCGTCGGTGTTTTCGGCGCAAGCATCATCCTGATACGAGGATGTTGAATAAGGCATGTAATGTCGTGATGACACGATATCAACTCCATGAGGCTCTAGTGACAGCCTCAAGACAAGGAAAACGGCCGCGATCTCATCAAAACTAGTAGTAATCTGACGAGCGACCTCAATCCGACCAAGGCGGATGGGCCGGTGAAATCCCGATACAAGGTTGGAGGTAAATGAAGCGCAGGTAACACCGATGTAAATAATTGACGAGGCTGAACAAATCCACTGCGCCGGTCGTATCAGGAATGCTTTCCATCTAGTGGCAGTGCAGAAACTTGGACGCAGGAGCGGGTGAGCTGGGCGCGGTGATGTCCCCAAACGAGCAACAATGATGACATAGGCGCGCAGTTCCTTGGTAGCATCCCCGTCTCGTCGCCGCTAAGCACGGAAACGGGACCTAGTTATATTGGTGTAACGGCTTTGCTTGATGCGGTGGGAAGAAGGGGAAAAGGTCTGGCGCCACTGCTGATGGTTGTTGGTTCCGCCCCATCCAAGTTATGCCTTCCATTGAACCATGGGCCGCAGTGTCGCAGGTGCACACCACCAAGCCGCACGGAAATTGGCGATGGTGTTTGTACCTCGAGGATGGCCTAGGCGGTGGTGGTGTTGTTGTTGTCGTCGTTGTCGTCGGACCCCCTTCCAAAACGATTGGGGAAAAAGTTGCTGGGCAGCGTTTCGGGCAGCGGATAGCAGGCAACGGGACCACGGGCGGGAAGCCGGTTGCAGTTAGGAGAAATTGGCATGTCATCTCCAGGGGTTCAGCGCTTCGCAGACAGGCATCGATGTAACTCTCGCGGTTGGAGTCTGCTGGAGTCTGTTGGAGATGAGGAGGGTTTAATGCCTGAAGGGTGCAAGCGTTGCGACAGCGGTTGACTAAGACCCAGGCGATGAAGCATTACCGGGACCGTTTTGTGGAGCAACAGAGTCCAACTCCCCAGTCATCCCCTCGATGGTTTGAAACAAGACACAAATTCTCAGGGCAGGCCCGCTGGGCCAGCTCATGTCGGGTTCAGGAGCCGGAAGGCCAGAAAGACGCACTGGCTAGGAGTGTCCCACTTCAGCACTGGATTGCCCCAGGCCCTTGGATAGGTAGATCGGGTGAGGAAGAGGGCGGTCGGTACGTACACTACAGATACCTCGACTTCACATGTGTCCCTTAGCACGATATGATATTGCACCTTGTTTGCGGCACGCAGCCGTGATTATCTCTTCATTCCCAAGTATCCAGCCTGACCAAGGCAGGGCGCGCTGCTTGGTAGTTGCTGAAGGTAATTACGGACATATTACTGGAACAATAATAGAAGAATTGGAGAAGGCGGAAAGAAGGAGTGGATGGAGGGCTGAAGTTCCTCGGCTTGCTTCTGGTCGTTCCATTTGCTGGATGGAAGATCTTTTGGCAAGTGGAGAGCTTCTTCTGGTCTGATGGCGGGAAAGCGCAGGATGACGGCCATTCCCGCGGCTGATTGGACCGGCCCGCGTGTGCTCAACCCAAGGTCACTAGCGGAGTGGTGGGCGGGAAACCAGGGAGGGTGTGATGTCTTGGACGAGGCTTTGGCACAGTGTCGTTTTGGACCATCGTCACCTTTGAGCGACGGCCTAGATGACCACTTATAAGGATCTACAAGCTGGAAATGATTCGTCGGAGCCCACAGCGGATTCTGCTGGAAAGTAGTCAACTTGAGCAGCTCGCGGGACAGGAGCAGTAGGTATTCGGCGGGGTTGACAGAGAACATCGACTCCAAGCGACTTCGTGTAGCCCCGGCATTGTGTGATGAGAGCGTGTCTGTACCGCCCACATGCCCGCAGCAGAGCGATACGTACCTCTCTCGTACGGGGCTGTTCAATTATCTGAATTAAAAGACACGGATAGGGTCGCACACGTCCAATCGGCTCATCTCGCCGTCGACGACTTTACTTGCGCTCCCTATTGTGGTGTCAAACTTGGTCCAGTAAGACGAAATCTCTGTCCGAACGGTTGCAAAATCTGGCAGATTCCGTGACGCAATAAGAAAGCATCTCCCTGTCGGCGTGGAATAAGGTCAGCTCAAACAAACAAAGGGCCCAGGAAAAAGAAGCTTGGGCGAAAAAGCAAACGCCCTCATCTTCGTTCTCCTCCAATCCCAATCATCCCCCCCTCACCTCCCCCTCACTCCGGGCTTTCCCTCATCCCTCGTTGGATTGGATGTCGTCCCTCACCTGCACGGAGGCTG